TATATATATATATATATATATATATATATATATATATAGTGAAGTGATTGGCACAGTAAGTTTTAGTTAACATCCATCATCACACATAATTACAGTTTTTTCTCATGATGACAACTTTTAAGATCTACTGTCTTAGCAACTTTCCAATATACAGTACACTGTTGTTAATTATAGTCACCATGCTGTATAGTACATCCCCAGGACTGACTTATCTTTAAAACTGGAAACTTGTACCTTTTTACTTCCTTGACCCATTTTGAATCTCCCCAAGCCCCCTGCCCAGCTAGCTCTGGCAACCACTAATCTGTTGTCTGTATCTAAGTGTTCGTTTTTTAAAAAGTTTCACGTATACATGAGATCATACAGTATTTGTCTTTCTCTCTCTGACTTATTTCACTTAGCATAATGCCCTCAACGTCTATCCATTTTTCACAAATGGCAGGATTTCTTTGTTTTTTATGGATGAATAATATTCCATTTTGTGTGTGCACGTGTGTGTATATATGTATATGTGTGTTTGTACATGTGTATATGTCTGTATATCTCAATCTCATTTTCTTTATCCATTCATCTATTGATGAACACTTAATTTGTTTCCATGTCTTGGCTATTGTGAATAATGCTGCAGTAAACATGGGCATGCAGATATCTTTTCAAGATAGCGATTTTGTTTCCTAAGGGTAAATATCCAGAAGTGGAATTGCTAGATCATATGGTAATTCTATTTTTAATTTTTTGAGGACCTTCATACTATTTTTCATAGTGACTGCACCAATTTACATTCCCACCAGCAGTGTGTGAGGGTTCCGTTTTCTCCACATCCTTGCGAACATTGTCCTTTTTTTTTAAAGATTGGCACCTGAGCTAACATTTGTTGCCAATCTCCCTTTTATTTTTTCCTTCTTCTCCCCAAAGCCCCCACCCCCCGCTCCCAGTACATAGTTGTATATTCTAGTTGTGAGTGCCTCTGATTGTGCTATGTGGGACGCCACCTCAGCATGGCCTGATGAGCGGTGCCATGTCCACGCCCAGGATCTGAACTGGGGAAACCCCAGGCTGGAGCACACGGACCTAACCACTCCGCCACGGGGCTGGCCCTGCTTGTCTTTTTGATGATAGCCATTCCAACAGATGTGAAGTGATACCTCATGTGGTTTTGGTATGTATTTCCCTGGTGATTAGTGATGCTCAGCTCCTTTTCATGTACCTGTTGACCATTTGTATATTTCTTTGGAAAAATGTCGATTTAGTTCCTCTGCCATTAGTTAATTGGACTGGTTTTTTTGCTGTCAAGCTGTATGAGTTCTTTATATATTTTGGGTATTAACCCTTTATCAGATATGTGATTTGCAAATATTTTCTCCTATTCCATAGGTTGCCTTTTTAAAAAAATCTATTTTGTTGAGGTCATATTGGCCTTTTAACATTGTATAAATTTTAGTTGTACATTATTATATTTCAGTTTCTCTAAAGATTGCATCATATTCACCACCAATAGTCTAGTTTTTATCTGTCACCATACTATAGGTTGCCTTTTCGTTTTGTTGATGGTTTCCTTTGCTGTATAGAAGCTTTTTAATTTGATGTAGTGCCGCTTGTTTATTTTGCTTTTGTTGCCTTTGCTCTGGTGTTAAATTAAAAAAGTTTTTTACCAAGGCTGATGTCAGAGAACTTATGTTTTTTTCCTAGGGGTTTTATGGTTTCTGGTCTTACATTTAAGTCTTTAATCCATTTTGAGTTGGTTTTTGTGTATGGTGTAAGATACTGGTCCAGTTTCATTCTTTTGCTTGCGGCTGTCCAGTTTTCCCAATACCATTTATTGAAGAGACTATCCTTTCCCTATTGTATATTCTTGTCTCCTTTGTCATAAATTAATTGACCATAAATGCAAGGGTTATTTCTGGCTCTTTATTCTGTTCCATTGATCTATGTATCTATTTTTATGCCAGTTCCATATTGTTTTGATTACTGTAGCTTTGCAATATAGTTTGCAATCAGGAAGTATGATGCCTCCAGCTTTGTTTTTCTTTCTCAAGATTGATTTGGCTATTTGGGGTCACACAAGTTTTAAGATAGTGCGTTCTATTTCTGTGAAAAAGGCCCTTGGAATGTTGATAGAGATTGCATGGAATTGGTAGGTGGTTTTGGGTAGGGTGGACATTTTAACAATATTAATTTTTCTAATCCATGAGGATGGAATGTCTTACTATTTATTTCTGTTTTCAATTTCTTTCGTCAATGTCTTATAATTTTCAGTGTACAGTTCTTTCTCCTCCTTGGTTATATTTATTCCTATGTGTTTTATTCTTTCTTTTTTTTTTTTTTGAGGAAGATTAGCCCTGAGCTAACATCTGCTGCCAATCCTCCTCTTTTTGTTAGGGAAGATTGGCCCTGAGCTAATGTCCGTGCCCATCTTCCTCTACTTTATATGTGGGATGCTTGCTACGGCATGGCTTGACAAGTGGTACGTAGGTCTGTGCCGGGGATCCAAACTGGTGAACCCCAGGCCACCGAAGAGGAGTATGTAAACCAAACCACTATGCCACCGAGCCAGCCCTGTTTTATTCTTTTGATGCAATTGTAAATGAGGTTGTTTTTTCAATTTCTCTTTCTGATAGTTCACTGTCATTGTATAGAAATGCAAATGATTTTTGTAAATTGATTTTGTATCCTGCAATTTTACTGAATTCATTGATTAGTTCTAACAGTTTTTTGGTGGATTCTTTAGTGTTTTCTGTATGTAAGATCATATCATCTGCAAATGATGACAGTTTTACTTCTTCCTTTTTGACTTGGATGCTTTTTATTTCTTTGTCTTGCCTAATTGCTCTAGCTAGGACTTCCAGCACTATGTTTAGGAAGAGTAGTGAGAGTGGGCACCCTTGTCTTGTCCCTCATCTTAGAGGAAAAGCTTTTAATCTGTCACTGTTGAGTGTGATGTTAGCTGTGGGCTTGTTTATTAGTCTTTATTATGTTGAGGTACATCCTTTCTATATTCAGGTGTTTGAGGGTTTATCATGAAAGAATGTTGAATTTTGTCAAATTCTTTTTCTGCGTCTGTTGAGTGATGATATGATTTTTATCTTTTATTCTACTAACGTGGTATATCACATTGATTTATTTGTCGATATTGAACCATCCTTGCATCCCTGGATTAAATCCCACTTGATCATGGTGTATGACTTTTAATGTATTGTTGAATTTGATTTCCTAATATTTTGCTGATAACTTTTTGCATCTATGTGCATCAGAGATAGTGGTCTGTAGTTTTCTATTCCTGTAGTGTCTTTGTCTGGCTTTTGTATCAGGGTAATGATGGCCTCATGACATGAGTTTAGGAATGTTTTTTCCTCTTCAGTTTTGTAGAGACGTTTGAGAAAGATTGGCATTAATTTATCTTTTATTGTTTGATGGAATTACCAGTGAAACCATCTGGTCCTGGACGTTTCTGCATTGGAAGGCTTTTGATTACTAATTCAATCATTTTACTTGTTATTTGGTCTGTTCAGATTTTTGTTTTCTTTGTGATTCAGTCTTGTAGGTTATAGGTTTCTAATTATTTATCCATTTCTTCTAGGTCATCCAATTTGTTGGCGTATAATTGTTCATAGTAGTCGCTTGTTTCTTTGTGTTTGTGTGGTATCAGTTTAATGTCTTCTCTTTCATTTCTCTTTTTGTTTATTTGAGTCTTCTCTTTTTTCCTTAGTTTGTGTACCTAAAGTTTTATTCATTTTTTTAAAGTCTTTTCAAAAAACTTTCTCCTAATTTTGTTGATCTTTTCTATTGTTTTCTTGGTCTCTATTTTATTTATTTCTGCTCTGATCTTTGTTGTTTCCTTCCTTCTGCTAACTTTGGTCTTAGTTTATTCTTCTTTTACTGGTTCCTTTAGGCGTAAATTGAGGTTGTTCATTGGAATTCTTTCTCGTTTCTTAATGTAGGCATTTATAACTATAAACTTCCCTCTTAGAACTGATTTTGTAGCATTTCATAGGTTTTGATATTTTCTGCTTACATTTTGGTTTGTTTTAAGATATTTCTTGATCTCCCTTTTGATTTTTTCTGTGACCAGTTGGTTGTTCAGGAGGATATTGTTTAATCTTCATATGTTTGTGAATTTCCAGCTTTCCTCTTGTTACTCATTCCTAGTGTCATACTCTTGTGGTTGGAAAAGATACTTGGTATGATTTCAGTTTTCTTAAATTTGCTAAGACTTGTTTTGTGTCCTATCATATGATTTATCCTGGAGAATGTTCTGTGTGCACTTGAGAAGAATGTGTATTCTGGTGATATTGATTAGCGTATTCTATAAATGCATGTTAGATCTGTTTGGTCTAAGGTTCTTATCCAACCTTTCTCTGTTGATTTACTGTCTGGATCCTTTATCCATTGCTGAAAATGGGGCACTGAAATCCACTACTATTGTATTAAGTTTTCATTAATAGTGACGTTGTGCTTTATCATTCCAAAACTTGTTTTTCACAGAGGCTTATGTTTTATATATTTAACCAGTACCTATATTTTAAATTACTTCCTCTGTAGGTAAAATTTCTTACCACACTCCAAATTTTATTTTGTATTTAAATTTTGATATATGAACTATGCTTGAAACATATTAACAATTATCTTTTCTTATAATTTTTTGAATACACATAGGTGTGGTTATCATGTACTTGTGTTCATGGAACTTTTACTTTTTAGACCTCTTTGATGTATTTAATACTTGTATTATTCTTTTGCTCATTTTGCATATGGCACAATCCTGAAGTGTGAGTATCTTGTTTTTTCTCCCAAAGAAACCTGTAGACTTTAAAGGTAGAACAGGGATGAAAACTTATTTCTCAAATCTGAGTTCAGTATTCTTTCTACTGTTCAGATCATATACTTTGCTATATGGAATTGTATTTGTAACCTGTTGGACTTTTATCTTGAGTATATACCAGCTGGCTTCTAAATTCATTTAGGTTTAGAAGAATTGAGTATAATGTTATTTTGTTTTGCAGGGGTTCACAACCAAGAAAGACAGTAGATAATAATTATACAAAGCAGGCTGCAGACACTAAAGAAAAGCGGAGAGATGACGATGGCATTTCTCTTGTAATGTCTGATACTCACCCAAAAGGTTTGTGAACCTTAGAAAACTTGTCATTTGAATTTTTATCTGTTGAATTTGTAATAATTTTAAGTTATCAGTAACTTTAATCTTACACTTAAAGGATATGTGAAAGTAAAGGGAGATTATTTAGCAACACAAAGAAAATTGCTTAATTTACTATTTTTATACTGTCGTATACATTTCTTGACTTAGTTACTAAATCCAAAAGTTAAATTTGAATATTATTTTTTTGTTGTTGGGACTGGGCATACAGGTACAAAGTGGTAATGTTAGTTTAGCTATTTCTAAGTGTTGTTTCCATACATATGTCTGGTAATTCATAATACAACTAACTCAGTTATTATTATTAGCTTCCCACTGTCTATCCTCCTACTATGAAATACATTCTTTATTCATTAGAATTTCTCTCAACTCTAGGAGGATGCCAATACAAGCCACTATTAGCAAATTTAAAGGTAAATACATCCTAGACTTCTGAAAGTTCTTTGTAGGACTCTTTGCATGTAGGGTTAAAAAATGACTTCTTTTCTCTATTTTGTTTCTCTTTTAAGATTTTAAAATAATTTATAAAAATTTGCACCAAAACAATTTACTACATCAGTCAGATGTGAAACTAACATCTTCAAGGGTCTCTTGGATTGTTGATAGCTTCAAACTAGTTGAGGTATTTTGTTTCCTGAATGATTTTATAAATTATTGACAAGAAAAGATGGTTCTTTAATGACACTAGGCAAAGATTCTTTGTACTTCATCTGGGACACAGCTATTTACACATTTTTAGCAGCCTTTTTCATAGAAGAGGAAAACTTAAAAGGAAACTAGACTAATAACTTTGATGTATACAGGAAATCAGCTACAACTATTATGAGAGCAATCTAGAGAAAGCATTGAGACTCTGTAGACATAATCTTTCAATTAGTGACTAAGTCCTGTCTGCACATAATGAGAAGTATTTATTTTCTTATGAATTGTACTTTTTTCAGAAATAATTATCTTTAATTACCAAATGAAAATATAAGTATTAGTACAAGTGGGCTTGGTTCAGATGCTGTCAAAGACACTGGTAAGCCTTCACGTTCCACTGCTTTCCTGGGTAGGGTAGGAATAGTTAAACAAAAAGCTTTCAGACTTATGCCCGTCAGTATTACTTCAAAGTCACAGTGGGATTTTGGACTTACAGCAGGGGAAAAATGCATGACAAAAGAAATGCTTTATGGTTTCTTAGTATCCCTGAACGTTCTCCTCATAGGTAAAGTGTTTTTAAGACAATTAGCTATTGAAACTCTCCGTGTTTTAATCCTAATAATTGTGTCTAATACCACTTGTTTAACATAAAACCGTAAATTAATGGTAATTCTGAATTAAACCCCAATTGTACCGTTATTTTGTTGTACATTAAATTTGCCTTGTGGAATTTGCTTCTATGAAAATAATGCATTGGAAATATTTAGTAGTCTTTTCTTTATAGGAATTTGTCACCTCTTTAATTTTATGTGTTAGTAATATTTGTAAGTTAAATTGTATATATTATGCAGGTAGAATACTATTTTTACAATCTTTAGCACTATCTAATAAATTGATTCCTGTTTTCCATGAGATAGTCTTGGCTGATGTGTAAATAGTAAATTATCTGAAGGAAAACTCCTGTATAACAAGAATTTTTCTCAAGTTCCTTTCCTTTCATCAGTCTTTTTGCTATAGTATTTATGTTTAGAAATTGTGATTTGATACAGTATTTATATGTAGAAATTGTATTTGACTACTTTTACAGTTTACAAAATTACAAATAAAATTTATTGTGCTTTTCAGAATACTGTGTTGCTGATTTGGGAGAGTTTATTTTCCTGGGGGAGGGAGTAAAGAGTGTTTTCTTTGGAAATTGGAAACTGTTGACTTTCTTGGAGTTTTTGCCCTCAATCCTGTTCAAATGCTTGCATTTTAAGCAATGACAGAGATATTATGAATGTTAGTCATTAGGTGTCTATGACGCTACAGTAAGAGCAAGAATAGTTTGAGGGGAAGGTGTGTAGTGTTGAAGAACTTTGAACGAAGGAGAGGTCAGGCCAGTCAGTGTTACAGGAATTCAAGGAAGCTGCTTTGGGGCTTGCTTTGTGTAAACTTTGAGTTGATACTTGTGTGATATAGCTTCAGAAAGCAAAATAATTTAGGATAATCTTCAGTTAGTTAGGTAGGACCTTTTGGAAGGTATTTTCATACAGTACATATATTTGGTAACTGAAAGACTCAGGATTTTTAGTAATAATTGACATGAGTTTCAAAATAATGCTTGTTGATTTAAAAAAGGGAGCACTTCATTCTCTGTAGAGCAGTAGATTTGTTGGAGACTTAAAATGTCAGAGTCTTAATTTTTAAAAGGAAGAAGCAAACTGTGAAGCAAATGGATAGACTTGTGAATGATCCCATCACAGTCAGCTGCTGAGGAAAGGTATTTCACCTCCTTTTAAAAGAGCAGTGAGCAATACTCTACTCTTTCCAATTATTGTCCCTTTTCACTTTAAAAAGTATATGTGTATATATAAAACTTACATTTTAAAAAGACAACTAATTTCTAAAATCAGAATGAATTATCAAAATGTTTTAAGACATGAGTTTTCCAAATTTTATTAAGACCTCTTTTTGTGTCTTACAGTCAAATGCAGTTATAATAACAAAAGGAAGATGGTTTTGTTGCTGTGCTTTGTTTACTAAAGAATACTCCTTTTTAATATATTGTACATTTTTATTGTACAATGAACATTTACTTCGTGTATATAGTTTAAAATAGGATCTCTCTTTGTATTCCCCCATGTCAGTATGAGAATTTAACTGTGGACTTCTTTTTAAATTAGCTTTGGAAATAATATAGCAATTTTGATGATGTTTCTTTGAGCTCCTCTAAAATGGATTCTTTCTGTACTTTTTGGCCATATTTATGTCTCTTTTGTTTTTTAAGACCTCAATAGTGGAAGTAGAGGGTGTGATCATCTGGAAGAGGGGAGCAGAAACAAGGATGATACCTATTTTGATTCAAAAATGGAACCCACTCTGATTTCCAGGAAGAGAAAGAAAAGGCACAGAAGTAGTATACTAGATTCTCATAATTCAACTACTTCTTTGTATAAGTCAGCAGAACAGACAGTAAGTAGAGGTATTTGATGTCATATGAAATAATTTGTGCTGTGATAAAAATGAATTGACTGAAGCCAGATAGAGAAAGACACTCTCTGTATGACTCCACTCATATGTGGAAGTTAAACATGTAGACAAAGAGAACAGGTTAGCGGTTACCAGGGGAAAGGGGGTTGGGGGGTGGGCACCTACAACAAGGGTGAAGGGGTGCACCTACAACACGACTGACAAACAATAATGTACAACTGAAATTTCATAAGGTTGTAAACTATCATAATCTCAATAAAAAGTTAAAAAAAAGGGATAAGAAAGGAAAAAAAAAAAGGCACATCATGCCAGCAATTGTTTCACTTGTTTTTACTTGAATTGCTTTATATGGAAACATCAAGATTTATACTGAAAAATCAGTGGAACAGGTAATGAAGGATGTATCTAAGGGCTCTTCCCAGAGACTGACATGAAATTTTACAGGCCTCAGTAAACATTTATTGGTGGGGAAAGAAAAAAGAATTAACTGTGGCCAAGTAAAGTTGTTCTAGCATTTTGCTTTTATCGTCAAATTTCTTTTCTTTGCCTATTTTTTTGACTCTCTCATTTTAAAAAAATAATTTAAATGAAACTTTTTGCAGTAATACAGTTGGAACAAATTTCAAATATTATGAATGAATAAAAAAATTAAAATTGCTCCTTCTCCAATACTACTCCTTACTTAGTAGTTTGGTGTATATCCTTCAGACTTGTTTTCTTTTATTTTCCCTTATTTTAACTAAATACTAATACTATTCATACTGTCCAGCCAATTGCTTTTTCACTTGCTCTGTAAAATTATTACCAGATTTCTTTTGTCAGAAGTAATTTACTTACCAACTTCCTTAGGCTTCTCTTTATCTAGAGTTTAGGGAATTTGTTGTAAGTGAAGAATTACCATACTTAATGTGTACGTATTTATTTTTCAAAGACTTAGTATACAGTTAACAATAAAACTATAAGAGGACATCTTTTTGATTTCTTTGATTCACAAGGCATTTCAGGATTTTGCTGTGCCTTTGTGTTATGATTTATAGAGTACTGGAGATGTGAAGGTGGTGATTGATTTTCATGAGCTTTCATATTGTTATCCTCTTAAGTTTTTAAATTTTTGCTTTTGTTCCTGAAGTCATATGATGTCATATGACCTCATTACTTCTGCAAAATAAAACTAAAAAGCATTTCCTTTTATTATAAAGTTGATTCAGTTCATGGAAGAGCATCTGAACCACTGGCAAATAGAGGGGTTTCCCCATCCTGTCCTTTTAAAAAATGTTTAGGCATCCAATTGGACAGACCAAACTCTATCTTTATACGTGGGAGACACTGGCAAGAGTAATATAGTATAATTGTGTAGTTTTCTATCCCTGTAGTATAGAAATTATATAATAATTTCACTTTTATATTCTTAGGAATTTAAACTTAAAAAAATTCTTTATACTAGCCAAATTTGAAAAATGCTAATTTTTTGTATGTGTTTATGTTCAGAAAGAACAGGAAAATGACTCAACAGTATCCATTGAGTTTGAAAAGTCAAGTGAAAACTATCATCAAGACTCAAAACTGCTTGAAGAAGTTACACCTGTACCTATAGGAAGTGATTTTACTAAAGCATCCTCACTCCACAGTCCGGAGCCGGCTTTGAGTGCTGCTCCCAAAAGCACCTCTGACTATTCAACCACTGAAACTTTTGAGAGCTCTCCCTCCCCCGATATCGTGGGGAATTCCACCCTGCTTGAGAAGGCTGAGAATGAGTTGGACACAATAGAAAAGACTGTTTTAAGTGAACCCAGTGAAGGGAACCAGTCGCTGATCTCAGCTGAACCAAGTAAGTAATAGGATGTTAGAGGCTCTTAATTTTCTCTGCTTTACTTAAGTTGTTTTATTTCTCTTCTTGAACAAATTTGCTAAGGCAATAAGCTGTTTATGACGTCACTATGGAATATATTAACTTTAGAAAAAAAGACTTGAGGTTTTGGGACTTCGTGCATTTTGTAATATTGATTTAGGTGAACAATGGAGTACTTGGAAGCAGAAGTAATTTTTTTTTTTTATATTAGTGTAGTGTAATTCATCTCATCAGTCAGTTTTTAAAAGGATTCTGTAAGGACCATTATTATCGTCATTTTGGTTGATGAAGCTGAAGTACAGAGAGTTTAGGTACTATTTAACTATTGTCATTAATTTGATTTAATTAATTTTCGACTATTTGATGCAGTCATATGGTACAGAAAAGATTCTGAACTATGTACAGTGAATAGTCTCTGCATCCTGTGCCCATCTGTTTCCCCCTCTTGGAAGCAACTAATGTCACATGACTTAAAGTACAATTTAGAATGATGGCACAATACATTTTTAGAACTAGAACTTGTTCCTAAGTTCTCCTCGGCTTTATCCATTTTTAAATATCTTCATCCTGCAGAAGGTAAAATGGGATTATTAAAGGTATATTGCATGAATTAGAAAGTTCTCTTTTTGATATGTGATTATTGTGACACATTTAAAAAATAAGTATTTTTCCTGTTTAGTTGTCGTTTCCAGTGATGAAGAAGGACCCGTTGAAAATAAAAGTTCGGAAATTCTTAAATTACAACCTAAGCAAGACCATGCCATCACTGATGAAAATGAGCATACTTCTGAATCAGCATTGTCAGAACTACCACTGATTACGTGTGAATCAGTGCAGGTGATTGATTTCTGCCTTCTCGCAGGTTAACAGTGAGATACACACTATTGGCTAATGACTATTGCTTGTTTCACCAAACAGAATATTATAATAAAAATTAAAAATTTTCTTTGAATTTTGAGACAACTTTCATATTAGTTCAAGGGAAATATGTAATTTTCTTTATTTTGAAGTGAAAGGATTATACCATTTTTTTCTTATAATTTATTTTTTTTCAGTTTAAATACTCTAACTTGAATATTTTTTCCTTTTTTCTATGATTATCATCGGATATTTAAGTACTTTATCAAAACATTTTCTAGAATTAAACAGCTTCCAATATTCATCTGTCTGGTCTTACAATACTGTGGCTACTATACTGTAAAATACTGTGGAATTCTTCCTTTTCCTTTACATGCTATTAAGGCACCATGATAGGAAAGAATATGTCTTCTGGAGACAGACAGACCTGTGTTCAAATCCCAGCTCTGGGCAAGTCACTTAACTTCTTTAAGCCTGAGCTTCCTCATATGTTAAATGAAGATGGTAACGCTTAACCTCACAAGATTATTTTGAACAGTAAATGAAATAACATATGAAAGCATTTAGAACAGTGTCACAAACCTATCAGTTTAAGTCCTTTGTCTCTTCCTTCTTACAGAATATAATAAATGGAAGTGTCTGTTGGTTTAATGTCGACCAGTTGTGTTTTTGACATAGTACTTTGGAGAGTATAGCTCTACAGTAGGGTTCAAATCGTTTATTGTCAGTATTCCTTCATATTATCAGCCTCTGATTATCCTGTTTTTTAAGAAATGATTGTTAGTGACCACTAGTGCAGAATTATGGTGAACTGTTGTTTTTTTTTTTTTTTTAAGATTTTATTTTATTTTATTTTTTTCCTTTTTCTCCCCAAAGCCCCCTGGTACATAGTTGTATATTCTTCGTTGTGGGTCCTTCTAGTTGTGGCATGTGGGACACTGCCTCAGCGTGGTTTGATGAGCAGTGCCATGTCCGTGCCCAGGATTTGAACCAACGAAACACTGGGCCGCCTGCAGTGGAGTGCACGAACTTAAGCACTCAGCCACGGGGCCAGCCCCTGTTGGTTTCTTTTTTAATAATGTCAGAGGCTGTTACTCTGTAAGGTATGATGAAGAATTTAGTCACCTCTAGGAAAACAGCCTACTGGTCTGATAATCGTTTCACCGGTGTTTCTGTTGCATTTGGTATCCATACAGAGATCACCTCAGCAGCTGTGTTTTCCATTTTTGTTAAAATGTAACCAGTCTTGCTAAATCGAGCCAATAGCTTACTTGATGGCTTAGTTGTATTTGTAATTAAAACAGTGTCAGTGTTGATAATGGGTTCAGACTCCTACATGAATTATAGTTCCCAGCATATTAGTTGACAATGCAGTGTGAAATGATTATATTATAAGAAAATAAAATCTCTTGTAGAACTGACAGAGTATGATCACAACTAAGCAGCAAATAATGTGGAGGCTTACTGAGAATACCACATTTCCACACTCTCCCTTGTTTCCAGTTTTAAATAAACTTATGGGAAACATGGGTTGGCCATTTTTAGGAGGCAGTTAGTCTTTACAGAATAGCACACACAGTTATTTGTCCAACTGACTAGAGCCAGCTGTAGTTGATTTAACCCCTTTTTTACTTAGGGGATAAGAAGAAGAGTATAGTAAGCAGTAAAAGATGAAAATAACAAAGAAATTCTATTAAGCAGGTAAATGGCATTGTGAGCTGGGTTAAAAATAATGAATACTGTATATGTTTCAGATGAAGATTAATCACATTTTCTAGAGATAGGAGGAGAGTGGGTAACATGCATAATTGCTCTAGTGGTAATTTATTTGGTCATTAGTGATGTTAGGGGTAAAAAGGGATAATGTGCAAATGCTAGGCAAGATGTGAGTTGGAAAAGTCACTCGAAAGCAGTGTAAAATTCAGGAGAGATTGTGGGAAACAACTGCTGCTGATACTGTCTGGTGGTCTGCTGTCGTTTTGAAGCAGAGTTGTGTGGTTGTTTGTGTGGAAGTGGTATGATTCTTGAGGTTTTAAGCTATTGATTGGTTATCCTCAGACATAAAGCATATAGTAAAGCATATAGAGTTGATGTAATAGATGGTTCTTAGGCACTTACATCTCTTCATTGACACTAAAAGTGTGGTAGCTAAGAGCATCTTCTTATAGAGTTGATGTAATAGATGGTTCTTAGGCACTTACATCTCTTCATTGACACTAAAAGTGTGGTAGCTAAGAGCATCTTCTTATAGAGTTGATGTAATAGATGGTTCTTAGGCACTTACATCTCTTCATTGACACTAAAAGTGTGGTAGCTAAGAGCATCTTCTTGGTTTATGGAAGCAGTTTTATGTCGTCGAAGTAACCTTTGACCTGGAGATGGAAACCTGGATTTGTCTTAGTTTTGCTTCTTACTAACCGCATTACTTTGGGCAAGTTATTGAACTAATCCAAACATCTATTAACTTTACTTATGAAATGGAAAAAAAGCAACAAAGTACCTCGTAGGGTGGTTGTGGTGATTAAAAGAGATATTTAAAAACTAATTTTAAACTAAAATGCTATGTAAATCTTACTTTATTTCTGTTGAGTTAAAAATGAATAAAGGCTTTTAGGGAATATTGAATTTGAAATCATGACTTTGATATAGAGGAAGATATATTTCTGGAGTTTAGGTCTATGGAATTAATTTAGAGTTTGTCTGGTTACAGTAATTTTCTCAAGGTAAATCATATACTTAAAAAAAATTTAGAGGGGCCACCCCTGTGGCCAAGTGGTTAAGTTCATGCACTCCGCTGCAGCAGCCCAGGGTTTCAGGGTTCAGATCCTGGGCGCAGATGTGGCACTGCTCATGGAGCCATGCTGAGGCAGCGTCCCACATGCCACAACTAGAAGGACCCACAACTGAAAATACACAACTATGTACTGGGGGGCTTTGGGGAGAAAAAGGAAAAATAACATCTTTAAAAAAAATTTAGATAACTATTTCTTCAGTAAGAACAGTATAAAATCACAAAAATTCATTGAGTAATTTAAAGAAGTATTTGACTTTGAAAATCTTTGTCAACATTTCTATAATACTTAGGGTCATATTCATTTTATAATTTATTTTTTGTTAGGCTTCATCTGAATTATGTGCATATAATCCTGTCATGGAAAACATTTCTAGCCTTCTATCTAGTAATGAGATGGATCTTCAACTGGATTTTGTATTTACTTCTGTTTATATTGGTAAAATAAAAGGAGCTTCGAAAGGTTGTGTTACAGTAAGTATATTTAATTCTTTTTTTGTTTTAGTTTTGGATCTTGGGGAAGGCATTTTCAGATTGTCATCTCTTTTTTTAGTGAAAATGAAAATAGAATTGAGATTAATTTTATATGGGACACTTTGAATATGTTGTTATACCTACTTTGAAACATGTCTTTAATTGAGGGGAAATCCTAAAATCATAGGGAATGTCTTGAAATTATATCTCTGATCTGACTACTCTAATGAAGACCATATATGAAAAAAAATCACGTAGTATTGATATTCTTTGGGCTCTAAAACTTATTTGATGGTAAAGTAAATTTTTATTGAGGGTGTAGTTGAGAGTAAAAAGAAGAAATCTCATTTTGCTGGCTTAAATTGTTGTAAACTGAGTTTTCCAAATTCCTAAACTTGTTATTTAAGGAACTCCAGGAACAGTTTATATTCTGTTTTTCTACTTTTCTTCAGTATTCCCCCTTGCATATTGTAAATGAAAGCTAGATGGATTTTACTCACTTCTCTGTATTTTCTCTCCATATCTGCCTGTTAAACTCCTAATCATCTTTTAAGGCTTATCTGAGATGTTTCCTCTTCAGGAAACCTTTTCTGTTTTTTCCTTCCTAGTCAGAGTTAACTTTTGCTTTACTGTGTATTTACAGCACTTTGTACATCTGTTGTAAGATTTATTCCATGGGTTTATAACTGTTTATCTTCTTGCCTAAACCTGTCCATTAGCCTTTAAGCATCTTCTGGTGAAGAGCCATGCGTTTATTTCCTTTACACCTTCCATAAATGACTACACCTAAACAGGCACTTAGAAACATTAGTTGAATTGAATTGACTATGTCAGATTATAACTCAGGTATTTTCCTAGAAGTTTTATTAATATTTAAGTGTGTTAAGAATAGGGCAGGGAAGAAAGAAATGATAAGACGTGGTCTCTGCTTTCAAGGAACTTGTAGTGCGATGGAAGAGACAGATATGTAAATAGATGTTTACTTTACAATATGGTAAAATGTATGATGGAAATATCTACAAGAAGGGTGCGTATGGGCATGAGTACCGATATCTGTCTGGAGGAATCAGGGAAGACTTCACAGAGGAGACAGCATATGAGTTAAGACATAAGGTACATGTTCACTTGGTGACCAGGCGGGGGAAGAGCTAATCCCAATAGAGTAAACATCACATGTGAATCCAACAAATTCTGGGAACTACAAATAGTGGGGGCTTGTGATATAGTTAAAATTGCTTTGATTGAGAGCACAAGAGCAATTTGGTTTAAAATTAATATTCTCTGGTCCTTCGTTTTCAAATATTATTGATTTTGGCAGGCCTGGGATGATTTTACAATTCTTTTTCTTTAAGGAAATTTGTTCACTATTCACAGTTTCCCCCCCATTTTGCTTTTTTATTTTAAGTTCAGGTTTAACTATTTTTTTCTGTTGAGTTCTTTGTAATGGCAAAAAAGTGAATAACCTAAATCTGTATCATTAATTGATTATCTAGGGGAGGAAAATCCAACATAAATACTCAACAATGGGTTTTCATTAATTAATATATTGATTATGTTCTTACACAGTCAGGTAGGCTTGTTATGGGCTAAAAACAAAACCAAGCAGAAAACTATAAATGAATAAAAGAGCAATTTAAAGAACCCATATAATTGTGCTGATCCAGAGACAACTGCTATTAACCCTACAGGGTATATCATTCCATATTCTTCATGTTGGATACATATGTATGTTTAAAACAAAAGGGTATGACATCATGCATAGTCTTTTGTAACTTACCTTAATTACGTTCAATTAATTTAATTCCTGTTGCTATTTTAGGATATTTGGATTGTCCTTAATTCCTGACTGTTCGACATTTCAGTTGTCCTAGTATTTTGCCATTACAAATAGTAGGGGACTGTAAATATTCAAAGAATATCATAAAGTAGGTCTTAAAAATTTGTCTCTTTTGTTGGAACACTTCTTATAATTAAAAAACTTAAATGTCTAATTATAGGAAAGTGGTTTAGTAGATTAAAGTAAATATATGCAGGTAGAATATATGCATGTGAAGAAAGGGTGAGAGGAACTCTGCAAAAATTAAAAGTTATTTTATGATGGAGGAAGCATAAGCAATTTTAAAAATTAAAAAACAATAATGAATAACATAAAAATGAGAAAAGGGTAAAAGTCTTAAAACTTTTGAGTTTTTCAGAAACCTTTTAACATATATTCTTTTTCAGACCCAGTTCATGATGCTCTCTGTAATTTAGAAATTAAAGAAATATTTTGGGGGAGTAAATTTATTAGAGAATTAAACTCAGTCATTTTCCAGACGTTTAATGAGCGTCTACTATGTATTGTTGTAGACGCTGGAGATATTGTTCTCACTCTCATGATAGTGACAATTTAGCTTAACTAGAAAAATGCCTATAGTGGGAAACTATTACATAAATTAGAGCCATTTTCTTATAGTTGGACACTTAAGTTATTATTTTTTTTTAGCGTTAAGAAAGCTGCAATGGATGTGAACATTTCATTTTTTAGATCTCAGCTTTGTTGATAGGAAAAATGTTTATTAAGTACATATTATGTTCAGAGAACTGTACTGGCTGTTGTAAGAAGTTATAAAATGGAACATTCAGCTTTATTCTTAAGTTTAGATAGATGTGATATGATTTCAGAGAACTGGTTTACCTTACTGCCACAAAAACATCTTTCTCCTTTTCTTAACTGGGGAATTAAGTTTTTGCTGGGAATAAAGTTGCCTTTGGGGGAGGTTTCATGTTGGCTTAATCACCATACCGCGGTGTAAATGAGTGTCAGATCCTTGGCAAGCTGAAAGATTTCATAGGACAAGAATACTTATGATGGGAGAACGAGAGAATAATGTAGAAAGTAAAGGCCAAAGATATGGATGCATTATTTCTAGTTCATAATTTTGTAGTAATAACTGTAAAATCTCAAAAGCAAAAACTCCTTATATTAATTTGTATAACTAATTACATTTGCTAAGATATCTTTTATGAGATTAAAGTCCCAGCGAAACAGGTCAAAAAAAAATTTGGCAAGGGAAAATATACACCAAATATATATAGCAGTTGTGTGAAAGTGACAGAAAATAGTAAGGTGTATTTGACTAAATTAAACTAGTTAACATACTTAATCAAGTGCTAGTGTCTAACCATAAGGGCTCCTCTTGGTTAAGGGTCTCATCTAAAGCTGAGAGAGGTTCAGGAGGTGACCTATGTTTACCTACTTACTATTTGTGTAAGTGGCAGAGGTAATATAGGCAAGATTTGAACCCCAAGCTCAGCTTATAGCTTACACGCTCTTTTGCTCAACTTTGGCTTTAGTGGCCAACTTATACTGTGAAATGTGAGTATATTTATGAAACTGCAAAATGAAATAATTTTTAAATGGGCGAAAGAATGGAGTCACAGTAAACCTGTGGTTTCACTGAACATTGTTTGCTCCTTATTTGGAACTCTGTTGGTAGTTAATTTAGGTACTCATGTATCAAGACCATTTTTTCTTTTTTTAACTAAAACGATGGTTTTTAATGGGAACCAGAAGTATGGAAATTACATAGTCCGACACAAAAAACCCGTGGGTAGATCAGGAGTTGGAAGTTTACAAAATAATGAGGGTAACGCTGGGTACAGGAAGAAAAGCTGTTCCAGAACCTCAGGAGCCAGGTTAATACGGCCTCTCCCTGCCATCCTGTCTTTGCTCACCCCTGGAGTCCATCTTGCCAGGGCCAAAGCCACCTCTGTCCCCACCACCCCGGCCCCCTCGGAAGCCCCCACGGTCCCCGCCTCAGCCTCGGTAGCCGCCCCGATCATAGCCTCCTCTGCCACCACGACGATCATCTCCATAGTTACCACCCATAGGAGAGCCTCCTGGTCCCCCTCCTGGGCCATCTGGTTTAGGGGCCTTACACTGGTTGCATTCATTCCTCCAAGAGAAGTTCATGTTTTCACATGTAGGATTAGGACACTTCCAGTCCCCAGCTCGCTGCTGTCCTCCAACACCACCACCTCCACTGGGGAATCCTCCCCGGCCAGCGCCACCACTGCCACCACCTCCATAGCCTCCACGGCCCATGGGTCCTCCTCGCCCTCGGCCTCCACGACCATTGCCACCACCCCGATTGAAGTCTGCTCGCCGAGTAGCAAATGAGACCTTGATAGGATTCCCAGAGAATTCTTTACCATCAAACCAGTCAATAGCTGCTTTAGCAGAAGGTGGGTCATCAAATGATACTGTTGCCTCTCCCTTCAGCTTGCCTGTTTCCCTGTCTGTGTATAGATTTATCATGGGCTGTCCAGTTTTCTTATTTATCTTAATAATACCAATCTGCTTGAAGTAATCAGCCACAGACTCAATTGTAACATTCTTGCCCAGGCCTTGCACAAAGATGGTGTTGTTGTCTGAATTATCCTGTTCAGAGTCATGACGTGATCCTTGGTCCCGAGGGCCACCAAATTTATTGAAGCCACCACGGTCACTTCTGCCCATGCCGCCTCTGCCTCCACGGCCACCTCCACGACCTCTGGGTTCATAGCCACCACTGCTGCGGTTGTAACCACCACCACCGCCCCGGCCACGGCCCCCACGGTCCTGCTGGCCTCCCCCGTAGTCACTGCTGCCACCACCACTCTGGTCCTGATTGCCATAACCGTCGCCACCGCCACCACTCATGGAGGACTGATCTTGGCCATAGCTACCTCCACCACCCCCTCCGCCACCTCCACTGCTGCTGTTGTACTGGTTCTGCTGTCCATAGACCTGAGGAGGATTATAGGAGCTTGGCTGCTGTCCATAGCTTGGCTGCTGTCCACCATAGCCAGACTGCTGGCCATAGCCTCCACTTTGGGGCTGCCCATAGCCGCTGCTCTGAGAACTGCTACCGTAACTTCCCGAGGTGCTGCTAGGAGTTGGCGCTGACCATAACCAGGGTAGGAGGACTGCTGCCCGTAAGACGACTGAGAACTCTGGCCACTGCCATATCCACCAGTTGAGCCATATCCCTGGGGAGCTGACTGAGTGCCATAGCTGTTCTGGGTCTGTCCATAAGAACCACCATAGCTGCTCTGGCCATAGCCTGAAGTGTCTGCTGACTGACCATAACCGCTGTAACTCTGCTGTCCATAGGGTTGATTGCTCTGCTGGGAATAGCCCTGCCCAGGCTGGGTGGGGTAGGCCCCATAACTTTGGGTTGCTTGTTGGGTATAATCGTTTGAGGCCATGTCCGCGCACGCGCGCACAGGCCGACAAGCAACAAGATTCCAACGCTACGGAGCACCGACGCCTCGAGGACTGACTCAAGACTATTTTTGATTTTGTTTTGTGCTCACAGACTGTACCCCTGATTTGGTCATCACTTTCATAAATGTGTTGATCAAAAGAGAAACCTAACCAAAGAATAAATAAATAGGCATGAATTCATTTGGCATTAATGGAGAAACAAACTTCAAAGCACAAGTTTATTTTAGATGGTACACGTGAGATTTAGGTGCTCCACAACTCCTGGGAGTTTATTCTAACTTAAGGGGGTCAGATATGTACAAAAGGTACCTAGAGAAAATTAGTGTCCTTGTACAGAAGAAGCAGAAAGAGCCAAGAACCTTGCTGAATTGTCGGTCAGGAGGGAATTTGTAACGTGGAACAAAGAAGGATGAATACTGGGAATGTTGGCAAAGCCAAGAATCAAACCCTGTGTTGTGGTTTATTTACCAGTCACTGACTCCTTGTGAGATTTCTTGGCAGTTTCTTCTGGACTTTGTCTTATTTCTTAAATATTCAGGGAACATTTTTGGAAAATATATTAAATAAAATCTTACTGGTTTTTGTAAATGAACATGTTGAGAGTTAAAATTACTTGTGCAGTGTTCTTAAACTTCCATAAAACTAAGTCTTTACAGTGAAGCATTTTTTTGGTTTATTGATAAAAAGACTTGAGCACTTTTTGTCTAGCCTTTGAGTATGTACTTGTGGTTTGAAAAAGAAAAAAAATTTGAAAATTTTGAATAGTAACACGTTTTGAGTGGTAACTCATTTTTTGCTTTTTTATTTTTCCTTTAGTTCACAACAAAGTATATTAAGATCCCATTTCAAGGTAAGCTATCATTGTCTTATGAACTATTTTCACTGTAATTTTGAGCATAAAGTAATTGGTCAGCAAAAATTCTGAAACCTTTCTGCAACTAGTTCCATAATTTTTTCCAGAATTTAAGTAAAACTAAGATTAATGTGTTTCAACTTAACACTTTTTTTTGGCAACTTCAAAAGGAGTTAAAATATTTTGTAAGACTGAAAATGGTATACTATTGTTTTAATGACTTCAAGTCAGCTAATATTAAGAGACTTATGGTAATTTCTTGGTGTTAACAGAAATAAAATTTTTGATAGCAAGAAGATTTTTGGTAGATAAAACTGGATGAGAATAGTAACTATAAGAAAGGAAGCATAAGGAAAATTTTTAATGTTGCACATAAACATGTAAAATGGTGTTGTGTAGGGGTTAAGAGAGATTTTTTTTATACCATTTCTTATCTGAGTAAGGCAAAGTAGATTGGAAAATGTACCTGCACCTTGTAGAGACTCAGACCATTTTCTTATTCTCTCCCCAGCTAAAACCTTTCAGAATAAATAATGACACTAAGAAAACAACTAATAGACAATAGAAAATAGTCTTTTTAGAGAATGAATTATGAAAAGAATAAGGAAGAAAAATATACACAAATAGCATTTTAGAAATGAACTAGGGAAGAGCAAGCTTCTCTTCCAAGACTGAAGATGTGATCAAAGTAACTTTAATTAGACTCCCCAGACACCCATGTACAGAATCCAAAGCTATGTGTTATGATAATGAATCTAGTAATTAGGAAGCTACTATAAGTAGTAAGAATATATAAGGCACGGAATAAATATATTGACATTGTTTTTTTTTTTAAAAGATTTTATTTTTTTCCTTTTTCTTCCCAAAGCCCCCCGGTACATAGTTGTATATTCTTCATTGTGGGTCCTTCTAGTTGTGGCATGTGGGACGCCGCCTCAGCGTGGTTTGATGAGCAGTGCCATGTCCGCGCCCAGGATTTGAACTGACGAAACACTGGGCCGCCTGCAGCGGGGCGTGCGAACTTAACCACTCGGCCACGTGGCCAGCCCCTATATTGACATTCTTAATTAGGAAATTAGAATAAATAAGGACCTACAATTTAAAAAGAAATAATAATTTCGTAAAAGATAGTGCCATAATCTAAGGTTAAAGACCTGTGTAACAGAGGTACCTCTCAAATTCTTTATTTTTAATTGAGGTGTGATTGACACATTAATTTCAGGTGCACCACATAATGATTCAGTATTTGTATATATTGTGAAATGATCACCACAAGTCTAGTTAATGCCCATCCCCATATATAATTACAAAAATTATTTTTCTTATGATGAGGACTTTTAGGATGCAGTCTCTCAGAAAGTTTCAAATATGCATTACAGTATTATTAACTGTAGTCACCATGGTGCGCATTAAATCCTCATGACTTATTTTATAACTGGAAGTTTGTACCTTTTTACCTCCTTCACCCATTTTGCCCATTCCATCCCCCTGCCTCTGGCAACCATCATTCTGATCTCTTTGTCTATGAGCTTGGTTTTTTCTTTTTAGATTCCAGATATTAATGTTATCATACAGTATTTGTCTTTGTCTGTCTATTTCAGTTATCGTAAAGTGTTCAAGGTCCATCCCTGTTGTTGGAAATGGCAAGGTTTCATTCTTTTTTATGGCTGAATAGCATTCTGTTGTATATATATACCACATCTTCTTCATCCATTCATCCATCAATGGACAATTAGGTTGTTTCCATATTTTGGCTATTGTGAATAATGCTGCAATGAACATGGGGGTGCATATACTTTTTTTGAATTAGTGTCTTTGTTTTCTTTGGATAAGTACTCAAACGTGGAATTGCTGGATCATGTGATAGTTCTATTTTTAATTTTTTGAGGAACCTCCATACTATTTTCCATAGTGGCTATACCAATTGTCATTTCCACTGACAGTGAACAAGCTTACCTTTTCTGCACATCCTTGCCAACACTCGTTATTTCCTGTCTTTTTGATAATAGCCGATCTAAGAGTTGTGAGGTGATATCTCATTGTGATTTTGATCTGCATTTCTGTGGTGATCTCACTACATCTAACTATAATCTATAGCTAAAAACCTGTGTAACATAGCTACTCTCATTCTTGTGCTACAAACCTCAAAAATGATATTTTAGGGGGGCTTGCCTGGTGGTGTAGCGGTTAAGTGCACACTTTCCACTTCGGCGGCCCGGGGTTTGCCAGTTCGGATCCCGGGTGTGGACATGGCACCGCTTGGCAAGCCATGCTTGGGCAGGCGTCCCACATATAAAGTAGAGGAAGATGGGCACGGATGTTAGCTCAGGGCCAGGCTCCCTCAGTAAAAAGAGGAGGATTGGCAACAGATGTTAGCTCAGGGCTAATCTTCCTCAAAATAAAAAAAATTATATTTTAGGTTTCATAGTTAATATTTGTACTTTGTTTCAAATATTGCTTTCTTTTTTAACTTTTCTATCCCAAAGGATTTTTAAATGATGATTTTAATTAAAAATTGTGAAAAAATACTCTTGTCAGTGGTAATGGGTTTACTATTTTATAATGGAAGAGGAAAATAATAGTCTTCTTTCCTAAATCCTGTCTATGCTAAATTCCCGTCTACAGAAATCTTTTAAAAACAAGACACGCATATAAAAGGTTTTTATAGATGAGAAACCTACGGGATAAATGTTAATTCTTTTCCTACAGCAGCTGAGAGAAAAATTGATTTATCCATATTTATATTAGACATTAATTATGTTTGGATATGGCTTAAAGAAAATAGTGTATTTTTCCTTTACATAGAAGAAATGCAGAGATAGACCTGACAGGGCTGATGTGGTGTTTCTTTGGTCCTCAGGGGTACAGGCTCTTTTATTTTTCTATTCTGTCATCCCTGACCCATGACTTTCATCTTCACATTTGTCTCATGCTTCGTATGGCTCCTCATACTCAAGCCATCGTGTTAGTGTTCCAGGTAGAAAGCAGGAGGAAGGGGAACATGGTAAGAAGGGCACATACCACCTGTCTCAGGCCTTTCTTGTGCCTTGTTGGATGTGCATGCCACCTAACCTCTTCTACTTACATTTTTTTTAGCTAGAACTTAGTCATATAACCACACTATCTATTTGCAAAGGAAGCTAGGAAGCAGAGTTTTTAAAGGCTGAGTATCTTGCTTCCTAAGTAAAATTAGGGCTCTGTTACTAAGATACCTAACAGTAGGTAGGAAAAGTGAGAGCCACTCCCACTCTCAGTGTCTACCATATGTTGCCCTGTAACAGAATAAACCAAATATTGGGGGAAAATTTCATAATGAGGTAAATTTTTCTTATGATGGTGGTGTTAAATTCCTCTCTTTTTTTTTTAAAGGGAAACTTTTAAAAGTGATCTTCCTAAAGAAAATTTAGCTTTCATACTAAAAGATTGGAATGTTTGGATTAATAGTGGTTTTCTGGATTTCACAGAAATAGTATCAACTATTTGGGGCTGTGAGCTGCATGAGGAAGAAATACTGAGAAAGTTTTCTGAAGAATCTCACTTTTCTTTTAGTTTAATCTTTGTCTTTGCTGCCAGTTTCGCTGACAGTTTTCAGAATGGGAGAGTTACAGTGCTCATCGATTTGAAGAATTAATATTGTTAAAATGTCCATACTACCCAAAGTAATCTATAGATTCAGTGTAATCCCTATCAAAATTCTAATGGCACTTTTCACAGAAATAGAAAAACCAATCCTCAAATTTGTGTGGAACAGCAGAAGACCCCAAACAGCCAAAGCAATCCTGAGAAGAACATACTTGGAGGCATTACACTTCCTGATTTCAAACTGTATTATGAAGCTGTAGTCATCAAACAGTATGATATGGCATAAAAACAGACTCATAGATCAATGGAACACAATCGAGAGCCCAGCAATGAACCCTTGCCTATACAGTCAATTAATTTTTGACAAAGGAGCCAAGAATATACAATGGGGAAAAAACTGTCTCTTCAATAAACGGTGCTGGGAAAGCTGGACAGCCACATGCAAAAGAATGAAACTGGACCCTTATCTCTACTATACCCTACTATATATATCAAAATGGATGGAAGATTGAAACATAAGGCCTGAAACCATAAAACTCTTAGAAGAAAACACAGGCGGTAAGCTCCTTGATGTTGATCTTGGCAGTGAGTTTTTGGATTTGACCCCAGAACCAAAGGCAACAAAAGCAAAAATAAGTGGAACTACATCAAAGTAAAACGTTTCTGCACAGCAACCACCAACAAAATGAAAAGGCAGCCTATGGAATGGGAGAAAATATTGGCAAATCATATATCTGATAAGGGGTTTATATCCAAAATGTATAAAGAATTCATACTTCAATAGCAAAAAACCAAACAATTTGATTGAAAAATGAGCAGATGAATGGAATGGAAATTTTTCCAAAGAAGACATACAAATGACCAATGAGAACATGAAAAGGTGCTCAGCATCACAGAAATGCAAATCAAAACCACAAGGAGATATCACTTCACACCTGTTAGATTGGCTATCATCAAAAAGACAAGGGATAAGTGTTGGTGAGGATGTGGAGAAAAGGGAGCCCTGGTGCACTGTTGGTGAGAATGTAAATTGGTGCAACCACAATGGAAAATAGTATGGAGGTTCCTCAAAAAATTAAAAATAGAACTACCATATGATCCAGTAATCCCACTTATGGGTATATATCCAAAGAAAATGAAAACGGAATTTTGAAGAGAGATCTGTACCCCCATGTTCATTACAGTGTTATTCACAATAGACAAGATATGGAAGAGCCTAAGTGTCTGTTGATAGATGGATGGCTAACGATATGGTATATCTATACAGTGGAATATTGTCCAGCCGTGTGAAAGAAGATCCTGCCATTTCCAACAACATGGATGGACCCTGTGACTAAATTTCTACGTTTAATTATCATTTAATAATTATTTGGCCCTTTCTAATTGTAATATTATCTATTTTAATCTAATAGTATTGTTTGGGGTATTTTACCTAAGTTTAGTGAAGTGCACTGGAAATAATATTTTTGAAAAACTTTGCATATAATTTTTATTGAAAAATGTAGTGTGTTAAAGAGTCATTTGGTACGTAAATGTTGTATTCCTAAGTAGATTAATTTATGAGTTTATCTTTTATTTGTTTCAGTATCCCTGAATGAGGTTTCATTGCTAGTGGATACCACACATTTAAAGAGGTTTGGGTTATGGAAAAGTAAGGATGATGATCACAGTAAAAGGAATCATGCTATCGTTTTCCTCTGGGTCTCTTCAAATTATCTTCAAGAGATTCACACCCAACTAGAAAACTCTGTATTAAGCCAGCAGTGTGAGTATAGAATGATTTCTAAATTTCAGAATAACCTGAGAAGTCCTATAAATAAAGTAGTTTTATTCTAAAATAATTAATAGAATGTAATTATTTCATTTAGTTGAAATTAAGTTCATTGAATTAATGATAATTTTATTCCTTAAGTTTATGTAAGGTAAATTATTTATTTCATGATTTCTCCTAATAATTTTACTGAGTTAAGTGAAATTATCTTCTAAAACAAAAGGAATACCTTATCTTTTGATCAGTTACCATCTGTGGTTGCCGTTCTTAGGAGTTTTTTGCTCTTATTTCATAATGAAGTGTAAAAAGACTAATCAGCAGCAGAGTTAAATAAAATACAGGTGTTTACTTTCAGCATTTTCTTTAGTTGCTACAAAAGAAAACTCAGTTTACTTATATATCATTGCTCTAAGACTGGGTTGAATACTTTTCTATATGCTCCTCTAACACTTATCTATATATATGCATCTTGAGATATTTCCCAACTTTGTTGAGTTTCCAACTCCTAAAGTAGTCTGGTTTAGAAGTTCGTTCTTACCTCTTTGGTCTCTCTACCTTCCCCCCCCCAACTCCCTTGTACATTAAAGGTTAAAGTAGTTAAGTAGTGGACTGAATTTTATACCTTTAATTAGTTATTTTGCTGTCCTAATTACTTCCAAATTAGTTGGGAAAATTCATGATTAAATAGTAGAGAAATTGGGGAAATATAATGAGCCACTTATGATCATTATCAGGGGAGAGAATGTCACTTGAGACCACTGTTGAAATGATTGATCAAAGATGATTTTGAAGGAAATGTTTGATTGGCATACTTTTTTAATTGATAGATTTTTATATATGGAGAAGCCTATAGAAAAATAATTAATTGCTTACTAATGATTCGTTCCTTTATTCATACATTCGTTAACAAAGTTTATTAGCACCTACTAAATGTCAGGTACTGGAGATCCAGCAGTCAGTACCGTTGTGGAGTTTCCATTCCAATGCAGTAGGCATCTAAAAACTGAGAGTTTCGGTTCTAGGTTACTAATGGCCTAGTTTGGGATTTAATTTGCCTGAGTTATTAACTAACATACAAAGTACTTTGTTGGGTTATATACCAACCTTGCTGTTATTAATAATTAAATTATTTTAGTTATAATCTCCTTGAAAAATAATGCTACTGGTAAAAATTTCTTTTTTCTTTTATAGCAAAATCCAGTGAATTCATTTTCCTTGAGCTACACAATCCTATTTCACAAAGAGAAGAACTGAAATTGAAAGATATTATGACAGAAATAAGTACAACCAATGGAGAATTAGAGCTTTCTTATCCGTTGTCTTGGGTTCAGGCACTTCCATTATTTCAGAAATTCTCTTCAAAAGAAAGTTCTTTTATTCATTATTACTGTGCCTCGACTTGTTCTTTCCCTGCTGCTGCTGCTGAGGAAATGAAGATGAAACCAATATCCCAGGTTAGCATGTGATTAATGTAATTGGGGAGGGAGAGGGAGGAGGGTCAGCAAAAATTTTCCCTTTGAAATTAGGCTGATTTCAAAATACTTTGTTTTGTCAAAAGGGCACAGGAGCTGACCTGAAAGAACTCCCAATGCCAAAGCTAGAACAGTTTGATCAACAAAATCAATAATGACAGCAAGTGATTATTATCAAAGAATAAAATAAATACCCATGAATCTATATTGATACAAGTAAATAACAATTAATGAATAAATAAATAATAAATAGTAGATAAGGGACAGTTCTTTCTTAGAAAAATATTCGAATTAATAATTGTAAAAGGAATTAGAGAGATATAAAACCACCACTAGAAATTCCAGTTATTATTGTTGCAGGCAAGGTCCACTGAGAGATGCTAAATTTAATAGGTGAAAACTTTTTTTTTCTTTCTACTGAGGAAGATTTGCCCTGAGCTAACACCTGTTGCCAATCTTCCTCTTTTTTTTTGCCGAGGAAGATTTGCTCTGGGCTAACATCTGTGCCAGTCTTCCTCTATTTTGTATGTGAGTTGTCACCACAGCGTGGGCACAAGTGGTGTAGGTCCATGCGCAGGAACCGGACCTGGGCCACCAAAGCGGAGTATGCCAAACTTAACCTCTGGGCCACTGGGACTGCCTCAATAGGTGAAAACTTAAGGAGAAACAGGATAATGTGCATAATCTCGAAGTCTCTCGCCCAAAATATTTATTAATTATAGAAAGAAAAGTAGTAACTTTACAGTTAACTTCACCAGTAATGAGACATAGTGACATAATGCCCCTGTCACATCATGCACCAAGAAGGGAACATGACTTCTGTGGTGTTCTTCCCAATATTGTATAAACTCAATTTAATCATGAGAAAAATCAGACAAACCCTATCACAAAATAACTGACCAATGCTCTTAACAAATATCAAGGTCATGAAAGACAGGGAAAGATGGAGGAATTGTAGGATCCTGAAACAGAAAAAAGATAATTAGTGGAAAAACTGGTAAAATCGGAATAAAGTCTGTAGTTTACTTTGTATTATTATACCAAGGTTAATTTCTTAGTTTTGATAATTGTGCTGTGGTTATATAAGATGTTAAGGTTACGGGAGTCTGGGAGAGGCTTGTTTGTTTTTTGCAACTCTTCTGTAAGTCTAAAATTATCGTGAAACAATATAAGTTTGAAAATGTTGTGTTTATTTTTGTGGGAGATTGGTAATATACGTGTAGCTTGTCTATCTCTGCCAAATACCTGTAGAAAGGACAGTGTTTATTAAGTTTGCTATGGCACGTGCGCACGGGTTTGGTCTGGGGCTAATCTGCTATTTAAATAAACGCCTATGGAAAAGCCACGTTAGTGGAAGATGAGGTGTAAGACTTCCCCACTACCTTTCTGTATGCATAAGCTTGTAAAAACTTCACATGGTAATTGCATCATATATACAAATTTGTATCATACTTTCCCATTGAATGGTACAATATCAGTTTATGTTATTATAAAGACATTTTGGTCTCTCTTTTAAATTTTATTTTTTCCTTGTCTTTATCACCTCTTTTGTTCATTTGGAACTGCATAGTTTTCAGATTCTTCTTTAATTATAAAACCCAAATCTCTAAGTAACACTTCAAGTTAATCTTTTACCATTGTATATATGGTATCTTTTGATCAAAAGTATTATTTTGATTTGGTTATGTCTTTGTAGAAATTCTAAAGGTGTAGATGTAACTCATTGGTATGAGTTTCTTTTAGTCACATTTTCTCTTACAAGTCTAGGTTTTGACTTTGTCCTTTTGAGAGTTAATATGTATTTCTGTATCTATAAGCAGACTTTTTCTTTGCCATTTCCTGTCAGCCTTCAAACATCGATACAGCCAAGCCTACTTACACCTTCCTGCAGAAGCAAAGTAGTGGTTGCTACTCACTTTCTATCACCTCTAACCCAGACGAAGAATGGCGAGAAGTCAGGCACACTGGACCTGTTCAGAAGTATGTACCGTGTCATAGCCCGTTTGTAATAGGTGGGCACATTAGTAGTTTTCATTCATGTTGCTGATTTTAAGTAGTTTACCTTTTTAAATGTTTTGAGTTTTACTTTCACCTCTGACAGTTAATAATGGAAATAATTATTTTTTATTTATGAGAAAGTTAAAAAATTTTATTAAAAAAATAGTTGGTGCCATTTCATTTAGTTTTATGTCAGTAAGACAGAAATGACAGCCAAAATGTCAAATTTGGTAAGATTAAAGCATTTATTGAAAATATTTGAATAGCACTGTATGGTTTTTAAGATTATATATTCCATGTCTGAATATGTGATAGGAAAAGTGACATCGCTTACTCGTGTGCCTTGATTTAAGGTGTTTTGGAGTTTATCAGAACTTCCCTTTCAAAGAAGTTGCGTCTTTGTTCATATTTCATCTTTTATATATCTTCTCATGGTGGTAAGGCAGAATGGGAAGTCTGTGCATTTGAGGATGATTTCTTTTCCTCTATGTGATTCCTTTTCTCTGTTTAAAAAAAAAAGCAAATGAAAGCATAGGATAGGAAAACAGACAATAAAATAGTGATGTCATATTAGCATTTAAAATTTTCACATATTCTTACTTGATTTAGGCACCATGGTTACCAAGATTAAATCAATTGTGGATAACTCTTATCTTGTTGACTCTTTCTGGTTCAAGAAGTATATATTATACCTTTATTATTGGCTACATTTGTGCAACAAGTACCACCCTGTCTATTCCAAGATTATAGCCAGGAATTCACAACTGCTCTTATTTCTAGGCTTTAAGAGAGGGTGCCAGAAGAAAGGTGCCTAATTAGTTGTCAGCTGTTTTCTACTTCTTTCTGGTTGTGTTCTAATTATCCATTTCCTTTATGTTCTCTTGAATTTCACATTGTAAGTGCCTTGTTATGGGACACTTGCCTTCTAAGCTCCCATATGATTTCTTTATTGCCCAGCTGCTGGTGTAGACTATCCACCAGTAGGAGAACTTAGTTTTTGACTGTTGGCTCTACTAAATGGAAGGGAACTGGTCTTAAGGATTCAAACTTAGAGGTGGAAAGTGGAGCATAGGCCAGTCTTCTATGATTTATTACATCAGTTTGTTGAAAGTTAAAAATTGTGCACAAGAGAGACATCCTCAATGGCATCGTAACTGATTATGAGATACATATTGATTAGATAAGTATTGATACCAGCCCACACGGGAAGGATTGGAAGTGAAAAGACACTCAATGAGAGTACTATTAGTAGCTTGTGAAAGTAAAGGGAGGAAAATGTAATTGCTTGTATGCTGTCAAATATTCTTTACCCTACACATTTTAGTTATTGAATCCTACTGCCCTGTATTGTTCTATATAGCAAATGTTTTTGATAATAGACTTTTCAATACCAAGGTATTTTAACTTTATTTTTAAGGTTGATTGTATATCCTCCACCACCTACTAAAGGGGGATTAGGTGTAACTAATGAAGATCTGGAGTGCTTAGAAGAAGGAGAGTTTCTTAATGATGTAATCATTGATTTTTACCTTAAGTAAGTACAATGATAAATGGTCTTCTCATTTGTTTTACAGGTTTTGTTGTGAATCTTAAAATAAATGTCTTTATCTCTGAAGTATTTTATCTCTAGCTAAAAATAACCTACTAAGATTTGAGAGTTGAAAAATTTTGCCTACCAGAGTTTACTAGAGTTGACTAATTGAGTTTCCTTTACTTCCCATTGATACTATATACTTCAGAAGTTACTGGTTTTTTGTTTTCGTTTGTTTGTTTCTGATTTATACTTCTTTGAGTACGGTATTATTGTGGTGAAGGAAGTACTTAACATCATTACAGATGAGTTTGGGAATTGAGAAGAAGCAACTCCGTGTAGTTATCTATCATACCTTTAAGCGCTCCAAGAGTTGACTGTCATTTTACAAATCCATATCACTATTCCATTAAAAAGTAATTGTCAACTTTTTGTATGGCCAAGCTGAAGGTATAGATAGGGAAGTTTTATAAACTTTCGGGGGCAAAGATAATTTGTGTCTAGCCCCCATTGTGGATTGTTATCCCTAGACCTACATTTCCAACAATTCTTTCAGATATTTCCCACTGAGTATTTCACTGACCCCTCTCAAACCAACTTTATTGTCATCTTGCCTAAGCCCTATTGTTTTACTGATAATACTATCCTTATTCTAGTTACTTAGGCTCAAAATCTCACATTATCATTTTCTCTTCATCTCAGACATTGTAGATTTAATCTCTATAAGTTTGATTTGTGTCTTTTTTATGTCTTCCGTGTCTCTATTTAACTTTTTGAACATTTGGAATATAGTTCTAATGACTCTTTTAATGTACTTTTCTGCTTATTCACACATCTATGTCAGTTCTGGGGTCGATTTGAACTGACTGATTTTTCTCTTTGTTGTAAGTTATATATATATATTTTTTAGCTTCTTTGCATGTCTAGTGATTTTTTATTGGATGTTGGGTATTTTTGTTTGCTTTTGGTGAGGAATATTGGCCCTGAGTTAACATCTCTTGCCAAGCCTCCTCTTTTTGCTTGAGGAAGAGTGTCCCTGAACTAACATCTGTACCAGTCTTCCTCTATTTTGTATGTGGGATGCCTCCACAGCATGGCTTGACAAGTGGTATGTAGGTCTGTACCTGGGATCCGAACATGTGAACCCTGGGCCTCTGAAGTGGAGTGTGTGAACTTAACCACTATGCCACTGGGCTGGCCCCGGGTGCTGGGTATTTTTATATTCCTATAAATATTCTTGAGTTTTGTTCTGAAACACAGATTATTTAACACAAATTAAAAACAGTTTGAGACTTTTAAGGGTCTTGCTTTTTTAAGATTTGTTAGGTGAGACCAACAAATTAATCCCCACTACTGAGGAAAGACCCTCTGAGTACTCTACCCAATGCCTGATGAATTACGAGGTTTTCCAGCCTGGCTGGTAGGCAGCGGCACTGTTCCTGCAGCCTGCATGATGCTGGGTTTCCCTCTAATCTTTCCAAGTAGTTCCTTCCCGAAGCTTGGATATTATCCTTATATACATGCACTGATCAATATTCTGCTAAATACTTGAGGAGGACTCTCTGCAGATGTCTGGAGTTCTCTTTCTAGACAGCTCTTTTCTTTTCAGTATTCTCTTCTGCAAACTTGAGCTGCTTGGTTTCTTCAAGCTCTCAGCATCTCCTCCACTCAGGGGGTCTGTCAGGCTCCACCTGGGTTACTCCTTCCTGTGCTGCAGTCTGGATGCCATCAAGGCAGTAAGCTGGGGCATTAGTGGAGCTCACCTTGTGTGTTTCCCGTTTCTCAAGGATCACTGTTCTTGGTTGCCTGATGTCTAGTGTTTGGAAAACTATTGTTTCATATATTTTGTCCTATTTTTTGCTTGTTTCAAGCAGGAGGGTAAATCTGGTCCCTGTTATATTATCTTGGCTGGGAGTGGAAGTCTCCATTATCATTGTCTCTCTCTTTTTTTTTTTTTTGCTCAGGGCGAATCAGGAAGATTCGCTCTGAGCTAACATCTGTGCCAGTCTTTCTCTATTTTATATGTGGGATGCTGCCACAGCATGGCCACTGATGAGTGGGGTAGATCCGTGCCTGGGAACCGAACCTGGGCTGCCAAAGTGAGTGCCCCTAACTTATCCAGTAGGCCACGGGGCTGGCCCCTTCCATTATCATTGGCTCTTAACCCTCCCTTGCCTCTTTACTCAGTGGCCACTTTTAGTAGATTCTGTCTTTCAAATTTATTTATTCTCTTTCCTCTGTCATCATGATCTTTCTAGTACTCCTTATCTTACCTAAATTGTTAGTCTGTCTTTTTAACTAGTCTCCTTATATCTTTTGTCTCTATTTTTTCCTATCCCTTAAGTAAATTATTACCACCATTATTCTTCTTAAACTAATCCATGAATTCAATTCCCATTAGAAACTTTGAGCTTTTCTTATTACCAGTCAAAATGAGTTCAGACACAGCCTGGCATTTGAGGATGTTGATATGACAGTAATCTGTCTTTTCAGCCATCTACTAATAACCCTACACATACTACATAGTCCAGCAGAATTGAATTACAAACAGTTTACTAGACAAAACCCATCTTTATGCGCTCTTCTGCCTTAATACCCTGTGTTATTTTTGCTTTCTGGAATACTTTCCCCTTCCTCTCAGCCTGTTGAATTTTTTTTTTTTTGGGTGAGGAAGATTGGCCCTGAGCTAACATCTGTTGCCAATCTTCCTCTTTTTTTTTTGCTTGAGGAAGATTGTCCTTGTGCTAACATCTGTGCCAGTCTTCCTCTATTTTATGTGGGGTGGTACCACAGCATGGCTCTGTGAGCGATGCCAGGTCTGTACCTGGGATCTGAACCCACAAACCCTGAGCCACTGAAGCGGAGCCTGTGATGCCACTGGGTCAGCCCTGAACCTGTTGAAATTTTATTCTTCTTCCAAGGTTTCTCTCAAGTGGTACTCTCATACAACTTTTCCTAATCTTCTAAACAAATATTATTAACTTTTGTAATACTTCATTTGCATCTCTTTTATCGTACTTATAAATATTTTGCCTTATTTTAAAGTTATTTGGTGGTATTATGATCATTCTCCTTCTAAAGGTTAAGCATCTTACATCTTACTTATTTTTGTATCCACCTAATCGTGTCAAATTTATAGTTTGTGAGATGAGTTGAATCATCTTAGGTGTTAATTTTGTTATGTTTCCTTGGAATTAACTAATCAAGTTTTATTTCTAATTCAATTCTAATAGTATTTTTCTATACTTACTTTTCACTGAACCACCCATGTCTCTGTCTCACTGACTGCTTTTCAGAGGAGACTCTTTAAAGATTGGCACCTGAGCTAACAACTGTCACCAACCTTTTTTTTTTTCTGCATTTTTCTCCCCAAATCTCCCCAGTACATAGTTGTATATTTTTTAGCTGTGGGTCCTTCTAGTTGTGGCATGTGGGACACTGCCTCCGCGTGGCCTGACAAGCGGTGCCATGTCCGTGCCCAGGATCCAAACTGGTGAAACCCTGGGCTGCTGAAGTGGAGCCCGTGAACTTAACCACTCGGCCAGGGGGCCGGCCCCAGAGGAGATTCTGACTCTTTTTTGTAAACTATTTTCTGTTTATTTTTTAAATTGACGAATAACTTTCAAGTAGTAAAGTGCATAAATCTTAAGGGTACAACTAATGAATGTTCATATATGTATGCACCCATTTGTCATCATTCAGATCAAGAGGAAGAGCACTTCCAGCTTCCTTTGCATCTCCTTCCACGTAGTGTACTCTCCCCTTAACCATGTCAGAAAAATTCCAAGTTGTGTTTGTCTTTTATGCTTTATTATTATTATTATTTTTAACTTTTTTTTTTTGAGGAAGGTTAGCCCTGAGCTAACTGCTGCCAATCCTCCTCTCTTTTCGCTGAGGAAGACTGGCACTGAGCTAACATCCGTGCCCATCTTCCTCCACTTTATATGTGGGACGCCAACCACAGCATGGTGTGCCAAGTGGTGCCATGTCCGCACCCGGGATCCGAACCGGCGAACCCTGGGCTGCCCAAGTGGAATGTGCGAACTTAATTGCTGCGCCACTGGGCTGGCTCCTATTTTTTGTTTTTTTTAAGCAATTACAAGGTCATTTTCAGACCTACACGAACTATTAAGAATAGCTGAGTTCTTTAATTATGAAGGGTTTAATCACTGAATGATTGAATTATAAGCTTATGTTGAAGAGTTGTTTTAGTATAGAAGTGGACTAAGTATTTAGAGATTAGTCATGTCTCAGAGTTATTAACATTTTCATAGATTTATTTAGGAGTGTCAAATTTCAGTTTTATATTTGATTGTGTGATTCTTTGGTTAATAGTTCCTTCTGCCCTCACTTCTTTGGATTGTAAGCTCTCTGAGGGCAGGTAGTTTTTTCTTTCCTCTCATTTTGTGTGTCTAGTGTAAATATGGTGCTTGGCACGTTAGGAATTTCATAAATATTTGTTAAGTAAATGAATAAATAAGTGGGCAGTTTCTGCTTTAATGATCTTAATGAACGATCAGGTAACTAAAGAACAAATAAAGCTGAAATCAGAGCAAATTACAAGATTGCTTTGAATCTAACTAGACATAAAAATGAAGATTTCTAGAACATATGAGAGAATTGGGTGAAGACCAGGTAAAGTCTAAAAAATAACTTACTTTTGTGGTGTGCTACTTTATAGGTATCTTATATTGGAGAAGGCATCGGATGAACTTGTCGAACGAAGTCACATTTTTAGTAGCTTTTTCTATAAATGCTTGACGAGAAAGGAAAATAATTTAACGGAAGATAATCCAAGTCTTTCGTAAGTCAGTCTTCCAATGTACTTAAGTTTTAAGAGGAAAATACACTATTTTGATGCTCCTGGTGAAAGAACTTCTTGTGGTACTTCCTGCAGTGAGCTGTATTCCCACCTGTGCTGTCCTGGCCTGCGTGCTCTGAGAGGCGTTTCTCACCCTTCCGCTGTTCTGCTCCCTGTGATGGGGAGGCTGACACTCGGAGGCCAGGCCACCTTTCCAGTTGCATGTTCTGTGGGGGACACTGGAGGTTGGAGGCCGAGGCAGGGAAAAGCCAGGCTGTTTCTTCCTTACCCTCCATGCGTTGGATTCTGGCAGTGGCCGTTTCCTCTCGCTGGACAGACCTGCTGGAGCTCCAGCTTGTGTCTTCTGGTCCTGCTTCTTCCCCTGGCCCTTCTGTGTAGGGGATGGCAGTTTCCTGCTGTGCTCATCTCTGCTTGCCTCACTGCTCTCTCTTTTGGCCTTGCACTTTTTCTATACCAGTGTCGCCAATTCTCTGTATTACGTTTTATCTGTCTTAAATATATAGTGTGGTTTTTGTTTTCCCAGTCGGACCGTCACCAACATACTACTTAAACTGATGTAACTTTATACAACATAACATATTTGTTCCCACACTTTAGCTGAATTTCTGTCCAAATGTTTTTTGGTTAGTGCTAAACCTATGGAGCCGTAGATAGGGATAGGCCAAAAGGAGGAGGGAGTTGTTTTTATTTCCTAGACGGCAGTGCTTGGACGTTGTAGCATGGAGCTGCTTCACCCCTCTCCCCGCCCCAGCAATGCGTGTGATAGTCTGTGTGCTAGACCTGTGATAAAATGAAGAGTTTTTATTTTTAAAACAGTTAGTGTAAACATATATCTACCACTTTACAACTTATAAGGTACATGTTTGTATATTATTTTCTCTCATGACAAGTCCTTTTAGATATGTGGGGCATGTATGTCATATCCCAGTTTTTCAGACGAGGAAGCAGATCGGTGAAGATTGGCAGACTCCGCTGGGGGCAGAACTGGTTGGTACTTATGTCTTCATCTTCTACCCTCCAGTCTGGAGAAGTTTCTGTTGCACTGGACTGCCTTTAAAATGTGGCTGTGAGAGTGTGTTTCATCCCTTTAAAATAATAGGAATAATAAGCAAGTAAGAAGATAATTAAGTGGATAAGGTGTTTTGTATTGTTGGTGCAAGAGGGTATGAGTAGGGAGAGTGTTAACATTTATTGAGAGCCTGCTTGGAACCATGCCAGCGAACATAAAGTCATTTTGTTGGATTCTACAATAATCTTCTGAGATAAGTGCCATTGTCTTTATTAATTGAAGCTTAAAGAATTTAGATAAGTTATCTGAATTTGGATGTAGCTTTCCAGTTTCAAAGTTCAAGCTCTTTCTGTTGTTTCTAGTGTTGTGACCATGTAATTTATGGTCTAAATTGGGACACTTGAGAGAGTAAAAGGAGCCTCTATTAATAGTTAACACTGGGCAACACGTGTGTGCCGGGGCTGTCCTAGACAAACTAGGATGTGTGGTCATCTACATTTTGAGTGTCTTTATAGATTTGGAACTTGTATTGACGGACAATCCCTGTCAGCATTAATTACGGAGAAAAATTTGCAATTTGAAAATATTCCTGATACTCAGGATTAGCAGAGAGGGTTATATGGAAGGAGAAGATTTATTAAATAAATTTGATATTTAACATTTCTGATGCCCTCCTGTTCTATTTTATTGATATAGAAATTGACAGTTGGTACCATGCATTTAATCCCACATTTTATTTTAAGATTACTGGTCAATGTAGAGATTATGAATTTGGCATACCACCTAGACATTGAGGAAATGAAAGTAAGTAGATTCTGCTATATTTTTAGATTTTTAAAAAATTAAAAAAATTTTTTAAATTAGGCATTGTATGCCTGATCATATATAAAAGTAATACAAAACAGTTACATGAGTGGCGTATTCCAGGGTAAGATATATGTGTAAGACACTAGATACATATACTATGTATATGTTTTATGTACCACATAGTATATATACCATATATACTGTATCTCTCTCTCTCTCTCTAGCATCTTACATATAGTATATATATAGTAAAGTGTATAATCTCTCTATATAGTATATATAGTATAGTATATAGTATTTACTATATATATAGTAGACATATAGTATAGTATATTATATATAGTATATATTATATTGTGTCATATATATATACACTATATATAGTACTATAGTATCTTATATATACACATACATGTATAGATGGGTATGCGCGCACACACACAAATACTCATACTAATGCTTGGCCTGATACGTGTATAATTAGTATTCACACAAAGAATCTCTACAAATGTGTAAAATAAACAAGATACTGCAGAAACAAAGTGGCAAGGGTTATAAACCTTAATGGCCAATAAATCCCTGACAGGAGGCTCAAACTACTAGTGTTAGGAAATTGCAAACTAAATGATACAAAATCTCATTATGATGATTTCTGAGGTCCTTCCAGATGTGGCTTCTGTCCATCTTCCTAAACTCATCTTACAACATTCTCTCCCCTCAGTTACCATACTTCAGCTCAGCCCACCTCCTGTCAGTTTTCAAATATGCTAAGTTCTTTCCTATTTTCTTTCTTTTTTAAAAGTTTTTTGGATCAAACCATTTTATTGAGAGGCTTCGGGGGCGGGTTGAAGGGCTGGGAGGACAATGCGATCCAATGTCCTTGGCCTGGCCAGTATCTCCCCAGCTTCACAGTCACTGAAAAACTCTATTTTCTGACTAAAATTTCTTCTCCTTGGACTTTTTTTATTTCACAACATGATTTCTAATAATTTATTTCTTTGTTTTCTTGTTCATTTTCTGTTCTCATCCTAAAGTATGAGCTTCATGAGGTCAGGAACTTCATCTATCTTATTTTCTGTTCTATTCCCAGTGCCTTTTGCTCAGTGCGTGGAACATGCTAGGAACTCAAAATAAAAGATAATAATCATGTATATCATTGGATGGGGAGAGAACTGTTAGACATTTAATTGGGGATTTTCTACCCAGTTAGGAACTGAGAATAAGAGATTATGTTGTGGCCCCCATAATCTTGTCTCTCCTCCTTGCCCCATCCTGTGTCTAATCTGTTCCCAATCAAATGAGGTTAGAACAATCAGGAAATCTTCCAGACATCAGCATAGCAAAGGAGAACCAGGGGTCGGTCCTTAGGATCTCCAAATGGAAACAAATGAACAGACTGGGCACTGGCTGAAAATAGTTGTTTATAATCATTGAAATGGTTGGGTCTTTCTGAAGTAAGAAAACTCAGTAAATGTATGACTTCCGATTATTTATGAAATTAATCTTGTACATAGTGTCTAATTCCTTCCATATCTTTTAGCCCATTCTGGATCCCATCTTACTCCTAATGTGAGTCTGGTTAGATACTCAGATGAACAGGGATGGGGCAAAAATGTCTGTTTCCTGTATTACTTGGTATATAAATATATAAGGACTTAATGATTTATATAATTCCCTGTATAAAAAGAGGTTCTTCAGGGACTAAGCCAGAAGTCACATACCACCTCCTTTATGCCACTCTTAAATGCCATCCCTTTCCTACAACATTTTTTGACATCCAAACTTGGTTTGATTATCTTCCTTCCTTAACCTCCCTGATACGGTGTTCGTGTGTCCTAACACTTCTCTAGATGGCTTTCCTGGATGCTATTAGAGAATTCCTTTGTCTCTCTTCTGACACTTACGTTTTAGTTATTTGTTGTAGTTTTTTATTCTGCATTCATTATTTTGTAAATTCCTTTAGGTCATTGTGTATGATTTTCATTATTTGTTCTTAGGAACGTAATAAATATTTGTTGAAGAAATAAAATGAAAGATGGATGAATGTTGGATATACTTAACTCGTTGTCCTATAGTTTCCTTGTATATGAAATGAAGGGAGTTGAGTTTCATCTTTAAAAATCTAAGAATATATGCCTCATTTCTCCTCTTCCAGTAGGTTTTAACACCTCCCTCGTCACAGATATAAGATTTAGACAATTCTGCTAAGGCGTAATGATAATATTTTGTATCATGCCCAGATGAAACTAAACAGAATAAATAGATATAGCTGTGTTCAGTTGCTGAGCCACTTTTGGAATCTATAAAACATTTTATAAATTGTTGCCTTTCTTCTATCCATTACATTATTGTTTATAGTGATCAAATTTAAGAACAACCAGGAGTTAATAAAAGGAGATAATTTTCTAGTGTGTTAAATGTTATATATCTTGAAGAAGATGGTTAAATAAACTAAACCTAGCATTTTTCGGTATATAAAAAATACTCTTGGAATCTTTATCTTAAATTTTAAATTTTTTTATATACTAAATATATCTCTTTCATATTCCCAGAATGGCGCAGAGAAGACATAAAAGAGTAAGAACATGGACTCGTCATATAAACATCTTTAATAAAGATTACATCTTTGTGCCTGTAAATGAGTCGTGAGTATTTCAGATTATTTAAAAATAAACTTGGAGCGCAGAAAAAATATTTTGTATATTTTTAGATTAATAATCAGTAAAAAAATATGGGTACATAAATCCCAGGTATTATTATTTATTTTTAAAGAAATAGCTAAAACAATGAGTTACTTATCTTGGATTTTGGTTTGACAGTGGTTATGTTGTAAGTATAGTGAAAAAAATAAAATTACAAATGCCCTAAAGACTATAATGACGGAGACATTGAATTTTTATTTTTGGACTCAAGAAAAGATTTTCTAAATAAAACGTCAAAAGATTTTAGGAAGAATCTTCAAATATGTAAGAGAACAAGCCGTTTAAGCACTCAGAGAAAAAGGTGACACTATGAGTCTGTCTGTCTGTTTATTAGAGCAGATCCCCAACAGGGAACACTGATCGTATGGAAGTAAATAAGTTTGAATTACTCAGATTCCACCCTGAGTCTTCTTCCTAATTTAATTAGTTTGGGAATGTGTGTTCTGTGTTCTATCTGATATTACAGTGGGCTTCTTCAAAATCCCTATGAAATCTGTCACATCTGCTTTCCCAGCTGTAGCTCTAGGACACATTCTTCTGCATCATTTCCATCTTTTGTTATTGTGTTTCTTTTTCAACAGGTCTCACTGGTATCTTGCAGTCATTTGTTTTCCGTGGTTAGAAGAAGCTGTGTATGAAGATTTCCCACAAACCATGACCCAGCAGGCCCAGGCTCAGCAGTCCCAACATGGCAACAAAGCAATAGGTGATAAGCTTCACGTAGATGATGGTGTTAATGATGACAACAGTAAAAAGATAGAGTGAACAATATTAAGTTAAAAGATAGTATAGTTATTTATTGTCATTAAACTTATTAGAATAAAGAATAAGAAGTCTGAAATTTTCATGATAGGTGCCCAGCCTCCTGTATAGACAAATGTAATTCTTAAGTTATACTGTTTTATCAGGGTTTTTTTTGCTGAGAAAGATTCGCCCTGAGCTAACATCCATTGCCAATCTTCCTCTTTTTGCTTGAGGAAGATTCGCCTTGAGCTAACATCTGTGCCAGTCTTTCTCTATTTTGTCTGTGGGTTGCTGCCATAGCATGACTCATGAGTGGTGTAGGTCTATGCCTGGGAACTGAACCTGTGAACCCGGGCCACCGAAGCAGAGCATGCTGAACTTAACCACTAGGCCGTGGGCCCAGCCCATATATCAAGTTTTATAATAGCACTTGTTATGGAATAATCTTGCTAACGTGACTAAGAATTCATGCTGTGATCTTCAGGCATAGCTTGAAATCTCCCTTTTTTCCTTAATATGAATGAACACACTTCTTCTTGACACTGGTAATTTGGCTAGGTAATATCTCCTATAATATATTAATATCTCTTATATTAGTATTACTATATGATAATAATATATAATACAGTATATTAGTAATATTAACATATTGATAACAATATAATAATTAATATTAATTATTTATTAATACTATAATATCTTATAGGGGTCTCTTATAATTCTTCCATTTTCTTATGTTACAATCCAAATTTTAGTTAAATAAGCCTACTTTCTTTGAGGAAAAAAAATCAAAATTATGTGTTTTATAGTTGTAGCCTAAGCAGCAAGAGGAATTAATAATGGCCATTACCATTAATACTGGCCAGAATGCTTCTTTAGAGGGAGAGAAAGAAAAACTGATAAAGCAACTGATCATGTTCAGTTTTCTCTCATCCTCCTGTGCTTCAAAAGTGTATTTATGCAACACATCGTAGGTTAGAAGAACCATTACTAGAGAAATTAACAATCCTCCACATTAAAACAGCAGACATTTCAATTAGTGACCTGTCTTTGAAGATCATCTTTTTATTGGAAACTGGCTCAGTTAACTGGTATTTCAGGTTTTGGCTTTGGGCTTTATGTGCTGTCTGATAACAGCTAACCATTGTTAGTTTTATCTGTTGATTGAATTTGTTTTCATACGTTAACCATGAAAAAAAGTTAAATAGATCCCAGGTATTTTTTTCCCTTTAATAACTACTGTGTATAAAAATTAGAGGTTATGCTTATCTAAATGCTTTGTATTAAACATAAACACTCATAACCTCTTTGTTATTTCTAACTAGACAATGATCAACATGCTACTTCAACACTATCCTTGGCTACAGAGGATTCCCAAGTAAGTGTGATCTTTATAAATGTGAAGGAAGGAAGACTCATGAATACAATAATTTTATCCGTAAAATAGGGGGCCATGATGGATATCGGTGGACCGTAATTAAATTCTGCTGTTTCATGATTCTTTGATGTATTTTTTGGAGGTAGGAAAGAAAACAAGAGAAATTATTATTCTTCTTGCATCTGTTAAGCTTACTTTAACTCCCTAGGTTTGTTTATTTAGTAGTTTATCTGATCATCTTGGTTGGCTATTTTTCTAATTTCTATGGGTTCGATGTACTTTTATTCTTCATTGTGTCAACAGTTTTCTGAACTTAGTGTAATTAATGACCTAATCAAGCATATTTTATAGTCTACTTTCTATTACTGTAAATTGTTGGTAAAAATCATTCAAAGTAGACACAAGGTCAATGCTATGACTCCTGATGCTAAGATAGTCACTGTTAACTTTTCTCAGTATGGACCTCTGAACTGGTATGCATGGTCTAGATTTGGTGTCCTAATTGATTCAGGAAGCCACCTAATGATTTTTTGTGTGTATAGACAGCAGCAGCCTCCCTGGCATCGGCCTCTATCTTTACTGTCGTTGGTACAGGGAGGGCAGAAGGAAGGAGGTTTCCTTTTCTGCTGTTACAGTGGCAGGATAGGGGAGTTCCTTCTTCCTTCTAGAGCCATGTTTCCCAAATTGGCTTCCTTGGAACACTTGTTATAAGATGCAGTTTATGATAAAAAAAAATTCTGTGGTCAGTTAGGTTGGGTAAACCCTGTGTCATGTTCTTCTCTTAGAGATTCACTATTATGTTAGAATAATAATGGTACTGAGAAGTTCTGCATTGAAGAAATCTGTTTAAGTTTGATCTGTTGTTTCTCAAGTTTATCAAGAAAAACAACAAAACACTCCATCCCTTTTCCCTTAATACACATTAATACTCTGCTTCTTGTGCTTCGAAGGGAAGAAATGTATCTCTACTGACGTCATATATTAAATTAGAGAATGTAGATAAGGACAGGTTAAATTAACTTGTTTATCTTTGCTTAAGATGGTAACTGTGAACAGAATAAATTAAAGTTTCAAGTTGTTTTTTAGGCGACATTAAAGCTCCATAATTTCTTGAGGCCACATGTAAAAGTGTATAAACTCCTGTTTCACCAGTGTAAGAAAATAAATCAATTAATTTTTGAAAAAATGAAGTTGGCCTACTTCAGATAATGAAAATAACTCTTATTTGAAATTTTAATTTCAAAGTGTTTGAAACATTTTAAAGAGTAACTGAATATTAATTTATTTAAACTAGCTTTAATTGCAAAGTCATAAAAATTCATGTTATTTCAGAGTACCGAGACGAATATGTCAGTACCAAAGAAAATGTGTAAAAGGTAGGTACAAGCTGTAATAATACAGTTTTTTCAGATATTTAGGTTTAATTCATATACAAATATGTATATCTTGATTTGTTCGTTTTCTTTTCATAGGCCATGCATTCTCATACTAGACTCCTTGAAAGCTGCTTCTATACAAAACACAGTTCAGAATTTACGAGAGTAAGTGATGACAGTTTTACCCTCAGTCTCTTATCTAAAATCTCAGTAACTTTGAAGCTGTCTTAAGAATTACTGAAAAGACTATCAATTGTATTTTATTATGTATTTAGATGAGGCCTATAAATCTAATCAGTAATCAATATTCCCTATTATGTGTTAATATTTAAGTATTAATATTTCTCAAGGATTATATCCAAAGTAAATTTGGAATTTTTATTCATAATTGCACAAAAAGCATAATTTTACAAAGGAGCATTGCAAATATTAGTGGTTATCAAAGTAACACTTTACAAAAAAATAAGAACTCTTTCACATTCTTATTACATGAGTGTGTGTGTATATACGTATAATTTTGTAATTTACTATGGGACCTGGAAAAAACTGGCAACTAAAGTTTTAAAGTAATTTGTCAGTTTACTTTGTAATATAAATGACTTTATGTATATGAATTGTAAAAGTTGAGTTGTTGAAAAAGTCTAGCTTTTAGTTTGAAATTCAAATGATTTTCTTTAAACTAGCACTGTCAGCCTCACTTACTGTAATTTGTACTGTTCAGTCTTTGGAAATTTTGCTTGAGGCAACACATCTGGCAGAGATTTCTACTTGAGTCATTACACTTTTTGATGATTTAAGGTATTTAGAGGTAGAGTGGGAAGTTAAACGAAAAACTCATCGTGAATTCAGCAAAACAAACATGGTGGACCTGTGCCCTAAAGTTCCTAAACAAGATAACAGCAGTGATTGTGGAGTATATTTACTGCAATATGTGGAAAGCTTCTTTAAGGTATGTAAAGATATAAATAAGTTTTTTATTCACAATTACCAGCATACAATCACAAATTAGTGGGCAAGCAAAGAAGCAGGAAAATGTGACAGGTAATCAAGAAAGGGAAAAAAAAAGAAATAGAACCACATATAGTCCAGATATTGGAGTTTGCAAATAAGAACTTTAAAATGATTTGATGAATGCGTTAGGGAAAATAGTCAAAGATGGACAAATAGATAAAGAGATGGAATCTACTAAAAAAAAAATCAAGTGGGCATTCTAGAACTGAAAGTGCATAATGATATATCTGAATTTAAGGACGTGTTGGATGGGTTTGTTAGCAGACTGGATACAGCAGAAGATAGGATTAAAGAACTTAAAAAAAAATACAGTAGAAAGTATCCAGCTGTAGCTCAGAGAAAAAATAATGTAAAGAAGAGAACAGAGCATAAGAGACAAATGTGATACAGTCAGAAAGTCTAATTTACATGTAATTGGAGTTCCAGAGGATTGTGGGGGGAGAGAAGAGAGTAAGGCAGACACAAATGTGAAGAAAAATTCTCAAAACAAAAAGACTCATGTTCGAGAAGCTCAGAAAACCATAAGCTAGATAAGTAGAATAAGTGTGGGTGTTATTTTCTAGCTCATCAGAGACTCTGTAGGAACTGTAGCAATATCAAAGAAGAATTCTAAATAGCTAGGAATCACTCTTTGCTGTTTGAACTGTCAGCTCATTGCTTCAGTCGTTACCAGTATTATTGCTGAAGTGGGTATAGGAGCAGGATATTTTTGACCAGAAGCTTGCTTGGAGAATCCTTAAAGATACTTTCAAAGCATGCAAGTTGTAATATGCAGTTATAACTTTTGGTATAATTGGGGTGGAATGATAATATATTGTAGAAGATGGTGCACATTATGGAAACTATTAAATATGTCGTGTTGATGTTTTCCTTTTTTATTCCACACTGGAGCTTCATTATAGGGTGACAATTCTGGTCTTCTAATACTCTTTCCAAAGAGGTTTGATTTTGTTTTTATTGCATAATATTATTACATAACGTATTCTGAGTCTGTTACACAATTCTACTTTATATAGCCCCAGTCAGTAGAATATACTTCTAATAATGTTGTAGCAGCATTTAAAATTCCTGGAGGGAAAACTTGAAAAATTAAACCTTGTGTTTTACAAATTGCTTCACTAATGTAACAGAGCTTAGGTTGAAAAAAAGAGGTTTGGGATAGACCACTTAAAACTTGTGGAACTTTGTAACTAACGCTTAACAAAGACAGTGTTAATTCTAAAAAGAATATTTGTACAGTTAAATCTCCGCTGACTTTTGCTCCTAGAATCGCAGTCAGTCCATCCTGTAAGCTTTATACCCTGGGACTCTTAATTCCTTCTTCAGGATTTAAGTCCTTACATCTGGCTTCTAATAGTTTCATCAAATCTGGAAACATGATGTAGGGGTGGCCTTCTTCAGCAGTTAGTAATTTTTTTGAACACAGAAGGAAATGTCTTTGCAGGTGCAACTTGTATCTTCTCAGTTAAGCTTTAATATAGTGGAAAATATGGCAGTTCTTTAAGCCATAGCTATTTTTTGCACTAAAAAGGCCCTTCTGCAGGATTTCCTATTTTTTATTTGAAATTCTTCATTTAATGCTAAGGCTTTCTTTTTGTTTTAATAGTTTCAGAATATTAACATGTTGGAAAAAAATTGTGTTCAAACCAGCCTGACTTTTGCATTATGCTGAATCATTCTCTATTTACCAATTCTGTTTGCACTAATTCACATGAACATGCCTTGTAGCAGAATGAATGATATTAATTTTGACGTTGAAAAGTTGGCAACTTAATGAAAATGTTCTAAAGTTGATTGTAGTGATGGTTGCACGACTTGGAATATACTGAAAACCATTCAATTGAATACTTTGGGTGAATTGTGTGGTATGTTAATTATATCTCAGTAAAGCTGTTATTTAAAAAAAGTTAGCAATTTCTCATTTCTTGTAAAAATGAAATCAAAACAAATTTAAATTATACTACTAAGGTGATTGCATTTTTTTCTTTTCTCTTGTTAGGATCCTATTGTTAACTTTGAACTTCCCATTCATTTGGAGAAATGGTTTCCTCGTCATGTAATAAAGACCAAAAGAGAAGATATTCGAGAGCTCATTTTGAAACTTCATTTACAGCAACAGAAGGGCAGCAGTACTAGTTAATCTGCACAAGCTTGACACAGATGTTCTATAGGATTACTGGAAAGCTGCTTACCAGCATTTGTGTTAGCCAGCTCACAGAGAAGAAAATAACTTGCAGTAGTTTTCTAAGTCATTGAATATTATTTAAACTGTATAAGATATATTATTAGAATTGTTGGGATCTCATAGATGGAGTGGAAATGGGAGTGCTGTAGATAAACTTAGATAGAAATTAAAATTTCATAAATATTTGATATTTTTCTGATTAAGTATGCTTGGATTATGCAATAGCATATGTAATGTGGGAATGTGTTTGTAGATGATGAAGCGGTGTCATCCGTACTTCCACAAACCTAGGAGGCGGGGCAGTTAGGTCCTCCCCGGTGCCAGCCCCAGTACTTGTCAAATTTGTTGACAAGTCACATTATATTGTAATTCTATTCTTTGCAGCTCAAGCATGCAGTATGAATACTGTGTATTTTTTAAAAGAATTTAGTATGAAGGCTTCAGAAAATGCCATTTACGGCATCCCTTCTGTATAGTGTAAAAGAAGACATAACGTTAGGAAGATGATAAAATTCACTCTTTCAAAGCGCAGCTTATTTTTCTCAATCGCTAAATGGAACTGTTACTCTGCTCTAATTGTTATTTGTTTTCCATTTCTTTTCATGTCATTTGTGGGGATCTGAGAATTTAGTTCATTCTTTCAGAGTGAAATTTGGAACAAAAAATTTTAGCTATCCAAAATAGGTTTTTAAAAATTATATATATAGCTCAACTTAGTTTATTTGAGGCATAGCTATATAAACACTGACTCCTATCCTATCCTAATATCCCAGAATATATGTTTCTGTAGGTATGGAAGAAAAAATTGGTGTCCTCATAACTTTAATTAAAAAAAAAAACCTCAAGTTCCTATTTATTAATTATTAGAACTAAATATGTAATTTTGTAGCTCTGTTTACCCAGTATTCATGTGCAAAGCCAGATTGCTCTCATTGCTTTTATATTTTTAAATTGTAGTTTTTAGAGACCTGTGATCCCCATAGAGCATATGTGCAGGTAACAGTTCTGAATTCATGAGATGATGGTGGTATTATATATGATTAAATACTTCACAACCTTCTAATGTTATCAGGAATATTTTGAGGGGACAATTATATTGTATTTTCTTAGGTAAGAAACGTGTTTTTTAAGAATATCGTTTTAATCTTCTGTTTGAAGCATCTCCTGAATTTACATTGTAACTGTATATAAAGCAGTGAAGAAAAGGCAGTTTAAGATAAAGGTAGAAGTCGGGACGTTTTATTTCAAAATCATGTGAATTGAGGGGGTCAGTTAAGCCTCAGTGTCCTTAAGTTTTTGTTAATCTTGTCACCATCTTTATACTGGGGATTTCCTATAAAGATGGTTATAATTACGTGTTTCATTCCCAATTTATGTGTGTGTGGGAGGAGACTTTTGTAGATGACTGTTAATTATTTTGTAAATCTAATTTTGGGAAAGCAAGTGTATATTATATCTTCTTGTGACTTCTTAACTTTTTTGTTTGTTTTTCAAAGATACCACTGTCCTTTATCATGTTTTGAAGGTTGCTTAAAATTCATTTTCCTAAATTCATGTGGAAATAATGCTTTGAGAATATCAGCATTTTATATTAAATGTTTCCAATTCATTAAATTGAAGTGTAATTTTTTTCTTAAGAAAAGTGAGCCATTCTTAGAAATAAACTTTAAATTGTATGATACCCAGTGAAAATCATATAACTGATGCTTACATTAATTTTTCTTCTTATTTTAATAGGCATATAGTTAATTTGATTTTCAGTTCGGGGCACAGTTTTTGAGCATCTACTTATAGCCGGCAATTTGCTAGGTACAAAAAATGAACAACAGCTCTTACTCTTGAGTCATTTGTGCTCTAATGGGAGAAATGGACATATGAACATTTTCAATTTCTCTGGTAAAAGCAGTCAGAGTTTCTCTGAGAGCACAGGAAGAAGTTCAGCCTACGTGGGTGTGTGTGTCATAGTGAGAGGTGTACAGAGGCAGTAAGAGGGTTGTTGGTGGACAGGGAAAGCTTTTCTAGAGAAGGTAATACTGTTTTTAATTCACAACTCTTGGGATTAAAAAAAAATGGTAGCTTTTTTTTTAAGTCATATCCAATCACTTTAACTAGGACTTATAAAAAGTTTAATCTCTCTTAAAATCAGCTTCTTTTTATCTTTGGGGGAAGCATACATCTAGACTTGTTATACAGAGCCCTTTTCTAATCTGCTTCCAATATGTGTTTTGTCCTCATCTTCTCACTATCACCCAGTTTTTTGTTTTTAAAGATTTTATTTTTTTCCTTTTTCTCCCAAAGCCCCCAGTACATAGTTGTGTATTTTTTAGTTGTGGGTCCTTCTGGTTGTGGCATGTGGGATGCCACCTCAGCATGGCTTGATGAGCGGGGCCATGTCTGTGCCCAGGATTCGAACTGGCAAAACCCTGGGCCACCGAAGCAGAACGCGCGAACTTAAGCACTCAGCCACAGTGCTGGCCCCCTGTTACCCAGATTTTAGTCATATAAAATCATTCATTTATGCCTTAATTACTTTTGGCTTAATACCAAGCTTAAGCCCTTTCTTCATAGGAAATTATCTTAGGTTTTCTTTCTTTTAATACTCTTTCTTTGGAAAGGTACCCAGCTAAAATAAATGTGAAATGTCATCTGTGTCCTATATTTTTTTGTTGTGAAAACGACCTCTCATTGTTGAACTGTGTCTGGACTGGAAGAACTCTGAGTAGACATGTATTCTTTGAAGGCCTGCTTGACCAGAACTGTATAAAACCCTGTTGGAAACCAGAGGCTCCTGCTTCCCTCTGTAGAGACTCTTATAACTAAGCTTGTCCTTGTTGAAATTTGGAAACTGCCCAGGGGCTGTAAAAGGACATGGTTCTTTTAGGCTTCCTTCTGCTGGTGTGGCCTGTACCCACCCAGGTTGTCTCTTCTCTTACAACTGAGTGCATCCCTTTTGGGGGCTAGAGAAATCAGGGTCAGGACTAGTTTAGGATTCTCAAGAGAAAGGTGCTTTAGATCTTTACAAAACATTTTTTTTCCAGAGAATGTGACATAAGATATAAATTCACTGCTATTTGATAGTAAATCATAGCTTCCACAGGGATGTTGACTAATAGCTTTCTACTAGGTTTATTTGATAAAAACAACTGCCCTAATAAAAGAATTTTATCTGGTTCCATTGTGGTAAAGGATATCCTTTCTTGGTTACAAGTTCCTCATGTAGGTAAACACACTGGGCCTCCTGTTTATGAGCAAATTAAGCAATGAAGTTATCACATAGCTGTCATTTATATTGTGTGCTTAGTATGTGCCAGGCAGTATTCTAAGCATTTAACTAATTTAATCCTCACAACAGCTCTGTCATAAGTTAGCTTTACTATTCCTAGCTCATTTTGTAGATAAGGAAGAGACATAGTAAGTGGTTATAGTGAGAGATTTTCAAAGCTTTTTATCAAGGAAGGAAATTTACAAGACAGTAGCTTTATTACAAGGAGAAACAGCTCCGAGAAAACTGATTGTGTTTTGTACGTAGCTCTGTATTTCTCAAGTAGATAGGTATAGTCAGTTTGGGCATTTTATGCTCACAAATCATAGGCCCTAGAGGAACCCAGAGAACATGTGAATCTATCAGGTTTGAGTAATAGATTCAGAAAAATTGTAAAACTCAGTGAATTGTATGTGAAACGTAGTATTTTTAAGTGAACTGCTTGTTAAAGGCAAGGAGAGTGTGTTAGTAAAGAGCTTAGCTGGCTAGATTAAAGAAATTGTCTCTCCCCATCTGTTCTAATTAGCTTATCTCTCCTGCTTTCATAGCATGCTGGTTATTTCAGAAGGGAAGTGAGAGGTACTTTGAAAGGACACCATTTTTAATTTAAGCTAATTTATAATAGTTTTAGAATGGTTGTCAATTCTCAAACATAACCTTTTAAATGTTAGACCTTTCCTGTAAGAATTTGTTGTTGGAAGTTTCAAGGCTTTTGGTGCTCAGTTAAGGATTTCGGCCTTTCCTCGTTCCTTTGATTTTGGCCTATATGATTATGTTTCCTCATTTTGGGAAGATTTCTCTGGGTATTTTGATATTTGTCCTGATAGAAGGAAACCTTCCATCGTTAACAGGTATTTAAAAATCTACATTTTTATCTTTCTTTGTAATATAATCTCTAAAAATAGCATTATTTGATATGACTGCTGTAAGAAATTGACTCAAATACTACTGTATTAATCTTTGATATTACTTCATTTAAACTGTTTTAAAATCTCTTTCAATAATTTTGGTTTTCCTCTTTTTGGTAATTCCTGGTTCAAAACTTACTTCCTCTTATTTCTTGTGCTGAAATTGGATATACACTTGATTTCAATAGCTAACAGTCTTGAAATAAAGGAGTAGGAATTAAATGGAGAAAAGATTGAATGCTTCACTCCTCCTCTCCTTAGGCATGCATGTCCATAATCTGAGCATTGACTTCAAAATCCAAATGGCACAAATGTCAGTTTTGCTTTATTACCTTTCATACTGTACCTTAATTCACCATCAGAAGCCTTGTTTATGCTTTCACTCTGTAGCACAAACCTACTTACCTTTAGAAGAGATCCAAGAACCTGAGAGTGCAGTTTCTTTCCTCCTGACCAACTCAGCATCCACAGACCCTTCTCTGTCTACTGCAAAGAGAGGACCTCTGGACCACGGGGAAGCTGAGAGACGGTGGTTGCTCAGAAGAAGGCGATCTCTCTTTCCTAATGGTGTAAAAACCTGCCCAGATGAAAGTGTTTCAGAGGCTGTGGCAAACCATGTGAAATATTTTAAAGTCCGAGGTAAGCAAACACCCAAACCCTTGGGCTGGGTATGAAATTCAAACATAGTTCTAACGCATTTGTTGTATCTCATTATAATTCAAATTGTATTAATTTAGACAGAGACTGAACCAAATGTCATCTTTCTACTAACTAGTGAAAAAGCACTTGCTAAGAATATAATATTTATATAGTGTCAGAGGAAAGTTTGCATTGTTTTATGAGAGGAAAGATCTTTTAAGCGCTTCAAAAATACCTGTTTGGGGCCATGCTGGTGGCGCAGTGGTTAGGTTTGCACACTCAGCTTTGGTGGCCCAGAGTTTGCTGGTTTGGATCCTGGGCATGGACCTATGCGCTGCTTATCAAGCCATGCTGTGACAGGTGTCCCACATATAAAGTAGAGGAAGATGGGCACGGATGTTAGCTCAGGGCCAATCTTTCTCACCAAGGAAAAAAACCCCACTTGCTTTGGTGAGGAGGAAGTGAGGAAGGACAAGATAGAGGAAAATAAAGGAGAAGATAAAGTAGCAGCTCAAACTGAAGGTTCCTGTAGCCCACGGCCTGGAAAATAGTAAGTGCTCAACAAACATTTGTGAATAAACGCAAAAAAGAACACACCTGATTTCACTACCATTTCATCATCTTCAGTTTATTAGCATCACATCCAGATTATGCCCTTTTATTGGCTCTTGAGCAGCAAAAAGCAAAGTTTGGGAATTTTCCAAATATCTAAGGGACATACTGTGGTCAATTAAGCAATTTTGGTTAGTAAATATAAAAAACAGAGAATGAATTCACATAATGAAAAGATCAAGGATAATATTGTTTAACTAAAAATAAAATCATAGCTAACATCTGTGCCAGTCTTCCTTTATTTTGTATGCAGGATGCTGCCACAGCGTGGCTTGATGAGTGGTATATAGGTCTGCGCCTGGGATCTGAATCTGCGAACCTCAGGCCGCTGAAGCGGAGTGTGCGAACTTAACCACTACACCACCAGCCCCAAAGCAAGTGTTTTTAAAATAAAAAATTTAATACCAGATATTAGATATATTTACACATTTGATTTTTTTGTTTGTTGAAGTGGCACAATGTATTAGCACCTTTTTTTCCCTAGTGTATTTATATATATCCTGATTGTGTTTTGAGGCTATCAAACATTACTAAGCAATAAGCTTTCCTTTTCCTTTTGTAATGGAAATCAGCTGACCTGGCCTTTTGTGTACAGGGCATACGCCAGAAGTGGCAAATTCCAGAGACAGTGGGAAGAGAATACAGGAACTGATGACGAGTGAGAACGGTAGTTTGTAATTTATCAAAATATGAGTTCTCCTGCCTGTGTTTCACTGTGTATTGTCTTAAAATAGATCTGAATATCTAGATAGCTGCTGGTTAAACAGCGAAGAGGAGATAACCAGTCATTTAGGGAATGTGGTTATGCCTTTTAATTGCTTTGGTCTTGTGTTTTATAAATTCAAGAGATACTGTTGAAAAAGAAGCCAACAAAAAGAAAAATAAAGCATTCCTAGAATAATTGACTTTAAAATACGGATGCTATGAATGGGATCATTGGAAAGGGGCCTCATAAAGCTTAAAGGGTTGGCACAGCATATCAAGACTGTAACACTGTTGATATAGCTGTTACTGTCATGGTAAAGAGTAAATATTTTGTTTCTTATGTTTTTGAAAATAAGGAAAATGAGTATTTCAACATAGGTCTTGATTTTGAAGAGATAATTGGATTATGCCCTTAGAACCAAATGTTTGGAAACTGAAGGGAGAGATCCACTCAATGTCCAACCAAGGATCTTAGCTCTTCCCACCAAGCTTATTCAGTTAACGGTTTGCCCAATTTTTTCCTTCATAGAGAATTTAGCATCAGTTGCTACTTGCTGTAACAAATTTGAAAAATATCTCCATTTAAGCAAGAAACAACTGCATTTAACCTAATGATTTGTAAAATTAAACAGATATTTAGGGTGCTTGGAATAGAATGTCATTAATAGTATCCTCTTTTCTTTTTTTTTTTTTAAATCCTATTTGCAATTGGATCTTATAAAATATAGCTTTATTAAGGTGTACTTTGATGGATTATAAACTGCACATATTTAAAGTATACAGTTTGATTAGTTTTTTTTTCAGTGTGGTTAGTTTGGACAAGTGTATTTACCCTTGAAATCATCACTACAGTTGAGATAATGAATTTATCAGTCACCCCAACATTTTCTCATGTGCCTTTGTCATCCCTGCCTCCCTCCCTCAGTACCTGCCTTGACCCCAGGACTGAGGCGACCACTAATCTGCTTTCTATCCCTATGTGGTATTTGCATCTTCTGCATTTTTACATATAAATGTAATCATACTGTGTACTCTTTTTTGTCTGGCTTCTTTTACTCAGTATAATTATTTTGAGACTCATGCATGATTTTTTTATGTATCAATATTTTGTTGCCTTTTTTGTTGAGTAGTGTTTCATTTTATGGATATACCACATTTTGGCATATTTGAGTTGTTTTCAGTTATTGGTGAATACAAAGAAAGCTGTCATGAACGTTTGTGTACAAGTTTTTGTGTGAACATATGCTTTAATTTCTGTTGCCTAATAGGGGTGGATGGTTGGGTCACAGATGTATGTTTAACTTTTTTTTTTTTTACAGATTTTTTTTTCCTTTTTCTCCCCAAAGACCACCCCTCCCCGCCCCAGTACATAGTTGTGTACTTTTAGTTGTGGGTCCTTCTAGTTGTGGCATGTGGGATGCCACCTCAGCATGGCCTGATGAGCAGTGCCATGTCCACACCCAGGATTTGAGCCGGCGAAACCCTGGGCCACCAAAGTGGAGCGCGCAAACTTAACCACTTAGCCACGGGGCCGGCCCCTGTTCGACTTTTTAAGAAAAGTTAAAGAAAAGTGCCAGACTATTTTCCAGTGTGGTTATACCACCAGCCGCGTATTAGGATTCCAGTTTCTCCACATCCTTGTGACACTTGGCATAGTAGTCAGTCTTTTTTAACTATAACTATTCTGGTGGGTATGTAGTGATATCTTATTATAGTTTTAATTTGCATTTTCTTAATGACTAATGATGTTGAGCACCTTTGTCATGTACTCATTTGCCATTTGTATATCTTTTTTGGTGTAGAGTCTATTCAAATATTTTGCTCATTGAAAAGAGAATTGGGGTGTTTGTCTTATTATTGAAGTGCAAGAGTTCTTAATGTATTCTAAATCCAAATTCTTTGTCAGATATGTTTTGCATACATTTTCTCCCAAGGTGTGGCTTGTCTTTTTGTTTTCTTCGTAATGTCTTTTGAGGAACAGAAATTCCTCAATAAATTTTTATAAGTCCAATTTATCAGGTTTTTTGGATCATGCTTGCTTTTGGTGTTAGCGTTAAATTTGCATAACCCAAAGTCACATAGATATTTTTCTGTCTTTTCCTGTAGAAGTTTTATAATTTTTAGGTTTTATGTTTAGCTCTATGATCTGCTTTGAGTTAGTTTTTGTATAAAGTATATATGGATCAAAGTTAAATTTATTAAAAATCTTCTTCTTTCTTGCCTCTGCACCTTTGTGGAAAATCAGTCTTCGTTATGGTGGGTCTATTTCTTCACTCTTCATTCTTTTTCGCTGATCTCTTTGTCTGTTTTTATGCCATACCATACTGTCTTGATTACTGTAAGCTTTATAATATCTTTGAATCACATAGTGTAAATTCTTCAACTTTGTTCTTCTTTTTCAAATTTGTTTGGTTATGCTAGGTCCTTTGTCTTCCATGTAAACATTAGAATCAGCTTGCCAATTTGTACAGAAAAGGCTACTGGCATTTTGATTGGGATAGTGTTGAGTCTATGGATTAATTTGGGAAGAATTGTCATCTTAACAATATTGAGTCTTCTGATGGGTGAGCATGATATATCCCTCCATTTATGTAGGTTTTCTTCAATTTCTCTCAGCAGTGTTTTGTAATTTTCAGTGTATAGGTCTTACACATCTTTTTTACCAGATTTATCTATTTCAGTTTTTTCGTGCTATTGTTAATGGTATTTAATTTTTGATTGTTCCTTGCTAGTATATATACATACAATTTATTTTTGCATATTGAACTTTTATTCTGTAACTTTGCTAAACTCACTTATTATTTCTAGTAGCTTTTTTGTGTATTCTTTAGGGTTTTCTACATAGGTGATCATTTCATCTGCAAATATAGTTTTACTTCCTGTCTTCCAATTTGTATGCCTTTTATTTCTTTTCTTGCCCTATTGCACCAACTTGATTGTTCCATATGCTTTGGGCTGCATGATTCTGAAAGGAAAATATATTACCCTAAAAAAAGACTTTGCTCCGTACTGGATTTCTTTGTACTGGATAAGATGCACAGCCTGAGCCCTCGTAACAGGATTAAAGAGAGATTAAATGCTGGCATTTCCTTCTTCAGAATATTGTCATCGCATTTTCCCTTCCTCCACCAGTTTCCACTGCAGATTTTCTCTGCCAGAAGAGAGGCATTTGTAGATTAGTTATCTTCTCAAAAATAGAAAGTCATCTTCAGCAGTAATGAAAGGCTACATGAAAATTATTAGACAAGAATGGAACTTCTGAACGTAACTCCTTCTAGGCCAAATAGTGAAGTATGTGGTGTTTGTCTGTGGTAGAGTTTTGACTTCCTTAGTACCTCCTGCCCTGGAATCGTGCTCATGTCGCTCTTCTCTCTGCTGCTGGCAGTGTCCTGTCTAGGTTTCCATCTCTGAGCTCATGAATGCTCCAGACTTCCCCCAGTTCTGCTCCTCTATCAGAATGTGAGTTTTCTGAAGTCTATTATTCCAAGTTAGATAATTGGACCTTCTTATCAGATAGCTGCCAACTGGAAAGCTATTGGGTAAATTAAGGATGTGTTTCCTTCTGGAGGGAATTGCATTTTTTATGGTTTTATTGAGATATAATTCACATACCATACAATTCACTGACTTAAAGTACAGAATTCAGTGATTTTCTAGTGTATTCGCAGAAATGTGCAACCATCACTACCCTCAGTTTGAGAACATATTTCATCACCTCAAAAAGAAACCTCACACCCATTAGCTATCACTCTCTTATCCCTCTATCTCCCTGCCCATCTCCCCAGGCCTAAGCAACCACCGATCTACTTTTTCTTTCTATAGAAAGATTGTCTAACCTGGATATGACATATAAATGAGATAATATAATATGTGGTTTTTTGTGACTGGCATCTTTTACTTAGTGTAATGTTTTCAAGGTTTATCATTGTTGTAGCATGTATCAGTAGTTTATTCTTTTTTATAGCCAAATAGTAACATTCTGTTGTATGGATATACCACATTTAGTTTATCCATTTGTCAGTTGATGGGCATTTGGAATTTCTCTTGAGTTTTAACTAGGAGTAGAATTGTTGGGTTATGGTATCTCTATGTTAACCATATGAGGAATTGCCAGATTGTTTTCCAAAGTGGCTGCACTATTTTACATTCCCACCAGCAGTGTATGAGGTTTCTGATTTTTCCACATCTTTGCCAGTGCTACGATTTTCCTTTTTTAAAAAAATTATAACCATCCTAGCCTAGTATGTGTGAAGTGGTATCTTGTGGTTTTGATTTGCATTTCTCTAGTGACTAATAATATTGAGCATCTTTTTATATGCTTTTTGGTACTTGAATATCCTCTTTCAAAGAATGTCTTTAGGTCCTTTGCCGTTTTTTAATTGGGTTATCTGTTTTTTTTTTTTCAGGGCAAGATTCACCCTGAACTAACATCTATTGCTGATTTTCCTCTTTTTTTCCTTCTCCCCAAAGCCCCAGTGCATAGTTGTATATCCTAGTTGTAAGTCTTTCCAGTTCTTCTACATGAGCTGCTGCCACAGCATGGCAACTGACAGACAGGTGGTGTGACTCCACGACTGGGAAATGAACCTGGGTCGCTGAAACAGGAGCACCTAACTTTAACCACTATGCCATCTGGCTCTGGATTATCTTTTATTATTGAATTGTAAGAGTTCTTCATATATTCTGGATACAGGTCCCTTATCAGATAAGTGATTTGAAAATATTTTCTCTCATTCTGTGGGTTGTCTTTTTACTTTCCTTATGATGTCTTTCATGCACAAAAGTTTTTGATTTTGATGGAGTTCAGTTTATCGTTTTGTTGTTGTTTTTCAGTATTGTTTTGGCTATTCCGCGTCCCTTGCAATTCCATATGAATTTTAGAATTGGCTTGTCAATTTCTGTAAAGAAGTCCCCCAGTGTTCTGATAGGATTGCATCGCGTCTGTAGATCAATTTGGAGATATTGCCATTTTAACAATCCATGTTCCAATCCATGAACATGGAGAGTTTTTCATTTATTAGATCTTCTTTAATTTTTTCAGCAGTTTTTTGCTTTTTCAGAGTATAACTTTTATATGTTTGTTAAATTTATTCCTGTTTTATTCTTTTTGATGCTTTTGTAAATGGAATTGTTTTCTTGTGTTCATTTTTGCTTTGCTCATTTCTAGTGTATAGACACACAACTGGTTTTTGTTGTTGTATCCTGTACCTTGGATACAATAATCTTGAATCCTGTGACCTTGCAGAACTTGTGTATTAGTTCTAGTAGGTTTTCAAGTGGATTTCTTAGGACTTCCTGTGTACAAGCTCATGTCATCTGCAAATAGAGATAGTTTTAGTTCTTCTTTTCCAGTTTTGATGCCTTTTATTTCATTTTCTTGGTTAAGGTTAGGCTTACCCTAAAAGAATGAATTTCTGATTGAGATCTTCTAGACCAAGCACTGGACTGCTGAGAGCTTTTTGTAGGAGGTGGGGGACATCCCCCAAAGTGTAATTTGTAGGAGACAGCTTATGCCATTCTTCTGTGAATCTATGAGAGAGGCCCAGAGAAGGCCTGCTGTGAAACCTGGTATGATTTCTATCACTCTGGGTGCTCCAACTACATTTATTCAGTGCACAATAATGCTCTTCTAGAATTTTATGAAAAGTTTTAAACATACAGAATAGTTGAAAGAATATTATAGTGAACACAATATTCTTACCACCTAGCTCCATAGTTAACATTTCATATTTGCTTTCCTACGTCTATCTAACCAACTGTCTTATTTCTTAGGTGTATTTCATAAGTTAGAGACACCACACACTTATTTCATAAGTTAGACACCCCCTGCACACTTCAGCATAAGTATTGTTAATAGAGCTTAATATTTGTTTACATTTTTAAAAAGTGAAATTTACATAGAGTGAAATGCATAAACATAAGCATACCATTTGATGAGTGTTGACTAATGTACACACTAGTGTAATCCAAACCTCTCTTAAATTTTGGAGCAGTATCACCCAAGAAAGTTATTTTATTTCCCTTCCCAGACAGTTGTCATCCCCTACCTGCAACCACCCTTCTGATTCTTTTAAACCATAGCTTAGTCTCACCCATCTAGGCCTTAATATAAATAGAACAGTATGTACTCTTTTGTGTAAGGCTTCTTTCACTCAGCATTTTGAGATTCATCCATGTTGTTGCATGAATTAGTAATTTGTTCCTTTTGATGCCGTTGTGTGACCATTTGTTTTTTTATTTTCTTCTTGATAGCTATCTGGGTTATTTTCATTTTTAAGTTGCTATGAATAAAGGTGCTCTGGCATTGAATGTAAGTCTTTCTGTGGATATATGCTTGCCTCTCTCTTGAAGGAATACCTAGGAGGGCAATTGCTGGTTTTTTGTATATTTAGTTATATGAGAAACTACCAGTGTTTTTTCCCAAAGTTGTTCTACTGTTTTACATTCTTACCAAAAACAAGGGTCTGATTACTCCACATCCTTGCCAAAATTTGGTGTTGTCCATTTAAAAAATTTCACCCATTCTGGTTTACATGTGGATGCCTTAATTTGCATTTCTCTGAAGATGAATGATAGTGAGTACTTTTTCCACATACTCATTGGCTGTTTGTATCTCTTCCTTTGTAAAGTGTCTGTTCCAGTCTTTTACATGTTTTTGAAATTGGAGTATTTGCCTTTTTATTAGGGAGTTGTAGAAATTCTTTAAATAAGCTAAATACCAGTTCCATGTCAGATACATGTATTTTGAATGTTTTCTGCCAGAGGTATAGCTTGTCTCTTCATTTTTATTAATAATGTCCTTGATGACTAGAAGTTTTTGGTTGTGATGAATTCTAATCTCAGGTTTTTTTCTTTGATAGTTGTTGCTTTCTATGTCCTGTCTATGAAATCTTTTCCTATCCTCAAGTCTTGAAGATGTTCTTCTGTGTTTTCTTTTAGGACCTTCATAGTATTACCCTTCATGTTTCAAATTATTTTTTGTATATATTGTGAAGAAGTTATTGAGATTTTCTCTTTCCTTATAGATATGTAGTTATTCAGTCTCAGAAAATCTTCCATACTTTCTTTGAATCACCTCATTTCATAACCAGACCTTACTGACATTTACTTTTTGCTTGTTTTTACCAACCCAGACTTTCACCTTTGTGTTGTCTTCTGGTGTGTCCTAAACTTCCATTTGGAAGTTTGAAGAAGTAGAAAGGAAGAACTATGAGTCCACAAGTGGTCGCTCTGCCTCAGTCAGCCCCTCTGGAGTCTTCTGTGTGCTGTAGGATCAGAAGTTCTAAAGAGCAGTAGTAAGGATGCAGTTAGTTCACTGAAGGAGAAACTACGTTTGCAACCAAAGGTTTAGTTCAACCCTGAAAAACCAGTCGATAGAAAAACTTTCAACATTCATGTATTTTACTCTCTCTTAAAGCCGAAGAGTTCTTTTTTGGCTCAGACTATCTTCTTCCATCAAACAGCTGTCAGACAACCAGAATTCAAAATGATAATAATATTTGACATTTTGGGGTTTGTGAGGAAGATTGTCCCTGAGCTAACATCTGTTGCCAGTCTTCCTCTTTTTGATGACGAAGATTGTCCCTGAGCTAACATCCGTGCCCATCTTCCTCTACTTTGTATATGGGATGCCACAACAGCATGGCTTGATGAGCAGTGTGTAGGTCCACCCTAGGATCCGAACCAGCGAATCCCAGGCCACCAAAGTGGAGATCACAAACTTAACCACTACGCCACTGGGCTGGCCCCTCTCATGTCCTTTTATCACTGAATAATATTCCATCATGGATGTACCACAGTTTGTATATCCATTCACCTATTGAAGTGAACTCAGCATCAGCTCCACTTTTGTAAAGCATAAACATGGATTTTTTGGTATTTTTTTAAGAAATCAGCAATTAGGAGGTGAATCAGTTCCCTCTGCAAGGGAAAGGAGTGAGGAGTACAGCAATTCTCTTCAAATCTGAAAAGTTTGAATGGGCCATATATAAACAGAAGGGCTTTGACTGAGAATCGTTCTCATGTCCCTCTAGAAAGGATGCTGTGGGCAAGAGTGTCTCGGGAATCTGAATAAACAGGCCCGTGCGCATTGCGAGAAGCCCAGAGTGCTATAGCTTTCCATAAACCGCCTCTCTGTCCATTTTCCAGTGTGCCAGGAAGCTGTGTGGGAAGCCTTCCGGACTTTTTGGGATCGACTTCCTGGGCGTGAAGAATATCGTTACTGGATGAATTTGTGTGAGGATGGAGTCACAACGATACTTGAAATGGCCACAAATTTTAGCGAGTCTGTGGAACATAGGAGCCTCATTATGAAGGTAAGTGTGGTCCCAAGGGAAGGAGCCGCTGCGCTGCTGTAGGAGTGCGTGTACACGGCCAAGGCCTAGAGCAGGGGGAAGCAAATGTGCAGCCCTGCAGTGGCTCGCTCTTTTGCATTAGGCTGTCTGAGTGAGCTGCTGGGCGCGCCTCTCTGTAGCCCTGGCTCGGACATGACAGCAAACGTCTTTAACCCAGGAGGAGGCTCGGGCTTGTTAACAAACATAAATGTTTGGAAGTAATACTCAGCACAGATTTAGGCTAAGAATATTAATCTGTGAGAGTCAAACATTCTTACAAAGTTTTGTATATTATTAATTCAGAGTGGATGCCAATGACTCTAATTAAGATAGAGGATATAGTTCATTGAATAAACGTTTGATAAAGTATAAATATGATTCTAATTAATCAGTTTGTTTACTTGTTTCCTACTTAGTTTATTCTTAGCAAAGGATTAATAAGCATACATATAGATAAACTGCCTGCCCACCTTTCCCTTTTCATGTCGCACGCATGTATTCATGAGAAGAAAATGAAACCGTTCAGATATTTGCGGTAAACTGCTCATGCTGTCTGATATGCCCTGTATCCTTGTGCTTCTGTTCCAGTCCTACACGTCCTCAGCTCACATTATCCTCCCTGGTGAGGAGTCAACTCCAGCCTAGCAGATTTAGCTCCCATAATTCTTTCTTCATTCCTTAGTGTCGTATGTCTTACCTTTTGTTATCATTAGTTGTATATGTGACTAATTCCTTTACTAAACTGTGAGCAAGGATTATGTCTTTGTTCATTTTTGCATTTTCATGATAAAGTAAATATGCAGTAGATATTTGTTGAAATAAAAGTACATACACAATTGCTGCAATGTCTTATTCCTATCTATTGCAATTTATAGACTTTATATATATTATTTTAAAGACTGGTTCTAAGTATGATATACTTTAGAGAGACTGAGGAAAGAATTATTGACTGAATAACTCTGAGCTATTTTTGTTTGGGTCTAATAAAAGTAGATTAGAACATCTTAAAGTAATACAATATATTATCCTATTCCTTCTACTTTTAAAATTTTACTTCTAGTAGAGGCATACTATTAATTTCTTTTAACTTTTGGTTCTGCAGAGGGACTTGCCTCATTAAATGGAGGCAAGTTGGGGAGAGAAGGATGGTCTGATAAACATGAGTGGACCCAAGGCAAATTTTTCAGGGTTATAAACATTTTGAAGGTGTACAGGGTTTTGTGTATTTTGAAATGAACTGAACTTTTAATTATGGTACCTCACGTTTTAAGCCAAGGTATTACATTTTTTTATTTTGTCACACTTTTAACTGCTCAGTATTAATACTTATTAGAATAGTTACCAGTTATTCAGTATGTACCATGTACCAGGCTATGTATTAAGTCCATTAAAAACATTTTACCTAATAAACAGCAACACTACAGGGAGGTAGTAATGTCCCCAATTTATAGATAAGGACACTAAGCATCAGGGTTATTAAATTCCTTATCCTGGATCACAAAACCAGATGGGCTGGAGCTTACGTTCAAACCCACTTCTCTTCCAAAATTTATGATCTCTCCCCTATGCCATTGGGTCTCCCTTCTCAATCATTAACAGTTTTTCAAATTGCAGTGGCTAATATGGGATAGCTATTCAATGAAAAAAAACGCACACATATCTATACGTGCACACAAATATACATATTTATATTTATATTAGCATTGTCAGTCTCAGTTGTGTCTGTGATATAGGATCAACTTATATAGCAGCAAATGTATATGATGTAGAGTTAGCGTTACCATAACAACGGCCTCTTGTGATGTTACATTGGAAGGTGTCTCTTGCAAGCGGAAGTTTTAGTAAGCTAAGATTTGAAGGCATAGGAAATACACTTTCAATGATTATTTAGTAGAACATGCAGACAAAGCGGGTGATGTGTAGCCTGGATTGAGTCTTAAATACAAGGACAAGTTAGCTAAATGAGGAGGAGTTGAGGATGGACGTTCTCGGCAGAGGGGACAGCAAGAGCCAAGTGTTTGTAGGGAATGGCTTGGGCTGATATCACAGAAGCGTAGACTAGAAGTGACGGGAGATCAGACTGGAAAAGTGAGGAACTTAAGTTTGGATTTAACTCTGTAGCTGACAGATTGTACGTGGATGAGTCACAGGAGCTGCTTGGATAGTTTTGGGTTTTAGTAAGATCATGATGGTTTCTGTACACCATAGGATGGATCAGAGGGGCCAAGACTAGAGCAGAGAGACAGGCGCTGCTCCAAGCCGAGGAGGAGGGTCCTAACTAGACCATGAGATGGAGAAAGGGAGCATGAGGAATGTAAGGAGGAAAACAGATCAGTGGGACTCTGTGATGGATGAGATAGGAGTGGGATTGGATGGAGGAATGGCTCAGGAAGTCTCTCAGTTTCTAGCTTGATGACTAAGAGCGAGAGCTCAGGCAGGGAAGCAGCTTGTAAATGTTGCGGAGGAGAATGAGTTCACTCTTGAATGTATTATTGTGAGCCATCTGTGAAATGTGAGTTATTGCTTGATGTTTAGGTCTGAAGCGAAGGAGGATGGTCTCGGTTATAAAGATAGCTATAGGAGTCATCAGCCGTGAGGGAGTAATTGACCGTAGGAGTGGCTGCGATTGTTCCAGGGGAGTCTGTAGAGTAGGAAGATCAGTGAGTTATTTATAAACATCGTGAGAGTTATGTAGAGTAATGGTCTTCATTTTACAGATGAGGAAATTGAGGCCTGGCACCAGAGAGATTTTGGGATTTGCCTCCATAGCTAAGCAAAAGAAAACAGGACTTGAAACTAGGTCTTCTGATTCCAAGTTTGTGTTCTTTTTCTCATAACGGGTCTCAAAATAAAACCACTAATTTAGAGGAGACTTGGGGACAATTTGCTTTGGAATGCCCCAGCGGAATAATCCAATTATTGATACAACTTATCTTTTAAATGTCTGAATTCTGGAGAAACAGACTTAGCAGTTATTTTGTCCAATGCTTATGTTATTCTAGGATGAGAGATTCTATAAATACGTTAGATCACAAAATACATTGATTCTACGTCCTTAGAAGGTTAATGTAAAACTCAACTGATCTCTATCTTGTAGACCTTTTTAGGAATGACTAGCAGGTAAAGTCTGCTGATCTGTGCCTGTTAGAGAGAGCACAGGAAGTTTTGGGTACACAGAGACTGAGCGTTGGGTGTTCCCACAGTCACGAAACAAACTCGGCATTGTTAGTACCTTGCTTTAACTATTGGTCTAACCAGAGCGAATAACAACGTACATTCTGTAATGTTAGGGCATTAGTGTTCTCTGTTAATAAGTTTTATTTACTGCTGAATAACTGTCACTGAGTCACACAGTCATTTTTATGTCTTTGTTTTCCTTAGAAACTGACGTACACAAAGGAACCTGTAAGCAGGTGAGTGTCTTTTTCCCCCTGAGTTCATGTTTGGCAACAGAGATGTGTCATACCTACTCCAAGACTCACCCCAAGTTTAATGGTCCCTTTCTGTTTTCCTGCCAGTTCCTGCAATGACCAGGCCTGTGGGTAAGTGCCAAATGCTCTTCCTGGTCTTGAGGCCACTAGCCTTTCAAGACCACCACCACAGCCACTGTGCTTGTTTACTGTCTGACCTTAGCAGCAGACAGGCTTGTCCTCCCTCTTGGGTGAGAAAATAGATTTCTGGAAATGGAATGTGGGATGATCTGTTGCTGAGGCTTATGGGCTAATAGTAAAATTGCTATGAATGGTACACCATAGTGGAGGGCAGTTTATTAAATGATGGGTGGTGGTGCAGGTCCCTTTATTGAATAGTGATGGTTATGATCTTGAAACAGGAATAGCACAACCTTGATGGGTCTTCCAGATTATGATGAGAGTTAAGGTCGTTTCTGGCTCCTGAGCAGTAGCAATAAAAAGCAGATCATGGAAGGTGAGAAATTTTGAGCCTGTAGGGGCTAAAGATTTCCAGTTCTGTCCATACTCAGAATTTCTAGATTATCCCAGCATGGGAGTGTTTGTTTAGAAAAGCACATTTAGGCATACCATCAAGTCAGAGTCCAAAATTTTGCCTCAAATTAGAGGAGAGGACAGATTGAAGAACCTAGTAGGTGAGTCGGTGTCCAGAAACCAGCCTGCGCAGCAGAGTCCAGACAAACCATAGCTGGAGTGCACATGTGGGTGGAGCAGGATGTCTGTAAGTTTCATGTCAAACATGAGTCGAAAGGAGGGAAGTGGGCTCCGTGTGGTCTCCTTGTTCACAGAGCTAACATGACCATGAGTCCCTGCTGCGGCCTGGGATTGAGCACTACTTAGATGTGGGGCCATGTGGTTTCTCGGGTGTGGGCTCTTCACCACTGAGGGGCAGAGCTCGGAGCTTCCTTGTGATGGCCATTGCAACACACAGGCAGTGGACTAAATGCTCTGGCGAGTCCCAGCAGCCCCAGTAATCGTCACGATTGTCCCTGATGAAAATGACAGCACATTTTACACATCTTATACAGTTAAGAAGTATATAAATACTGTAATACTTAATCTGGAAGAAGCTCTGAAGTTTGCTTCTGGAAGTGGAAAGGTGGTAGCTTGTGAATTGCGGTGAAGTGGTGGAAGGAGGGTTATGTGAAATAGGATGGGAAGTTGTAGCACCGTATGAGGATGAGTGTGGCTCGTAACACTGGGGCAGCTGGAAGAGGTTTGAGGGGTAGTATGTGTGTATTCTGTGTATTCCTATGTGGTTCTCTTCAACTGGGTGCGATTTTCTGCATTCACCTAGTGTTTCTTGCAACAAAATTGCATGTAAGTAAAGGAAAAATTTGCGTTATGCTCACAAATATATATTAATCACATTGGAACAAATTCAGAAAGAGGCATCATAGCAGAATTGACTGTATCATATATTTTTATCGATAAGGCACTGTCTGTATTAGCTATAATTTGTTGTTAGTGCTGTCCCATGGATTCCGACTCCTAGTGACCCTGTGGACAGCTGAGTGGGACCTGCCCGGTCTTTTTGCGCCATCCTCTCACCTTCCAGTGCTATATCAGACAATGCTCTGCTGCTGTTCACAGGGTTTTCATAGTCAGTTTTTTGGAAGTGGGTGGCCAGGTCCTTCTTCCTAGTCTGTCTGAGTCTGGAAGCTCCACTGAAACCTGTCCACCATGGGTGACCCTGCTGGTATTTGAAATCCTGGTGGCATAGCTTTCAGCATCACAGCAACACGCAGCTACCACAGTGTGACAACTGACAGACAGGTGGTGAGGTTCCCTGCCTGGCATATGAACCTGGGCCACAGAGATCACTGCCAGATAGAAACTGCTAGACCTACCATCAGGGCTCCTAGGTATAATAGGGGATTCAAAATATTACTCACTATTCTTAGAAAATTAGGCCTGTATAAAAACTACAATATGTATGAGCTAAAATATAAGTGAATTTTGAGAATTTTGTAGTTTGTATCCTTCCTATGAAACGAGAGCAGAACAGGTTGGGGTGGGGCGAAAATTGTCACCTGTGGTAGTTGCTGAAAGGGGGTGACCTGGGGTCATATACCACTAGTGGAATCATGGGAATGGCCTAAGGATTCCCTCAGCCCCTCTTTCTCCAGCTTGAGTACTGTGGTGATCCATTAAAACCCTTAATTTGCCCATCACTTTTCTGTATTCAAATTTATTTTTATGATGTTTTTGAGATTACTCTTGTATTCTCTCTGTGTTAAGAGATTCTTGCATTGATTTTCTATTGTTGCTGTAATAAATTACCCATATAAAAACTTGGGTAGCTTGAAACACCTCAAATTTATCTTAGAGTTCTGTGGTTCAGAAGTCTGACATGGGTCTCAGGGTGTTGCTGGGTCTGCGTTTTTTTCTGGAGTGTCTAGGGGAGAATCTGTTTTCTTGCCTTTTCCAGCTTCTAGAGGTTGCTGCCTGCTGCAGTTCTTTTCTCTAATGTAAATTGCTCCTTCTGTGTGAACTCTCACCCATCTGCTGACGTGCAGTTTGCACCAAATACTTTGCTGTATATTGTTTACAGCTTCCCCTACTATCTGCCAAATCTCTTTAAAAAAAGTGTTTTCTGCCTTACAACCCCACATCACATCTTACCTCATTAATCTCTGCCTGTCGTTTCTCTTTCTCCTGTCTTCAACTTGTCCCATTACTAACTCCTTCCTATTAGCATTTCCACCTTCTCAAGTCTCTCCATGTTTCCTATTTTACAAAAGGCTCTCCTCCAGCACTTGTCTCCATTACAGCCAGACGCCTTGAAAGTATCTCCATGTAGCTCCATCATGGCTTGACCCCCTGCTATCTGGGCATACTGTTGTGTCCTCAGTGGCCAGGACAAGGCCCAGCCTAGGCTATGTGCTCACTAAATATTTGTTAAATGAATAACTGAATTTCTGCTTAGTCACCCAAGTGCATTGTCAGGTCTCTGGTGCCATTCTCAGAATAAGGACTGTTCTTTGGCATTTTTTTTGTACCTCAATCACCTTTTCAGTTGAGGATGCCTGTCATAGATCACAAAGGCAGATAGGCATGTTTTTTAGCAGATGCTTAATTCTTTTTGGAATGGTGTGTCCCTGCTTCTTTAGCCTCTGTTTTCCCTTTATTGCTTGGTGTGTCATACCTGTTAGAATGCTTCTGCACATACTATTTTCTGCAGTTTTGTCAACACCTTTGTGAAATAGGTAGGGCAGGTACATGTCCTGTTTTGGAGATTAGGTTCTTGAGGTCCAGAGCAACTGAGGTGTCTTCCCAAGTCATACACAAAGTTAATGGTACTCCTGGGACCAGCACCCAGCATTCCTGGCTTTGTGCCTTGAGTTCTTTCATTGTCACGTGCTGGTTACAGTTAACAGCTTCAAGAGCAAAGCAAAGTATGGAAAATTGTCAAGGGGAGTAGTAATCTAGATATGAAATTGTGGTTGGCTTGTTTCACTATATTTCTGAGCTTAGGTTCCATGTGGCTGTGGTATCTTTTGACACAATCCCATCTGAACTCCACTGAATGGTTAGACAGTAGGAGTGAGGAATAAGTTCTGTGCTGGATGAGCTGAGGAAATGAGACAGTAGGAGGTTGTTTGCTGCTAGTATTGAGCTAAAAGTCTTAGCTGAACAACTTCAAATTTGTGGTTTGACCTGGAAATGAAGCAGCATTTCTGTCCCGAAACTCAATGCAACTGTGTTCTAGTTCTCTTGTGAGTGACATCTTAGGGGTCCCTGCAGGAGGCATACCTGGTGAGAAAACGTGAAAGGATTCCTAAGTGTTCCTTACTGTCTTTGAAAGGGGAGTGGGAGGGGGAGAGCTTAAGTGCTGGGGTGTGATTTGATAAGTGATTTGAATAATTGTGAGTTGCCTGCTTATCCTCATTAAAATAACGTTCTTTTGAATTCAGTAAGTGAAAGCTAGTCATCCTGAGTAAGCAAACTTCTCTGTTCTGAATGCTTACTTAGAGAATTAGCTTAACTTTGAGGTGGGGACGATTTGACCGACCCCAGATGAAGTCTGCTTTCTCTGCCACACCATTCCTTCCATTCTAGTTACCGTATGGTGCTTGGCCACTTTGTCTTGCTTTGATCTCTCTGCTCTTCATACCTGCTTGCTCTCCACATCTCTCCAAATCTGACTGGTTTTCCCTTCCTCTTTCTGGGACCTTACACACTTTGACTTTTGAGTTGTTTAGTTTATGTAGGTATAATTAAGACCAAGTGAAACCATCCTGGTTGCCCTTCTAGAAGGTATGGGTCACATCAAGGCCATGTTGTGAGGAATTAGGTGGGTAAGAGTGAGGTTTCTGGAATCGAATGGACCTATTTTACATCACAGGTCCTCCATTGGTTAGCTCTGTGACCCAGAGCAAATTCTTAAGCTCTTCTGGCGTTAGTTTTCTCATCTGAATAGGTGGGGATAATAGTATCTTCCTCTTAAGGTCTTTGTGAGTTAACCAAGATAAACCACTTAGCACAGTGCTTGACACATGATGAGGACTCAGTAAATTTAGCTGTAAGGGGAACTGTTTACAGTTAGGGATTTTAGATATGGTCTTAGCCCATATTGAATCATTGTGTGACCCTGGGAAAATTGCTTTACCCGTTTGGGCCTTGATTTTTTGTCTATAAAATGAGGTATAGGGAAGGGGTTCTGCCTTTTGGACAGCTGATAGACCCTCTTCTGGCCTGGTTATCTTAATGTCTGTTCCCAGCGTATCTGAATCCCGTTTTATGAGCTCTCCTTCCTGCAGCCCAAGAAGCCTCTCGACGCCTTCTCATCACCCAGGCCTTCCCCTGCTCGTCACTCATCATAATAACTTATCTCAATGTCGTATTCCTTTGGGTTCTTCTAAATGACAGCTCACTTATAAGCAATTTCCTGTGAATGCACTATAAATAACCAACAGTGATAGGTTTGGTGTAATGGTTTAATGTGTTATTCTTTCTAAATAATATTTTGAAAACCCAGAGGACTCTTTATGGTGAGTTTTTTTAAATCTACGTTTGTCAAATTTTCTACCAAAGCCTGGGAGTTTAGAGAACATAGTGCTAGTTGACTCCCCCACTCTAGTTCCGGTCATGAAATGTCCTTGTATTATTATATTTTACCTTAATATTCATTTAAACTTTATGTTCTATCCACAATATAGCCATTTTGGGGGGGGATGTTTTTGGTGAGGAAGATTGGCCCTGAGCTAACATCTGTTGCTAGTCCTCTCTTTTTGCTTGAGGAAGATTGTTGCTGGGCTAACATCTGTACCAGTCTTCCTCTGTTTTCTATGTGGGATGCTGCCACAGCATGGCTTGATGAGTGGTGTGTAAGTCCACACCCTGGATCTGAACCAGCAAACCCTGGGCTGCCAAAGCAGAGTACACGAACTTAACCACTGTGCCACCGGGCCAGCCCCTACTGTGTTTGTTTTAATATTAAAATATTTTGAATCACATATCAGTTGTTACTTAGGTCCCCACCTCCCTATGCTTCAAGTAAAATTGATGCTTCAAGATGTGCGCCAGGTTTATCTGTGGCTTTGAGTACCCCTCCCTACCACCCGCCCTGACCTAATTTAGAGCAGCAGGGCAGTCTGAAGGAGTGGTTCTGAAGACGGGCCTCACTGGACCATTGGCAAGTCTGTGAGGGAGACAGTTTTGACTGTGATGGAGTCACCTTAGGATCTGATCCTTGTAAAGTTGAAGAGAGTTTTCAATTGCTATGTGTTGAAAACTGATGTAATCACCATCCAGCCCCTTTGAACAAGGTTAATGGAACAGCCTTTTCCCCTTAGGACATGCATGCAAACTTTAAAGTTCTAAAACTTGCCCAAATTGTTAGAATTTAAATTTTGGGGCATGAGGAGATAGGGACTTACAGACACCCACTTTCTTGGTGGCGGCTTTCTCAGGTGTCTTCTACTCTTTGCTTGCTGTTGCAGGGTGACGTGGTTGAGGATGGTTGGGAGACCTGAAGCCTATTAGCCATGTGGCCTACAGCCAGTCATTTCTCTAAGCTTGACTTTCTTTATATAAAAAACGTATGATTTCTATGGTCTCTCAAATGAGATGAGATTTATGCTGATACGTTCCCCTTAGCAGCCAGACTGTCCTGTCTGTACTACTCGTTGCCTTTGTAATCATTTATTTGGTGTCTACTTCCTGTGAGACTGTAACTTCCATAGACCATGGGCATTTTGTTCACAACTATGTGCCAAGTGTCTTTTACACTGCTTTGCCAATAGTATTTATTCATTCATTCCAGAAATATCTATTTAATACCTATTAAACAGCAGATACTATTTCAGCTGGAGACACAGCAAGAATGTGGCAGGCAAGGTCCCTAATATCGTGGAGCTTAGATTCTAAGGGGGCAGTTCTGTTCAATAGAACTTTCTGTGATGATGGACATGTTCTTTACTGTGTGTCCAGTGTGGTAGCCATTAGCCACAGGTGACTGTTGGGCACTTGAAATGTGGCTAGTGTGAATGGGGAGCTGAACTTTACTCTTTATTTAATTTAAATCGCCATGTATGTCCAGTGACTACCATACTGGACAAAGCCATTCTTGAGGATTAAGGGGTTGGAGACAGAGATAAAGAAATAGATAAATAAATGAACAAAATAATTTCACATAGTAATAAGAACTGAGGAGAAATGAAACAGGATGATGAGATAGTAGGTAGAGGAGTACTTTATGTGGGTGATTCTAGCTGAGTAGGAATTGATAAATGTAAAATAAGTGAGTTATGAAGACTATTGTTTAAAATTTTGCTACTCAGTAGTTTGGTTTGGGCATCCTTATTTGGAAAGCTAGTGAAGTCCTTTTTGGAAAAAAAAAACAAAACAAATAAACCCTCACATTTCTATTGTTTTATTAACTCTAATCATTTTTTTTCCTAGCCTTGAATTGTCATCTCCGGTTCCTGTTGGTGATACCTCAACATTGGGAGGTTTGCTTTTGTGCTTTTATTCACTTTTCTTTTTAATTTATTTATGGTTTAAGACAATCTTGCAAGCAAGCACATTTTTCAGCTCACATTTAAAAAACACCACATTTCTCTCTCCACATATCTTCAAGAGTCTCAAGAAAAAGTAATTCTTTTTTCACTTATTTTATGGCATTATGTTGTGGGTGCTTAAAAATCTTTAATTATTAAGCATAATACAAATCAGAAAACTGCTTAAAGCAAATGTACGACCTGCAGAATTACTTTAGGGCGCATACTCTGTGACTACCACCCACATCAACAGGTAGAACCTTTCTAGCTCCACCATTTGTCACTTGTTTTGTGGAGTTTCCCAGAGTTAGGATTTTTCTGATTGCATTCTGTGGTATACTTTAACATATTCCTTTGGCTTCTGTATTTCCTATAAATTGGTAGTTTCTTTATTTTTAATTTTTTTAACAAGCTCCTCTTTGTTGGAAATTTCAAACATATACAAAAAGTAGTCAGAATAGCACAATGAGGCCCAGCTTCAACAATTATCAATTCATGGCCAGGGCCCACCCTTCACCTGCTTCCCGTCTCCGGTAGTGCTGCTTCTTTCACTGTCCGCCCGCTTTCCTAGATAGCTCCTTCAGGACAGGGACTTCATCTGTGTCCCTGGCATCTTGCATAGAGCCTGACATATAGCAGGTGCTCAATAAATGCTTGTTGAATGAATGAATGGGTTGTAGTTATTTTTTGTTCTGGGAAGACTCTGTGCAAATGTGTCTTGAGGTTATAATGCGCAGAATTTCCAGGATGAAAAAGCAAATGACTTATGGGCATGGTTTTGAAGTCCGTTCCTTTTTTCCTGACCTGAATTCTGACTTGGTGAGGGGCTCAATTCACACACATGTTTTTGTTTTTCTGCTTAGGCGCTGTTCTCAGTGTTCCGTACCCAGAGATGACCTCCTATGAAGGTGCCTGGGAGAGCAGCTTGGAGAGGCCAGAGGAGAGTGTGGGTGTTGCTCTGTTTTGCTATTTAGTCTCTAACACAGAGAACAGGGAGTGGGAGAGATTTATATTCCGGTGTCAGACTACACAAGACTTCATGTGGTTCCCTTTATGGAAATGTTGTAGATTCCAAAACTAGTACATTAAAAAGAATCTGAGATTCCTTGGAGAGCTGATTAAATCTGATTTTGGCGAAAGAGGGCTTCAAATTGTAAACGAAATGACTTGGGGCCTGGGGCACTGTCATCATGGTAAACCCACTGTCTCCTGGGGGCTGTGTGACATAATTTACTAAGGGGATTTTTACCTATGTTCTTCTATCCCTTAATAGATCAGGACTTGGCCTTCTCTTCAGATTTTATGTGTAGTTTAAAAATCAAGAAACACCTTGCTTTTCAAATGCATCATTATTAATAGTAACCTGTTCCACTAAATAACATTAACTCTCTGTCACATTCAGACTTCTTTTTTAAAAGTGTACACTGCCCAAGAAGATAGGAACATTTTGTTAGAAATTTTGTTAAATATACATTTTTAAAATGTTGGGATTCGTAAATCCTAGGCTCCTTGATGTACAGCGTTGTGTTGTATCTGATGGAACATATCCACTGGAAAGACGCAGTTTAGTTACCTTGCTCCTTCTCTTCCCAGCCTGGATGTTTTAACTTAGGAGAAATCAGGTTAAGTTGCCCACTCTGCACCTCCCTCCCTGTCGCTCATCGAGGTTGGTGGTGGCTTGGATCCCTGAGTGGATGCCAGAATCAATACTTACCCTCAGTACATCTGTGTCCAAAGTAGATGGTGCCAGAAAATACTGGCATTTGATAAATATTTGTGAATGACTGAATAAGAAGTGGTGCTGTAGTTCTCAACTTGAGACAGAATAGTTATTATTTAGGTCTGGAAACATTTATAGAATGAGATAGAATTCTCTATAATAGAAATGAGGGAATTGTGTATAATCAATTGGAACATTAATATCCAAAACAGAGAGGAAGATCTGAAGCCAATTTATAGAACAAAATGGTACAGAGATACCTATCAAGAATTATATTGCATGTACCTCTAGTTCAAAATGAAGCCCAAGGTACGGTTTTATAGTGCAGCTTCTTCCATAATACGTTTTTCCATTTATTGTTTTAGAAATTATATACTTTATTTCTATCAGTAGTTGCAAGTTATAATTTATATTTAATCTAGCGAAGTTTTTCCAAAATATTTATCCTTATCCTGAGCAACGCATTAGAGCACTCCAATTCAGATGGTCTCTGTACTGATTTATGTTCTATTTTCCAGTATTTTTGTTCTTTTTTTCTCTTTTTAATCCCACAAATTAGACTGTATTATATTTATTTTATAAAGTTAACGTTTGCTTTACATTTACCCAGATGTTTACCGCTCTGTTTTATTAAGATTCTTTTTTGCATTTTAGACCTCTATTCTGAAAGAATTTTCCTTCTGAAATGTATGCTTCTGATGTTACTCTAATGAGAGTCTCTTCAGTGAGTCCAATCTCAGTTTTTGATCACCCAGAAATTTCTTTATTATTCCCTTATTCTAGAAAGATATTTTAAAGCTATATGAAATTCTACATTTTTTTTTTGTTTTTGTCAAGGTTTTATGCAAAACACTATCTTCTATCTTTTATTGTTGCTACTGAGAATTCAGCTGTCAGTACAGTTGTTATTCCTTTATGGGTAACCTGGCCGTTGTGTCTATTTTTTTTGTTTGAAGTCCTTTTATTGGCTTATTTGCTTATTTTTTCAGAGATATCACATTCACATTGGTCAAAAAATAATAACTATAAAAGATGCTTGCTGGGGCCGGCCTGTTGGTGCAGCGGTTAAGTGCGCACGTTCTGCTTCGGCCGCCCGGGGCTCCCCAGTTCGGATCCCGGGTGTGGACATGGCACCACTTGGTAAGCCATGCTGTGGTAGGCATCCCACATATAAAGTAGAGGAAGATGGGCACGGATGTTGGCTCAGGGCAAAAAGAGGAGGATTAGCAGATGTTAGCTCCGTTTCCACTCACTGCACCACTGCTTCCCCAAGCCCCACTGGCTTTTGTTATGTTCTTATAAATTATTCCAGACTTCTTAAAGGCACAGAAAAGCAAATACAATTCCTAATCTTCCCCCCAAGGGATTCTTTAACGTGGGACTCTATAAAGACAACAAAAAGGATCAGTTCAAAAAGGAAAATAGGCATTAACAGAGTTAACTATATGCAGTTTATGATGTAGTGAACTTAAACATAACTATATCTACAATGAACTAAAAATAATAAATTTAACTGCCTGGGTTTTTTTTTTTTTTGCTTCAGGACATTGTGACACCCTTAAAAGGGACCCACTGTCCCTTTTAAATGTATTCTTGTCTACTTTTAAGATATGTCTATATCTATCTGCCCATATCTATGTATAATCCTAGGAGATATCAGCTGAGAATGTCTCAGAATTTATTGTAGACATAAAGCCTTACATTAAGGAAGTACAAATCCAAAGCAAAATAAATGTACATAAGTATACCCCATACCCATTTTTGTGAAACTGCAGATTCCCAAATACAGTAGGGAGTTTCACAAAAATGGGTATAGGAGAAATTCTCAGCTGTTACCTCTCATGATTAGATGTATTGTCTGACCTCCTCATTTTATCCCTTATGTCTGTTAACCACTCTTTAATAACTTTATTTCTCTGTTGCATTTAAGTATGTCTTCTAGTTCACTAATTCTTCCTTCAACTTAGTCTAGTTTGTTGTTCAAACTGTCTTTTGAGTTTTTAGAATCCTTTATGTGGGAGTCTTTGATCTGACTTTTTAACATATACAGACCTTCAACTTTCTATCCTCTCCCTTGGTAGTACTTAAAACTAAAGCCTAGGTCACAAGGGATCAGCAGATACACCATGTATGCATGCAACACTGAATCACCTCTCTGTATTCTTCTAATCTTTCTTGACCCCCTTGGAGTTTTCTTTACTTTCTTGCAAACCACCTATGCATTAAAAACATTAAAAAAAATTTATTAGGCTAGCCATTCTTCTAATCTTGTTTTTTTTTTGTGTGTATCAAAATAGAAGGCCTTGGATTAGATGAGCTCCAGTATATCTTCCATGCAGGATTTGTCATTGTAGTGTTTTAATAATGATTTTCTATTAATATTCTATTTCCCTCATTCGCTCTACACATACTAATTGCAGTTCTTCTGTGAGAAACTATTGTCATTTTTCTTACATCTATTTTTTAAATCATTTATTTGTATCAATACAGACTCATGATGTTTATTTTATTTTTTGGATTATAATCCAATATTTATTTTCTTGCTCAAATTATTCCAGCTTTGGCCACTGGAAGACCTGGATTTTGGTGTTACAGAGAACAAAAAGTTTGCTGATATGGTTTCAGAATCCATGTAGCACCCAACCTTTAAGAAACTACCCCTTGTTGAGCTTGGTGTAGTATCTAACAAGAATATCCACAATTATCTGAAAAGACTATTGCCAGATTCCTTCCTTTCCCAGTACCTATCTCTGTGGCTGGGTTTGATTCACATACTTCAGTGGAAACAACATCCTGCGACTGATTGAATACAGAAGCAGATGTGAAAATCCAGCTGCTGCCCATTGTCAGACATGAAAGAATTTGTAAAAATATAAACAGTGTTACTCTTCTCACTGCACTTTTTAGTTTGCAAAATATGTCATTCATTTTTACATATAATGAGTTTATTATTATTTTTATTTTTTTAAAGATTTTTTTTTTCCTTTTCCTCCCAAAGCCCCCCGGTACATAGTTGTGTATTTTGAGTTGTGGGTCCTTCTAGTTGTGGCATGTGGGATGCTGCCTCAGCATGGCTTGATGAGCGGTGCCATGTCCATGCCCAGGATTCGAACTGGCAAAACTCTGGGCCGCTGAAGTGGAGCGTGCGAACTTAACCACTTGGCCACGGGGCCGGCCCCTGTTATTATTTTTAAATGAATTAATATATATATTTAAAGTTTCTTTTTTACTTGTTGGTAAATATCTATAGATATAACCCACAAAATCCAAGCTTCTTTGGGTTCTTCAATGGTTTTTAAGAGTTTAAAGGGGTCCTAAAACCAAAAAGTTTGTGAACCACCTTTCTAGGCTATTTTTAGGTGATCATTTTAGCATAGTCAACTCTTTTTTTTTTTTTTTCAGATGGTCAACTTTGATGTTTTATCTGTGGAAACTTCTGTGTTTCCCTGAGCTAGTCATTGTGTATTCAGAGGAATGGACAAATGCACAGTAATGTTAATATGAGCCCATGTCTTAACGTCCACTTAATTAGTTCCAAAGTCAAATACTATATAAAAGATCATCGTCAGAAGTTGCCTTTGGCACAGTATCTGGCGTATAGTAGACAGTAAACATGTGTTGATTGAATGAGTAAATGTTGACATTTCTTGTTCTTTCTCTAAAAATCCAGATTAGTAATGAAATTGAGAATGTGATAGAAGAACCCACAAAAGCAGCAGCTGAGCAGATTGCAGAGTTCAGTGTCCACCTCACAGGGGAGCAATACAAGGAGGAACTACAGGATCCCTCCAGCTTCTACCACCAGCATCTTGTAGAAGAGTTTATTTCAGAGGTGGGTGATTTTTTTGTTTGTTTTTATTTTATTTTTTTATAAACAAGACAGTTTGCTGGGGTTGTCAATTTCCCACATTCACAATGCTGGTTAAAGGTAGGCTTAGGATTTAAGCTTTCCATCTGCCTGGTTCTGGGGTGGTGCCTTAGCCATTTCTTCAGAAAGCTCTGTGAAAAGTTCACAGAAAGACAGATGAGTTATTTCATTAAAATAAAATCTTGCACACATCTGCCATCTGCTAACAAATAAATGCTATTTCCAACTTTCACTGCACAGCTGGGGAAGAATGTGTTCTATGGCATGGTTTTAATTTGACAATATTTGGAGAAATGAGCATCTTTGAGAAATTACATACAGTGTATTGTTTTTCTTGAGGGAGCATTAAATTTGATTTCTTTAATTTCATATTTAGTATTCTTTTTTAAAATCGGAAAATTTTGAGCAGTTAATGCATAGGTAATACATGATACCAAGTTCAAAGGACAAAAAGGTGTCCAGTGGAAAGTAAATTTACCTCGTATTTCTGTTCCTTGGTTGCAAGCGTTTTTTAAAAAGGGGTTTCTTTAAAGAATCATGCATTAGACTACCCCACAACTTTACTTTCTGGGAGAATTCGATATAGGGCTTGAATTCAAGAGTCCTTCAGTCAGAAATGACCCCTCCTTGGCCCTTTCTTGTACACATTTGCTCTTGCGTAGGAAGGCATTGAGTGCCCATGTCCCCTCTGTCTGCTGATTTCTTTTCCATTCCCTCTCGATGGGGTTCTCCTGGGCCAAGTGTTTCAGTTCTGTTACCTTGGACTAATGTCCTTCCCTAGACACTGTGTCTAGGTGAGAAATAAAAATGTGCATCTCTCAGCCAAACAGCATCATTGCAGCCCTCAGACGTGGGCAGTGTAGGTCAGATGACCAATTTTCCTAGTTGTGTGGCCAAGTCGTGAGGCTGTGTGGTATGTGGAAGAAATGTCAGCCAGGCCCATGGCCATCTGGCATCAGATAGTGTCTTGGATCAGCTGTCTGCTTCTCTCTGCTCTTGGATTAAGCACCTTTAATAGACCTCAGTGTTTGGGTAAACAATTGCACTGAAAGACTGCATATTTAGAGAAAGTCTAATAAACACTCTGAAAAACATCTCCAGTAGGGACTTTATGAGGTGAGTAGCCATTGGCTTGAGGTGATTTGAAAGTGATGAAGAGTCTGGGCCTCCCATGAAAGTTCCTTCTCTGGCCTATCTCTGCATCCCTGTCCCTTTGCCTGAAGTAAAATGTCTACTAATAGCCACTTTGTGTGGAGCAGCAGAGTCAGAGGTTGTGTCTTTGAGAGTCCTGTCACCATGTTTGCTGCACACTGAGAGGGCTCTCCAGCTGTCACCTTTCTGGGCACAGTCAGACGGATTGTTCTTTCAATATTATTTCTCAGGTAATATTGGAAGACACAGGGAAAAAGAAAGCCTGCTTGGAGAGGATTGAGGTTCAGGAGCTATTACTCTTTATTTTATGAGAAGAGTAAAATGACCTTGGGACAACACCAAGTATGACATCAAAGAGGGAAAGGTCAGTGTAGTAGGCTTGGGGGTGAAGGTACCTGAGGACAGCCACGGTATCGACACAGTCGCCTTGCATAGCACTTTATGTTCTGCAGGCTACGGATGTCTGTATGCTAATAGCAGCCATGTGGGTAAGTGTCTCCATTTCACTGATGAGGCCCAGGAGGGCAAGAAACTTGTTCGTGGTCATTTCGGCCTCTAGGAGGAGAAGGGAAGATCAGGCCTCCTCCTTCCTTTCAAAGTGTTCTTTCCTTTGTATCATATAGAGTCCCCGTCATTTTAATTCAGGTGAGAAGTTCTGATGAGCTTCACAGTTTTCCCAGTCTTCGTCCCAACTCTAAATCATGTTTATCGTGAGTCGGGGCAGAGAGGAAGAGGCATGTAATTCAGTGGGAAGAATATGGGCTTCGGTGTTAGAGAGATTTGGGATCGAATAAATTCTGATTAATTCACTCACCAAATGTGCGATCCTGGGCAAGTTAGTTGACATCTCAGTGTCTTAGTTTTCTCATCTATAAAATTGGGAAAATATGTGTATCTTGGGATTGTTGCCAGGATTAAAAGTAATATTGCCAGGTACCGAGCACACAGCGGTCCTTCAACAAATTGTACCTATTGTTACTCTTGATGTTAATGAAAGACAGCTGGACGCCTGTGCAGGGGCTAGCAGGATGTGTTGAGATGGAATACCTGTATGTGTTGGGACTCCAGAGCTGGCAGAACCCAAAATGAGATGAGTTTAGTGATAGTAATAACATGCAGGCATGCGGCACTTTGCAGTTAACGGAGTACTTTCCTCTCCGTTCATTTTAATCTGACAAAAACGGATGTGGTTGGTGGGTATTAGTTCTATAAAAGAAGATTTGTTTGTGGCCATTCTGCCAGAAAAAACAGCTGGGACTAACCCTCAGTCTTTAGATTCCTAGTCCTGCAGATTCCATCCCACCCCATCCTCCAAGAATTGTGGCACTTCCTCTTTCAGAGAAGAAAACAAGGCGTATTATTATAGCCAGAAAGTTTCATGGGTTTGGGTTCTTTGTCCTTAAAGTGTGAAGATCTTCAGTAAAGCAAGATTTAAAAAAAAAATCCCACTCTCCTGATTATGTACAGACTTGGTTTTAAAAGCAGATGCCCAGAGATGTCCCCAAAACCCAGTGGCATTTACTTCCCTTGTTCTGGTGTTGGCCCCACAGTGACTTATCTGGCGATATTGTCACCTTCTGAAATGTCTAAGTGTTCAATTTTGTTAAAATATGTATTAGTGCATCACCTGATTACTTTTTAGATCTTTAGTCCAGCCTAGCGTTCTTTTTCCTCCCTCCAGTCACTAAGCTCATATTGAGTTATGTGACTGGATTTTAAAGACTCAGTAATAACACTGGTTCCTGCAGATGTGAGGCTCGTAAATTGATCTTTTTACCAGTTAAGTTACCTGGTCATTCCTTCATAACCTCCTTCCTGACAGCCAGTCAACAAGGCCTCTCTCCGGGGGGCTAGGCCCAGGCCTGCAGATTTCTTCCTAGTGGTGACTGTGTGGACAGTTTGCTTGTGTTGTAGGAACAGGAAACAGGTGCCACCACACTTGACGCTTACAGGAAATGAACTCCTGACTGTCAGTGTGTGTGCTGCAGCCAGATGTCTAACCCAAACAGTTACATTTAAAAGTGCTATTAGAGCTTCTTTTGTAACTAGTGCTCTTTTTCACATTTCATCATGTAAGGCAAAAAACAGTGCCTTTGCCAATAAGAAGTACGCTTTTGATAACTTGGAAAAAAATTAATATTAAAGCACATTAAAACCTTAAAAGACAAAATGAAAAAGAAAAATGTGGCAATGTTGTTGTAAAATCTGTTTTCTAACATTGTAACTATTATAGTTTTCTTAATAACTTTCTGACCCATGTGTGTCTGTGTATGTGTACACGCTTCTAATAGTTGTAACAGTGCATTTTATATTCTACTCATGTAAGTGTTATTTGCTGTGTACTTTTTCACATTTCTACATAGTTATAAATTTTATTTTTATTTTTAACAGGTTGAAAATGCATTTTCTGGGTTACCGGGCTACAAGGGCATTCGTGTACTTGACTTCAGGTAAATAGATTTCCTCTAAAAATGCACACGTTCAGTGGCACTCTTTATTTCAAATTGAATATTCTTTTGTATTTATTATATATACTCTAACAACAATTCAAAATGATTTGAATGCTGTAATTCAGTGTTGTTGCTGGTAAATTCATGTTCCTAATGCTCATTTTTCAGTCGCTTGAGGAAACTGAGTTAGAAAAAGGCAAAATAATGCATTCAAGGATACATACTAGATCTGGAGCTGGGCAAAGGGTGAGAACTTAGGAATTCATGTCCCCAGCTGGCTGCTGACCAGTAACACTGCTTTCTTTTGGGCACTGAGGGGAGCTTGAAGTCAGATTAGATGTGCCCTCCGCATCCTACTAAAGCTTCTCAATCGTCTATGGAGGTGACTTTGACATCTTGGTGTGAGGCCACTCTGGAGAGGATGCATTCATCTTCATTCCAAACATACAGTTCTGAGTACATCAGAGACCGCTTTTAAGACATTTCTTCCCTGGTTAAGACCTGCGGCATAGTACTTGTGAACATTTATTGAGTGAATACTTTGTACTGGGCACCTCACATTCCTCAGCTCACTTAATCTGCAACCCTCTCGGACAAGCAAACAGGGTTAAAAGGATGAAGTGTTAGCCCAGAGTCAGAGAGCTTGTAAATTAGCAGCAGAGGAGGGAGTTTGAAATGAAGTGGCTGATAGCCAGGTTTATAGCTCTTGCTCTGAGCTTCCATGCTAGATTCAGTGCTCTGATGGTTTAGAGCACTGGGTGACAGCTGTGGGCCAGAGACTGGATCAGGGACATGTGCAACCTCACAGCATAATTAACAGTGTCAACATGTTAACTTTGGTATATTCTGGTCACGACTTCTGGGTTTACCAGAAATAACAGCAAGCACTGACATAGCATTTACAGTGTGGCAAGCTTTATATCTATAACTTAATACCAGCAGCCATATTGTGAGATAGTTGTTATCCTCATTTTTTCTGATAAGGGAACCAGAGCACAGAGAATTTAAATAATTTACCTCAGGACGCTCACCTGGTTATTGGTGCAGGGGAGAGAAAGGCATAGTAAACTCTGACCCTCCACCTAATCTGGCGCCATGACCAGGGGCCCAGTTCCCCCTTAGCACTTTTCACGGAATACCGTCTCTAGCTATGATCAAAAGTCGTAGGAGACCCTGAGAATGCGAGGCCTTTGAAGACCCCTCTCATTTGGCAGCACAGGAGAGGCAACATGGCCTTTGGAGCCAACTGCCTTGGTTCAAATCCTGCCTTTGGCACTTCTGGCTGACTGGTTTTAGGTAAATTACCAAGTCTTAACTTCTTAGTTGTATAAAAAAGACAACTTACCAATTAATTCTGCTTCATTAAAGAATACTTTTGAAATACTTTAGGTAAATTATTTAAGTTCCTTTGTTCCTCAGTTTCTTTACCTGTAATATGGGGATACTAATAGTCCCTACTAATCTCAATGAGGATTAAGTGAATTAATTTTTGTAAAATGCTTAGCTCTGTTCTTGGCCCATGGGAAGTTCTGTTAAGTTTCTGTTGCATAAAATAAATAACTATTAAGGGCTATGCAATATCCTATAGGTTAGTCAGCCCTAACCTTTTGCCAACCCCTTAGCACCCTACTGTATACCATCTGATTTTCTTTTCATTTAATTCTGCATAACACAATGTATCCCCAAAAAACGGTCCCTAATTTTGTTAATGCCAACAACTGGCATACTCTGCTGATTTATTGAAAAAAGTTTATTCATAAAGAGAGAAATTTACGTGAATTGTTTATTTTTAACAAAGTTTAAAGATGTCAAGGACTATTGATTTTAAAATAGAATACTTTCTCCACCTTTGCTCACTTCCTTCAATCTATAGGAATTTGTCAGCATCTGATACTATGCAAGCATTTTCATTTAAGGAAACATTTCAGAGGAAATATATTAAGAACTTGTGCTTAAATCAGTGATGTCACAATTATAACTGTGTTAAACTCTGCTTAACACTTTCAATTTTTATTTTCAGGTCCCCCAAGGATAATGGCAGGTAGAGTACTTTTTGACATTTCTATACTGTCCACTGAATGAGGAAATAGTTTAGAAAATGCAGTCCAAGGGATCATGGCTCAATTCTTTTATGACTTTCAGTATCACTGTCCATCTCCTTGCAGATCAGGGAGTGGCAGACTTTCTGTTAAGAGTCAGGTAGTAAATATTTCAGACTTTTCAGGGCATGTGGTCTCTGTGGCAGCAACTCAACTCTGCCAGGTGAAATCAGATGAAAGTAGATGTAGGCAATACCTTGAAAATGAATGAGTGTGGCTGTGTTTCAATAAAATTTAATTTATGGACACTGCAATCTGAATTTCATATGATTTTCACATGTTACAAAATATTGTCCTTCTTTTGATGTTTTTTAACCATTTAAAAATATGAAATCCATAAACTCATGGGCAGTGGGCTTGATTTGGCTCACAGGCTATAACTTACAGACCCCTATCACAGACTGCTGACTGGCAAGTACTTTTAAATATTGAGTTACACTTAATTTAAAATAGGAATAAAAACTGGCATTAATGTAAACACTTTCAAGTATCCTATGTCATTCAATGACATTATCAAGTGTCACTTTAAGTGGTGAATGAAGGGGAGAAAGCTGATCTCTATAATAAGTTCATTTGCAAGAGCATCTGCTGTCTGGAATTTCTTAGAAGTATAATATAGAAGCATAGTCAGTACCCCTTGTGAAGGCTGCTTGTCGCTTCTTGCCTTTTGATTTAAGTTTATTTAAAATTCACTTTCTCTTGGAAGATCACTAAGTGTCCCATAGAATTTATGAAGCAAATTCATAGGCTAAATAGGGACATGTTTAGAGATCCAGTAATATTCCTTCATTGTAATATCTTACTTTTGAGTAGGGCTTCCTGACTTCCTCATTTTCATTTATATTATTTTAGCAAGTATTTACTAAGTGCCTAGTAACTGAGCAAACTCTATGCCTACAAAATGAATAACTCTTGGTCTCCATCCTCCAGGATCACACAGTCTAATGAAAAGTGCTTTCAAAGATATGTCAAAGGACTGGTTCTTTTTTTTTTTCATTTTCTTTTCTTATATCCCTGTGAGGTAGTGAAAATAAGAATTAATATTAGTTCTCCTTTTGGAGTGAGGAAATTTTGCCTCAGAGAGAGAAACTGATTTGCCATAAATTCTGTGAGTAGGTGGTATCAGACATTTTGACCAAGGTAATAGGAATTTGGGTTCCTGTGCTCCTAGTATATGTAAACTGCTCTGTGTGTATGTATCATAGGCATATGTGTCAATGGTCAGTACTCAATCAGAAGTCCTAATTGTTTAATTGCTGCCCTCTTGGGTGATTACAGTGTTAAAACAACCCAAACACTGATGTTAACCTTTTGATCAAAAGAATGATATCTGGTTGCTGAGTGCTGAGTCACAGACAACAATTCAATATGAAGGCATTAGATTTTATTTATTTTTTTTTAAGATTTTATTTTTTCCTTTTTCTCCCCAAAGCCCCCCGGTACATAGTTGTATATTCTTCATTGTGGTTCCTTCTAGTTGTGGCACGTGGGACGCTGCCTCAGCGTGGTTTGATGAGCAGTGCCATGCCTGTGCCCAGGATTCGAACCAATGAAACACTGGGCCGCCTGCAGTGGAGCACGCGAACTTAACCACTCGGCCACAGGGCCAGCCCCGGCATTAGATTTTATGATGGAATTGTTATTATAGGTACAGTTTCCACAGTTGTTCAGTATTGTCACATATTAGCCAGTTGATGCAATTTATTCATAACTTTTTGGTATATTTTTATTTTGAGCTGCGTATGAATACATGTGTGGCTCAGAAATAGTCTGTATATATAACATATAACTTCTGTCTGTCATTCTCTGTAAGCATTTATATGCACATGAGATTTTCTGTTTGCTTTATACCTCTTTCAGGATGCACACGTTATTTTAAGTTAGTTGGTTTGAACCATTGGAAGTGAATCAACAATATGTCTACCTGGTATATACGCTTAAAAAAATTCAGCTCAGGTTTTGTAAGTGTGTGCCTTCTTCCTCACAGAAGAAGTGTTATCGAAGAAGGGATGTCTGAGTTTCTCTGCATTATCTTTACTTTGATTGATCTTAATGAGATATGATACCATTATTTTTCCTATTTAAAATCATGTCAAATGGCTGATCAAGGTGTTTGAGCTGCGAGAATAAGAAAGGGTAAATTTCACCTTCCCATGATTGATTCTCCGGAAGTAGCTGTCAGACAGAGGAAGTTTCCTCTCGGTAGCAGCTGTTTCAGTCTAGTGGAGAGGATGAAAGCTGATGATACATACAGTGGTGGTTGGTTAGCTTGGAGTTGCTGAGTGTGGAGAGCCAGCACAGCTTTCTTCAATCAGAGCATGTTTGGTCTACCAGTGTGCCTTCTGCTTCGTATGTACTCCCTTGGCCTCTGGGCTTTCTTTTACTCTGTCACTCATCCTGAGACGTCTCTACTCCATTTACCATGCCAGAACTCGGTCTGTTCTGGGTCATAGTGAAGTTCTCAGCTCTGAGAATAGATGATTTCCTGACGCCTCAAGCATATCTTTGAGTTCTCTTTCCAGGACAAAAACATGGTAATAAATTGCAATATCTCTCTGAGGTATTTATCTTCTTTAATAAATTTATCCTCACTAGACAAGGTAGATTATAATAGTAGTTTTATTTTTAGATGTCCAAGGGATACACTGGGAGACAAATTACATTTTGCCCATAAAGAGTAAGGGCAGTAATCCAATCCAGATCGCCTGATTTGCACAGATTTCTTGATCCAGGAACATTTCTCTTGCTCTTCTCCCTGTGATATTTAAAAGTCATGCAAGGCACATGGTAGATTCCCAGGGAAGACTTGACTCTCCTTGTCTGATTTTCTGCAGAGCCCAGGAACCAACTCAAGTGCTGACAGACACAGCCTTTTCTTCTCCATTTTTTTCCTTATCACTGCTTAGTGTCTTAGAGCCATGTTAACATGTTAATAGGTTGTGCAGAGACCCCAAGGAGAAGCTTTCTGGAGATACAGCCATGGTCCATCCCACAGACCTCTTTAGGGTGAAAAATTACTCTTTCATATTTAGAGACTAAAAATCTTTCAGATTAAGGCAGGAGTATCCCATATTGCCATTTAAGCGGCACAAATTCAATTGTCTTTTCTGCCTGCATTAGTAAATAAAGTTGATCATTGTTTCTTCATTATTTTCAAAAGTATTTATTGAACTCCTAGGAGCCAGGGATTGTGCTCGATACTTGGAGCACATATGGTGTGATCAGTTCTGACCAGTAGGTGTCCCTCTTACTGTTTTATTCTATTTTGGAGCTATCATTTGATTATTTTAGCATATTTTACTGAATTTATCTTCTTTACAAAAGAAGATCAGGAATTACCCATGAATCAACATATTTTGACATGAGATATTAATGGATTGAGGGGAATTCTAGATGACAGGCAGATGTCTTAGCACTTAGTAGAGCATCAGGGTATCAAAATGCTCAATTACCACTTAAAGCGCCCCAAACCACTCCATTGGAAGCAACAGCTAATCAGGGCTGGGAGGGAAACCTTGTTGAAGTCACTCAGAGGAGCCAGGATCATCAAAGAGGCCTGGCTGTTTGTACAGCAAGTGAGGGATGTCACCGTCATGGCGTCTCCTATAGTCCAGGGTGTGACCTGCAGCAAGCAGGCTCAGGACAGGTCCAGAACTCCCAGTGCTCCCAGGAGGAAGAGATCTCTTAAGACTGATGCATGCTTGCCAAACCACAAAATACAATGCATTCTCTGGGATGCCAATTGATCTATTTAAAGCAAGAAATATATCTGTCAACCGACCAATTATTGCATTGGCTGGCTCATGCATTCTTTCCTCATTGGAAAATCTGTAGGGAGTTAAAATCAAAAGTTCCCTTTGCAAGCTTGAAATCAGAGAAAGGAAGTTGAGTGATCTTAATGGCCAGTGTCATCAAGCCATGCTAGCCTTTTGTAGGCATCTCCAATCTAGGGATCTGTCTTACAAGAAGCCTCAATGCACTGGTCAGAAGCTTTCTACTAAATAGTAACATAAATTAGTTGACTAATTTTTTTTAGATTCCCTGAGGCCATTTTCCTTATGTTGATACTTTTTCTTTGTGTATGTGAATACCTTGGTTAGACTGCAGTTTTCTTTTTATGTTCAGGCAAGTATAGATTTCTCTTCATTTAGTAGGCACTGAGTACCCCTCAGTGCGAGGTACCAAGCTCAACATTGGAGATAGAAACTCAAGGAGAGACTGAAAGGCAGTCACTATAAATGAAATCTTTTTACAAAACAGTAAAGGGTAAAATCAAGGAATATGTAAGTAAGTTCAGAGGAGGGAGTGCTTAGTTTATTTGTAAGCTTTGATTTGGGAGTCATTTTACTCCTACAGAATGTCTGAAGGGGCAAATTGTTTCCCTCACATGTCTGTCTTGACTGGTTTACCTTTGGGAAGGCGGTGTTCTCTATCCTCAGGAGGAGTCTTGGTGTGGCTTGCTGGGCACTGCCTCTGAGGGCTGTGTCTTATGGACTCGCTGGAAGCCAGGGCGATGACTAAAGCAAAGCTTTCCTCAGAATGACTTGTTTCTGACAATAGTTTAATTAAAGCTACTAAGAGCACAGCAGAGTAGTTCAGAAGGCAGGTGCTGGAGTCACGCCTATCTGTGTTTGGATCTTGACTCTACCACTTATATGTTGGGAAATTTTAGGCAAGTCTTTTAACTTTGTTAAAGTTCAGTTTCTTCAACAGTAATCTGAAGATAATAAAAGCTTCATACAGTTATTATGAAAATTAAGTGAGATAAAAGATGTGAAATACCTGTCACAATATACTTACAAAATGTTAGATTTTATTTATTTATTTATTATTTTTTGAGGAAGGTTGGCCCTGAGCTAACATCCACTGCCAATCCTTCTCTTTTTGCTGAGGAAGATTGGCCCTGAGCTAACATCTGTGCCCATCTTCCTCTAATTTATATGTAGAATGCCTGCCACAGCATGGCTTGATAAGCGGTGCGTAGGACCACACCTGGGATCTGAACCCGTGAACCCCCCGGCCACTGAAGCAGAGCGTGCAAACTTAACTGCTGTGCCACTGGGCCAGCCCCCAAATGTTAGCTTTTAGTTGTTAGAGAAATCTGAGTTAGAGTCTAGACGGAGTATTCCTATTGGCTTAAAAATTTTATATTCTGATGTTATTCCCCCAAAATGACTATTTAAGAAAATATCAAATGACACATCAACTCTTACTTAACTATTTTCTCTCTATCTTTTGAGAAATCTTCTCTTTGTTTGCTCATGAAAAGGTAGATAGTGAAGAAAGCCCAATTCACAAAGTTATTTGTTAGCTCCTGTCAAGGCTTTCTTCAACTCATTAATGAGGGAGCCAGCAGAAAAATAAAAGCTGGTTTTTAGAGCATTTGAAAAACAGAAATTTATATAGTAAACTGGGAAAGGATTACTCAGTTACAAAATTAGTTTGTATTTTGTAAACTTTGGAGTTATCATTTATACCAAGCCAAAAAACCAATCACATGGTAGTAGTTTTTTACAATTTAGTATTCAACTTTATAGAGCTGTAAATTTTCTGGGCTATCAAACAAAAGTATGTCTCCTGAGAGACTTAGATAACTGTCATATTAGAAAATATTCTAGCATGATATTTGAAAAGAAATCATAAATCATCAATTTGCTTTATTTCCAAGTATTTCATATTTTCCTTTCACAATAAATAACTATGTTTTAGTTCATAGTAATTAAGCTTCTTCATTGCCTCACCCTCTGTTGTATAGAATTCATCAACAACAATAATAAAAAGATATGAAAGGATTACCAGTTGTTGGGTGGAGTTAGAAGGTTTTGTTTGTTTTGTTTTTAAATCAGGGAGGTGAAATGCTAACAGGGAAAGGGGGGAGTAGGCTCATAGTAGAGAGGAGCAGTTGGCTCTGCAGGAAGAAAGAAGGGGTGAGAATGTGGGGAAGAAGATGCTCGGGTATCCTGCAGGGTTAACTCTGCGGTCTCCTTAGAACTCTTTCCATGTTCTTAGAGCTATGACCCTCTGTTCTCTGGGAAGGAGGAAGGGATGGCTATTGGTTGCCCAGAGTCTGCAGAGAAGGGTGATGCAATCCATGCTTTTTGAGACTCTCCCTCTAGGTCTAATGCTTGTTCTCCATGGGCTCAAAGCTCCTTTCTTTGTGTTTCTTTAGCGGGGCCTAATCTCTTCTCTCTTTTCATCCATAGCGGCATAGATGTTCACTATGCAGTTACCTTCAATGGTGAGGCCATTAGCAATACCACCTGGGACCTAATTAGCCTTCACTCCAACAAGGTGGAAAACCATGGCCTTGTAGAATTGGACGATAAGCCCACTGCTGTTTATACAATTAGTAACTTCAGAGATTATATTGCTGAGACACTGCACCAGAATTTCTTGCTGGGGAACTCCTCTTTGAATCCAGATCCTGACTCCCTTCAGCTTATCAATGGTGAGTTTGATATCCATCATGAAGTCCTTGTATAGTTTTAGCTTGTTTTCCAGTATACTCTGGTGAAAACTTATTTCCCTAAATATATGTGGTTCTGAGCATTCTCTAGACTGCATGAGACAGAAGCCATCCTGATATGAGTGGAGCTTTAGTCAGGCAGCTATTTTGGGTAGATCAATCAGGAGCTTCCTGGAATATTTGTAGACAGAAGGTCACAAAGAGTGGGGAAAGTGGAGCACAGCATGATATTTAGAAATAGTTTAGAGAAATGGAAGCAAATTATTAAAAAAAGGAAAGTAGTACCTGGAAATATGACTTCAAACAGGTTATAGTGCTGCCCAGATAACCAAGACATTACCTTTGCAGAGCAAGGTCAGCTGGTAAAAGCTTACTTGAGAGCAGGAGAGAGAGAGCAGCTCAGGAAGGTTGAGGGAAGATCTTGGTCAAAGAAAAACTGATCATGGATGCTGGGCGGAATCCCAGAGAATCCAGTACTGTTTGAATTCAGGCAGCTGTAGAGATCCAGTTATGATCCAAAATCAACAGGTGGATCTGGGATCATCAAAGAGAGGTTTACCACTCTGGATTTAGAGGCTAAAGAGTGGCCTAGTCAACCTGGGACTAAAGCTTGTTGAGAGTCTGGTTACTAGTGTGCAACAGCTTAACTCATCAGGGACTTGGTGTCCTGTTGACTTACTTGCTACTTTGTGTTTGTTTCTGCATGATTCCTTCGCTTGTTGGTAGTTTAGCTTTCAAAATGTCCAGCAGAGTATATTTTACTGAAGTGACTTCATGAGAAAAGTACTGGCTGCCAAAGAGGAAAATCCACAAGTGAGAAGCAATACTAAGTAACAGTGATGCATGTTTACAGCCTCTCCAACTCCCACATGTTTTTAAGAGAACAGAGCCTGTATCTTTTCAGGCAGCTACCGCTGCCTCTGGGCACATGAGTGTGTAGTGTCTAAATAAACAAAATAGTCACAACGGAGAAAAAAATTTTAATACAATTTTATTATGTATAATTCCTTCTTAAATAAGATATCTTTTGAAAGGCTGGACTAAAACTTTAAATTGGTTTTCGATTATTTTGGCTGCTGGACTGATGTTTCTTTAGTGTGACGCTCTGCAGAGACAGGGCCACAGAGTGGCCTAGACTTCATACGGGTTACGTAGGACATTAAAGTGGAGAAACTCTCTCTTCACTGGATGATAGAGTCAATATTAAGCTGTCAGCTCTAAAACACTAGGGAGCCTTTGTGTTTGGAGCAGTGCAGGTACCCTGGGCTCACTTCCTCATATGCTCCTTTTCCATTGTTGAATCTTGTTGGAATACCGGAGCCAGATGAAATAGTGAAAAGAGAAGAGGCTTGTTATAATCTGAAATTGCTGAAGTCCTTTTGGCAAGGCTAATACAGACTAGCTGGGAGCTGTCTATGGGGACAGCATGTAGGCAGAAGGTTCCAGGAATCTGGATATTGGGATCAAAGAGAGAAAAAGTAGAGCTAGGAGGTCATGACCTGAGGGAGATGGGAACCTAACTGGAGCAGAAGGTGCAAATGCCAAGGTCAGGGTCGTGGTAGCATGAGGATTAAGGTGTGCAACAGGCAAAGTGAGGATGTTAGGAAATTAAATCTACAAACAGCGTGGCAAAGTCTTCCTTTTATGTGGACCCTGGGGGTAGAGCTTCCTCCTAAAAAAGAGGTCAGCAGCTCTCTCAGAATTTCCACCCGAGTTCAAGGAAAGCTTTAGGATATGCAGTACGAACTAATTCAGGCGCTTTGACGTTTCGTTAGATGTATGTTTCAGTTGCTCAGAGTTTTGTCCCTAAAATCCATTTCTATTGTCATGCCAATTTCAGAGTTCTGAATGGCTGCAGCTTTCTAGGTAGCTTGATCATCATCTCCAGGGATATGTTCTTCCTTGATCACATGGCCCTCTTCTTCATAGAAGACAAGATAACTGTATACACAGTTGAAAAAGAGTTTTGGAAAATATTTAAATCAAATAGGGTTTTTGGCTTCTGACTGATCCCTCAATGTCAGGCCAGTGGGAACAGCTGAATAAAGGGAGGTTCTGCTTTTATTTTTGGTGCATACACCAGGTCACCCTCCTTTTTAGCTTAGGCAGTCCCTTCTTTTTAGCTTATATTGATTCCCTCTCCCCTCCAAGCAAAATCAACTTCTTTTTTTGTCTGTATTCCCATACGTTGTATATGTATATGCCCCTCACATCATTTTATAATTTAGTTATTTCTCTGACATAAGGAATACTTCCACAGGACAAACTTGGCTTTATTAATGTTTCTAGCCTCTACTTCATCCAAGTCTGTAGTAACTAGCAGGGATTCAATAAGCCTTCCGTGAATTAAATCATACAATATACTCTGTTAACTTTATTGCTCTTTAATATCGGTATAGTGATAATCTCTCTGGTGTCCTATCCCATTTTGCAAAGGCATTTTCTGCCAAAAAGGAAATTGTTTTGTGTAATTTTCTCCATTCTTAATGTCAACCAAAATGAGTTGGAATTTCAGATCAACTTTCTTATTAAAATGAAAAAAAATCAATTTAAAAACAACTGCTTCATAAGAATCTTGAAAAGAGTAAAAACTGGTTGAGAAAGGAAAGGAAATAGTTACAGAAGTGTCCTAGATGTAATAATGGGAAGAATCTTAATTTTATGTTGGAGTCTTATAATTCAGACAGGTTGTCTAATATAAGTAAAATAGCTGAATAAAGTAGCAAGCATTTTCTAAGCAGGTCTCCCCTATCTGTTCTGCCAAAATCTAAATTACAAAGACGAAGAACTTGGCTTTTAGTTGTTGCTGAACCTCAAATACAATAGTGTCTCAACTAAAAAGTTCTTTAATATTGTTATTTCTTCAGTAAGAGGGGTTTTACTTCCCCAAACTGAAGACCTAGTTTGGAACACCCAACGTTCAAGTCTTCAGGCAACCCCACCGTCTATTCTGGTAAGTGTGTTTCTATGTTTTATGCCTAGAACCAGGCCCCCAAGCTTCTCTTCTTTGTACCCTCACCTGCTGACTTTGGCATCATGAATTTCCTGAGCTGTTTCTATTTCAAATATTCTCTTACTTCATCCCTGGAACATTATTCATAGTTGTCAGCTAATGGGTCCCAAGTAATGGTTCAGAAAATTTAAGCCTTCCTCAGTGGTTAAGTGAAATCCACACATCGGGCATTGCCAAACTTCACACATGGTAGAAAACTTATTGATGGTTCATACTGTTGGTGATGATTAAGCTATAAGTGCCCACTGAGTTGTTCTCTAGAAGTTACCCAGAAATAGTTTTTATAACCAAGACTATAAATTGATGTACAGAGGTACAGAGTATAGATTTTTGTTCCAATGATTGTACTGAAGAAAAAGTTTAAGCTCCAGACCATGTAGAACGGTGTGTGTACGGAAGAGAGAGAAGGAAGGGTGAAAATACGAGCTAGCTGACCAGTGACAGGGGCTGTGACCAGGCCTCCTCCAGCCTGGGCTGAGAACACTCCCCTTTGCCCAGAAGCAGCTTGGGATGAACTTTCCATTCTGTTCTTACCACTCTGCTCCCCTGGGCTCTCCTCCGCCCCTCCTGACCTCCACTTGCCACTTCACCTATAGAGAGGCCTCCAGGAGAAGAGAAAGTGGCTCCTCAAGTGCAGTTAAAGCAGCAACAACAGTGGCAACCATGACCACAACCCCACGAGAGACTTCCCTGTTTACCATGAGGACACGAGCCTTTCATTGTCACAGAGACACAGCAGGGGCTCCTCTACCTTCCTCACCCCTCCCACCCTCTTGAGATTGCTTTTCTGTCTCATGTAAGGTTTTTGAAATACTTGTTTCTTGGCTTTAATCTAGCAATGAACATTTAGAATGTCCCAAATTCACTTAACTGTTGATATATGCGGCCATTTCTTCTACTTGGTTATAGAGCAACTCGGTTTTGAAATGTGGTGTCACCGAGTTCCATATTGGAGAAAAAAGTTTCCAGAGGGATTGACATCAGGGATTATATTCATTTGGTGTTTGTTTATTCATTCATTCAAATATATTTATTTTGTGCTTTTCATGTGCCAAGTGCTGGGGAAACTAAGATGAATAAGGGTGTGGCCTTGCCTACAAGAAGTTTCCAGTCTGGTAGTAGTAGACAGACTTCTACAGAGTTAAGGAGATGCTGTCATAGACGTCCATCCAGGGTGCAGTGGCAGGGAGCGGTGAGTCACTGTGAACATGGACCCACTAGTCTCCAGTCTTTCTGATCGAATTCAACTCAGGGGTTCTCTAACCGCAGAAGATCTGTGATGATATTTTAGAATGATGTTGTAAAGACAGGAGTTTCCATATAAGCCAGAGATTGCAAACTGGAGACCAGCCGGCTGGATGCAGCTGTAGGCGTGTGCTTTGGGGCCAAATTAAAAGAAAAAAAAGCTAATATTTAAAAATCAGGAGATATTTGCATAAACATGCACATTTCCAACTTGTTTTTGAAAACTGGGAAGCTCTGGTATCATGAAGTTCACATTCGCCTGTTGAGGAAGTAGCTAGAGCTTGGCTGAAACAGGCTGCCTCTTTATGATGGCAAACACCGACTGGCTGGGCTCCACTGTTCACTTATGTGGCCTGATCTGTGGTTCCATTTGCATTTAAGCCCATCCCCTCGTTTGTTGAATAGTGATAACTGTAATAGTAATTAACAATTTGAGGAGACCTTGGGATGTGAATGAGTGATAATAAGACACGAAAAAAAGAATGATTAATTAGAAGCATCTGGTTATTGCTTCTTTTCTTCCTCTTCTTTTCTGGCAAACTGTTAACAAGATTTTGTTCTTTTATAGAAGTGAAATTTATTTTTTTTTACAAGATTTGATTTTTAGAAATTATTTTAGTAGTAGGAATGTTGGGATATTGAATTTGACCCCTTTTGGCATCCGACTTGGAAAATCACTTGTTGCACAGTATGCTTTCTATAGCACTAGCAAGCTTTCACTTGGCGTTAGTAGAAGTGAAACTGGCCAATATAATATTAAACTTGTTAATATGCTACATTGAACTAAAAGAAGAATTCATGAGTTGAATTTGTTACTATGGGAACATCTATTCCTATAAGAATAAATGAAGTGCTGTTCCTGGCCTGTGTGTGTACATCTTTCAGAATGTCTGCAACAGCTTCATCGCCATGCCATGTTTTAGAGGCTACCTTTTCAGAATAGGTGGTCTTCCTTATTTAAAAAGTCAAATTGTTTACTTTCACTTTTTATGTTGCCTGCTTGACTTTTATTAAAGATATGTATTGTTTTAATTTTTATGAAATGAAAAGGCATTTTGTTTTTAGATATGTTGAAATCGTATATATTGCTTGAGGATTTCTTTTCCATTGAGGGTTGAACTGCTTTCCTAATATGTGTTGGGTCTTAGGCCCTGTCTGATTAAACTCAATTTCTTAAGCACGGGTTAAAGGGCTTAAGCCATCTCACTTGGAATTGAAAAAATGCACATTTAGCATTTGCAAGGATATGAATTATGCCTGACTCAGCTGGAAGAATGGGTGGGTTTAACACATCTCTAGAAGTGGTTTTAGATAATTAAGAGGAAAAAAGTGAATTCCCTGGTATGTCTAAGTGTCTTTATTGAAACCTCTTTTTTGAGGAACAGAACTTGGTATTGAGCAAAAGGACTTCTTACTTTTCCCTGAAGCTTATATGGTTTTAGCTACTAGAAAAAGAAATGGGAAAGGAAGAAACTTTTCTGTCTATATGAACAGCCTCCTATTCAACGGAGCAGACATTTAAATATTAGAAAACGGTCTCTCCTGTCTCCCTCCCCTTTGTGTCCTCTGGATCTTTTTTTTTTTTCCTTTTTCTCCCCAAAGCCCCCCAGTACATAGTTGTATATTCTTCGTTGTGGGTCCTTCTAGTTGTGGCATGTGGGACGCTGCCTCAGCGTGGTTTGATGAGAAGTGCCATGTCCGCGCCCAGGATTTGAACCAATGAAATACTGGGCCGCCTGCAGCAGAGCATGCGAACTTAACCACTCGGCCACGGGGCCAGCCCCTGTGTCCCCTGGGTCTTTGAGACCTGTGGACATATGCTAGCCCGAATGAGAATGGATACCAAGTCTGCTAGCTCTAGTTTCTCCTCTGGGAATTCTTTTGCCATATGGGTGTATACACCTGTATTTATCTCTCAGTGCATAGTGGCAAAGCACTGGGACTGAGAACTTGAGAAACTCAGAATCTGGTTCTGATTTTTTTCTCTGTTTTTTGTGACGGTGGGCAATTCACTTCTGTGAAACTCAGTTCGTTATCTTTAATAGGCAAAATTAGACTACAAGTTTCTTAAGAGTCCTTCTAGTTCTAAAATTTGATACTTTTATTATGTTCACACATATGCACGTGCTTACCCCTAAAATGGTTCTGAGACTCAATTTCCAGTGTATGGAGTAGGAGTTTCCCACACAGCACCAAGTAATTCTCAGGCATGAGCTGGGTGTCTGAGAATTCAGCTTAATTCTGACACCACCTACCTGGAGATAGCATGAGATCCCACAGGTTGAGGGTTTAGTCCTACAAGACTGCTCCCCCCACCCCCCTACTTCAGAGTTGGGAGTTATTTTTAATACTTTTGTCCTTTAACCTTTTTACTAGAGTTAAATGGTTAGCACACAATATTACAGTATTTTACTATCTGCTACTTTACTATTGTGTCATATATTTTCATATGTTTTCGTGTTACTCATTAGTGTCCTTTCATTTCAGTTTGAAGAACTCCTTTCAGCATTTCTTGTAAGAAAGGTGTAGTGGTGATGAACTCCCTGAGCTTTTGCTTGTCTGAGAACATCTTTCTCTCTCTTGGTTGGCAGTTTTTTCTTTCAGTATCTTTGACTATATCAGCCCATTTTCTCCTGGGCTTAAGGTTTCTCCTGAGAAATCCACTGACAGCCTGCTGGGAGTGCCGTTGTAAGTGGTGAACTGCTTGTAAGATTCTCTCTGTCTTTGATTTTGATGGTTTTATTACAATGTGTCTTGGACAATATCTTTCAAAGTTGAATTTGCTTGGGGTTTTATGAGTTTCATGAACTTGGATGGTCAAAATCTCCCTAGATTTGGGAAGTTCTCAGCCATAATTTCTTTAAATAAACTCACTGCCCCCTTCTCTCTCTTTTCTACTTCTGGAACTCTCATAATTCACAGATTGCTTCTCTTGATAATATCTCGTAGTTCATAGGCTTTCTTCACTCTTCCTCATTCTTTTTTCTTTCTTCTCCTCTAACGGGATAATTTCAATGGTCCTCTCTTCTGCTTCACAGATTCTTTCTTCTGCTTGATCAATTCTCCTGTTGATGCTATTGCGTTTTTCATTTCAATCGTATTCTTCAGCTTCAGAAGTTCTGTTTGGTACTTTTTTATGATTCTGGGTTTTGTTGTTAAACTTCTTATTTTGTTTGTATATTGATTTCCTGATTTCATTGAATTACCTTTTGTGTTTTCTTGTAGCTCATTATGCTATCTTAAAACAGCTGTTTTGAATTCTTTTTTTATTGCAGTAACATTGGATTATAACATTATATAGCTTTCAGATGTACATCATAATATATTTCAAGTTCTGTGTAGATTACGTCATGTTCACCAGCCAAAAACTAATTATAGTCCATCACCACACATGTGAGCTTAATCCCCCTTTTGCCCTCCCCCCTCCCCCATTCCCCTGTGGTAACCACCAATCGAATCTCTGTTGCTATGTGTTTGTCGTTGTTTTTATCTTCTACTTATGAGTGAGATCATATGGTATTTGACTTTCTCTCTCTGACTCATTTCACTCCGCGTAATACCCTCAAGGTCCATCCATGTTGTCACACATGGCTGGATTTCATCATTTCTTATGGCTAAGTAGTATTCCATTGTGTGTAAATACCACATCTTCTTTATCCATTCGTCCCTTGATGGGCACCTAGGTTGCTTCCAGGTCTTAGCTATTGTGAATAAGCCTGCAGTGAACATGGGGGTGCATGTATCTTTATGCATTCGTGTTTTCATGTTCTTTGGATAAATACCCAGCAATGGAATAGCTGGATCATATGGTAGATCTATTCTTAATTTTCTGAGGAATCTCCATACTGTTTTCCATAGTGGCTGCACCAGTTTGCACTCCCACCAGCAGTGTATGAGGGTTCCCTTCTTTCCATATCCTCTCCAACACTTGTTGTTTCCTGTTATAGCCATTCTGACCGGAGTGAGGTGATACCTCATTGTAGTTTTGATTTGCATTTCCCTGATAGCTAATGATGTTGAACATCTTTTCATGCACCTGTTGGCCATCTGTCTATCTTCTTTGGGGAAATCTCTGTTCAGATCTTTTGCCCATTTTTTAATTGGGTTGTTGGTGTTTTTGTTGTTGGGGCATATGAGTTCTTTGTATATTTTGGATATTAACCCCTTATCTGATAGATGGTTTGCAAATATCTTCTCCCAATTGTTAGGTTGTCTTTTCGTTTTGTTGATGGTTTCCTTTGCTGTGCAGAACCTTTTTAGTTTGATGTAGTCCCATTTGTTTATTTTTAATTTTATTTCCCTTGCCCGGTCAGACATGGTACTTGAAAATATGCTGCTAAGACTGATGTCTAAGAGCGTACGGCCTATGTTTTCTTCTAGAAGTTTCATGGTTTCAGGTCTTACATTCAAGATTTTAATCCATTTAAGCTTGTGTAGCTTCTCTCTATCCTGTAATGAAGGAGGCTAAGTGCTGACAGTTCCCCTTTTGCTTTCCCAAGGGCAGTGCTAAAAGTGGTCTGTGATTTCTCCCCAGCCTGCAGATTCAGGCCTGCTTTCTGTGTCTGCTCACCAGCTGTCTGTCAAAGCTTGCTCTCTCTGATGTGAGGAGTGCACACAAGGAGTTGGCCATGGGGTGGAGCAGGGTGTGGGTGAGGTGTGCAGAGCACTGGGGGCGCTCATGGTCTGGGGGAGATCCGTAGGGGAGGCATCTCAGCAGCTCAGCTCAGGCCTCCCGATGGAGTCTTTGAAGTGGTCAGGAAGATCTGAATCCCTTTGATAGGTTCAGAGTCCTGGCTGCTGTTCTCCCAACCACTCACTGCCCCCTGGTTGTGCAGCTCACGACTCAGGACTCTGGGTAGAGTGAGAGAGGAACAGGCCTCCTTAGCAGCATCTTGCACAGCTGGGGAGGCTGGACACTCACACCCTCTCGCTTTCCCCTGTGGGAGAAATCACGAGCTGAGAAGGGCTCTCTTCGCACAGAGCTGTGCCGCCTTGGGGCAGGCTGATGCAGGTAAAGTCAGAGCATTCCTCTCACCCTCTCCAGTGTGTCCAGACTTGGATTTCTTTGCTCCAGTGGTATGCTAGAACTTCTCCGCTGGACTCCTGGACTTCCACAAAGCCTCTCTCATCTGTGGGTGATTGTCCTAGTTAGTGTTCTTCAGGGGCTCTGCGGCTGTGGCCCAGAGGGGCTGGAGCCAGTTTGTAGGCCACTTCAAGGTCTGCAGCTGCGACTGAGGTCTGTATGCCTATTACACATGCGCATGTGGGCAAGACTCCTCCTGGGTCCCTTCTTGTATGGTGCTGGATCCCACAGCTTCCACAAAGGCACTTTGTCCATGGATGGACGCCAAATTATTGTTTTGCCGGGGAGGAGGGTGGCAACGAGCGAGGGATGTCTTATTTGGCCATCTTGCTGTCATCACTCTGGTCCATTCTTGAGGAACCAGAAAATTTTAGACCCTGTAGGCAGAAATACCAGGCAGCTTTGTGTGTGTGTTTGGTACTAGGTTATATAGGAGCACCCTGCACACAGGTTGGTGATCACAAGCTGCCTCCACGTCATAGAGTTAAACTCTGCGCCTGGTGGTTTTTGTTGTTAGTGCCATGGCATCAATTCTGACTCCTAGTGAGCTTGTGTACAACAGAGTGGAACCCTGCCTGGTCTTCTTTGCACTATCCTGGTGATTACATACGCTTAAAATACTAAAATTTATGAGAAAAATGCCAGAAATCTTCTCCTTGGTTAGATCATCTTTTTGGCCTCACTCTTGAACCAAGCCTTACTATCCTCAGGTTCATTGCTTGGGAATTTCTTGTCCTGGAATCTTTCTCTTTCTCTATGGATCATTTGCAGTTACATCTGGTCCTTCGAAGGTGGCCTTCAGCTCCTTCTTTCTGTTACGTGTAGCCTGCTTTTCTCCCGTACATTTCACTTCAGCAGACTCAGGTTGTCAGGCTCACGTCTAATTCCCAGATGTGTCTTACTTCTATTTCTTTTTTTGATCAAGCCCACATTGTCAAAAATATTTACTAGTATTGCATCATCCACTTTTCATCACTTTCCTTGTTCCTTTCTAGATTTTTTATTTTTAATTAAATTTAACCAGAATGATACCATTTTTGGTTCATGTTGCTGTTGTTGTTTCAGTTGGTTCTCATTCCTTCTTTGCTGGTCATTTGTATTTTATTATGAATTATGTAATCACCTTTGGACAGAAATGATTCACACTTTTTTGGATTTTTAAATGCATTGCACTACAAAACATGGCTCAGTCTGGCAGGTTCTCAGTAGCAACAGAATCACCTGGATGGAGGTGTGTGCAGGGCTGAGGCAGTGAAAAAGGGACGTTGAGGTGTGCAGAGACTAAGAACAGAGAGAAGCCGTCCCCGCCCACTGGGCTATGGCAAGAGGGGAGGGCTGTTGCCAGAGCCCAGTGAGAGCTGGAGCTGCAACTTTTAACATGGACTGATCTCATAGGATTAAATAATTAGCATGTTCAAGGATTGTGTTTCTGTCTGATTTTCTATTCCTGAAGCTAAATTTTAAGATGAGGTTAGTACTCTGTTAGTAAAAAGTCACTAGAAAGAGATAATTCTATTTTGTAAGTGTGATGCTATTTCACAGATGTTGCTGTCCATTTGAGGTAATCAGACCATATTTTGATGTGATGATGTTTCTTATCAAAACAAAAAACCTTAATTAATTAAATATCTCTCAGAATGATGAATAAAATTGCTAATTATTCTTTGCTGCTGTGGGCAATGTGCTTAGGTCTTTGACAACAAATTACAGATATTAGTAACTTCTGTGTATTTAAAGTATTTACGCTAATAAGAGAGAGAGAGAAAGGAACTGTCTACAGTAAGGGAGACAATATTTTCTCCCACAAATTCGCTTTGTTTGGGATCTTTTAAATAGGTTCTCTCAAGTGTCCCCTCTTTACAGGGGAGACTCAAGAGGTACATGGTTTTTCTGTAGATTTTCTAACTAGCAAGTGGTTGAATTGGGGTTTGATTACAGATCTGTTTGATTCTAGAGCCCTGTTCTGCTCCCACCCAATATTGCACTGCCTCTTTATCCCTAGAAAGTCTGGGGATGTAGATAGGTAGGTGTGTTTGAAATGATTTTTATGTTTCCCTTATCTCCCATATGATTTGACCTTTTTTCCCCCCAGGATAATACCCTTCAAGCTGAATGGCTCTCAGCAGATGAATCCACCACCAGGAGTGTTTCACCACTTGATTTCAGCTCTGGTCCTCCCTCAGCCACTGGCAGGGAACGCTGGTCAGAAAGCCCTGGGGGTGATCTAATGTCTACACCCAAATTAGCCTTTTCCTCAAAGGTGGGCCTCAGTTCTTCTGTAGGGGTGTTAGAGGTGAGCAGCTTGACTCTTGATTCTGTCACCACAGCAGCGCTTCAGACTGGCTTGCCTGTGGCTTCTGAGGAAAGGACTTCTGGATCTTACTTATTAGGAGATGGTGAGGAATTCTAATCACTTTTCATACTTCTTTACTTTATTGTGTCAGATGACAAGGGCTTTGAAGACAGGAAGAGACTAGGGTTAATAGAGAAGCATGGTAGCATCTATCAGGAAGAAATGTTTTGGGAATGTTGTGTGAGAAAGGGAACAATCAGATTTAATTGGTTTGACTGGAGAGTCCAAATAAATCAAGTATTTGAAGATGAATTGTTTCGATAGCAGATGTCTTGTTATCCTCAGGGCAGGGGTGTATATTCACAAGTGATTCTAGCACACCACAAAAACATAATCATATCTTCTTGTTTGCTGCATATAGTAGAGTAAAAGTCAGCATCTGTCCTTCCTAACCTAATGGGAAAAGCAAGTAGCTGGTTTTATTGAGAGAAGTGGGAATTTTGGCAACTCTTTAGTTCTAATAAAAAGTAATTTCTAATGGAAAACTTTACTTTTAGGTTTAACTGAAGTTGAAGAGTTGGAAGATTTTCTTTCTATTGATCCATTGCCTTCAGGTTCTTTCACTCATCCTGTGCCAAAAGAAACAGTACCATCCATGGAAGACTCTGGGGTGTCCTTGACATCCTCACCGTATCAGGTCTCCTCTGTCACATTAGATCTTCTTGATAAAGAAATAACTACACCTTTTGGCTTGGACTCTTTGACTTCCAAAGTCAAAGGCCAATTGGAAGTGAGCACTTTGATGCCAGACATATCCATGGACAAAGAGTTCATATTTGAGAGTGGTTTAGGGTCAGGGTCTGGGCAAAAGGTGAATCTGATTACTTGGCCATGGAGTGAGACTTCACCAGAGAAGAGCACTGAACCACTGTCCAAGTCATGGCTTGAAGATGGGGATTCACTTCTTCCAACTGAGGATGTAGATGAGAGACTAGGTATAGATGACAAAATAGATTCCACACACCAAAGTATTGAACATTCAGAATATGGGGATTTTGATAGATCCCCAAGCTTTGTGGAGGAAGAGCCTCTTGGTGGACCTGCTGTGCCTATCTTTGCAGCAGAGACCACCACTCAATCTGCATCTCTAATTCTCTCCAAGCACACATCAGAGATATCTGATGTTGATCATTACTCAATTACCAAAGCACCTCCTCCTCTGACATCTACAGCAATCTCTGCTTCTACTGATAAGCCAGATCAAGTAGAACCCTTTCTAAAGGAGGATATGGAACAAACTACAGAATCATCCAACAGTGAATGGTTTGACAGCAAGGTTTCAGTAGTGAAGCCAAGTATGCAACCTTTGTGGACCACATTGCCAGAATCAGAAGTAGTTTGGGCAAAAACTTCTTCCCCAGAGAAGTTGTCCAGAGACACATTGGCAGGCACACCACAGAGTACTGACAAGCTCTGGTTGAAAGCTTCCGTGACACAGTCTGCCAAATTGCCTCCAACCACAAGCTCCACCCTCCTGGAGGATGAAGTAATCATGGGCGTACAGGATATCTCACTAGAACTGGACCACATGGGCACAGGTTACTATCAGCCTGAGCTAATCCCAGAGGAAAATGGCAAGGCTGGTAGTTACATGGAAATGTCTACAAATGTTCACTCCACAGAGTTGGCTATTGTGGCTTGGCCCACAAAAGGAGGTGACTTGAGTCATAACCAGACCACAGGAGCTTTGGTGGTTTTCTTCAGCCTCCGAGTGACTAACATGATGTTTTCAGAAGACCTGTTTAATAAAAACTCCTTGGAGTACAAAGCCCTGGAGCAAAGGTTCTTAGAATTGGTAAGCACAAGAAGTGAAACGTGGGCATTAGTGAATAGTCATGTATGAACCACCCCTGTTTCCCCTCAGTGCATTAGATCTGAGCCGAGGAACATGTGGTCTGCTGTGGGCATTCACTTCCTATCATCCACAAATAGCATCATGGCCTAGAGTTGGTAGGAAAACAGTAGGACAGATGGATTCTAGAAATGGAAACACAAATGTGGCATGAGGATGATGTGACACCTTAGTTGTTGAACTCTCTATGTGTCTAAAACTCTGTGAGGGGTTTCTCAATATCACTGTGAGTATCTCATGACTCTCAAATAATTCACAATTTATACTTTTGTTGATGAACAGTTTAAATAATGTAAATAGAATACAATTTGGAAAAGTAGAGGAGGGGTTCATCTTTGTTTGTTTTGGGATGTGTTGGACCAAATGCAAAACCTTGTCAGTAAACTGACTACTTTTCATGTGTTGCAGCTGGTTCCCTATCTCCAGTCAAATCTCACAGGCTTCCAGAACTTAGAAATCCTGAACTTCAGAAATGGCAGTGTTGTGGTGAATAGCCGGGTGAAGTTTGCCAAGTCTGTCCCTCGCAATGTCAACAATGCAGTGTACATGATCCTGGAGGACTTTTGCACCACTGCCTACCAAACCATGAACTTGGCTATTGATAAATACTCTCTTGATGTGGAATCAGGTAATGATACTGAATACTTGGTGGAATCCGGTGATTATTCTTGTGTATTTTCTTCTACATTGAGTCAAGGTGAATTCAGTACTTTGGAGGAAAAAGAGTACTGTGTCAGGGAAATTTTCAACTCGTTGACAAGTAGTAAACTATTTCTTCCAATGACATCAATATCATTCTCTTTTCAAAAGGATTATCCACACATGTTATCTTTACTCGCTCACCTCCCATTCCCTTTTCTCCCTGCTCTGTCTTGCTCTCTCTTTTACTTATCCACTGGATCTGTTCTTGCTACATCTCTACGTTACCATGCCCAATAGATCTGGACTCTCTTCCCTACTGTATTGTTTTCCTAAGTTGTTTTATCCATTCCCATTATTTTAAGTCTCATATAAATGTTATTGTCTGTTATTGTCTGAGCTCCAGCATCAATATCTAACTACTTACTTGATGATCTCAACTTGGATGTATTCTATGTATATCAAACTTAAGATGTCTATGAATGAGCTCTTGTTTTCCAAGTCTCCCCTCCTTCTGGCTAAATCTACTCCTTATTTCAGCTTCTCCATTTCAATAAGTGGAAACTCTATCCACTTAGCTACTTAAGCCAGAAACCTGGGAAGACATTCTGAGACCTCAGTTTCCACCACCCCCAACGTTCAGTCTCTCACTGAACTTATATTGATTCTGAATTCTAAATGTGTCTTAAATCTATGCTCTTCTCTCTGTCTCCACTGCCCCTACTCTACTCCAAGCCACCATCATCTCTCATTTGGACCAGTTTCCCCATTGTCTCTCTTGTTCCCCTTTCCTGTCCATTCTCCAGGCGGTAGCCATAGTGCTCCTTCTAAAACATCAGTCAGATTACTTAACTTTCCTGCTTGAGACACTTCAGTAGCTGCCTGATTCAGTAGCCATAAGACCTGGTCCCTATCTTCTTCTCAAAATCATCCAGTGAAATTAACCTCTTTGCCCACCCATGTTCTAATCAAACTAGCTTGTTTTTTGTTCCTCAGATACAAAAAACTTTTCTTGCCTTAAAGCCTTTGCACACACTGTCCGCTTTGCCTGAAACTCTTTCCCCTCTTGGCTGACTTCCGCTTACCCTTTATGCATCAGTTCCAGTGTCTGTTCCTCAAGACTTTCGCTGACTCACTCATAATATAGGTTGAATTTCTCCTATTAGCCTTTCTTGTAACATCATATTCTTTTCCCCTGTAGAGTTTATAACTATCCTCAAACTTTGTTCTCTTTTTCTTCCCCCATACCAGAGGACAGTGTTTTTGAGTAGGAGTAAGGTAGAACGTCTGGATTTGTATTTCTCCAGTGCCTTCTACTCTTAAACTGGTTTGGAAGTCAGCCCTATTCCTTAACTTGGAAAGAAGCCTTTGAAATCCTTGAAGGACCATTATTCATTGAAAGTGAGAAAAATGAGTTAGCTAATCCCCCAATATCCAAATCTCTTGCCACTTGAGTTTTCTAGGGCTGTTTGTGCGTTCCTTGCCATGTGGTGTAGTGGAAGAAGCAATGAATTATAATTTGGAAGGCCTGGTTTCTTGCCTCTGCTCTGCCATTTATCATTTGTGTGATCCTACATGAGCCATTTTATCTCTGAGCCTTAGTCCCTCTTATATTAAATGGGGATAGTATTACCTGGCCTTTTTATTTCATGATCTATTCTAAGGATTAAACCAATAACATATAAAAGCATTTGACTAGCCATATAAGTGCAAGAAGTTATGATTTGTAAAACTTTTGCAAAAGCCAGTCTACTTTTTAAAGAGAAGTACAATAAATGAGATCGTTTACTTCAGTTTTGTGTATGACTCGTACGTCAGCCGCATGGCACGTCATCTAGGTTCATAGGGTTACCTTTTTCTTTAACATTCAAATGAACTGATATTAGCCTCTCCCGTGTGCAAGTGTAAAATCCGCATCCATGGCCTTCTTAATATCTCTAGGAGTTTTCAAGGATCTTAAATATCTCTTCATCACTTCTGGCTCTGAGTTCCTCTGCTGAATTTCCAGTCTCACATTTCTCTTGACCGCTGTGCTGGTTCTTTATGTTAACTCAACACAGATCACAGTCCATTTTCGATGTTCCCAAAGCACCTCAACACAAGGCAGATGAGTCTATCAGATGCTTGCTGATGATGTGAAGGTGACGGAGGAGGCTTTTTCATAGCACAGTAGATGGCTTTAAAATATCACCGTGGCACAAATAGCCTAAAATTCCTCGGCCACCCTTTCAAAGGCATATCTTACTGCCTAACTTTTTCTCTAGGACCCAGCCAGCTACCATGTTACTTGTTACTCTGGCTGCTCTGGCTGTCTTCCCAGACCCTCTTCATGTTTCCTCCACTCTCATTTTCCTGGACCCATCAATTCTTCTCTTCGCCTGGCCCTGGAAAGCCAGAAAGTAATTCATTCTATAATTTAGCTTCCTATCCCAAGCTTAGCTCCAGGACTGCTTTTGTTTTCTCATAAAGTCATTAAGATGCTCCTCCAAACAGAGGGCCATCTATTCTGGACAGCCACCTTTAACCTGCACAAAGGACTGGAAAGAGACTTTAAAACGACAATCTTATTTACTTAATTAAACTAGTAGTCTTGGTCTCTCTCAGTCTGGAAGCAAAAGTGAGCAACATTGATCTTTTTCTTCTTATAGATTCTGTTTTCCTCCCCCCCCCCCCACCACCCACACCCGTGGAATGGTCACAAAACTTTAGAATTTTAAAAGAGAATTTTCCTACTACATGTGTATTTTCAGTTAAAGGCCTTGAGATTAAAATATTATTTTATCTCCAGAATGGCTAGAGACAAGATTGACTTGTCTTTTGCCAAACTTGTTTTCGCATGCAGTGTTTCAGAAACTCTTGAACTTCCGTCAACAAAGAGGAGCTGTGCAATGGTAATCCTTCCCACCCTTACCCTCACTGCTAGGCCAAGATTAGATTATTTTCTGCTTTGAAAGTCACAAAATGAATACCAGGATAAGGATGTAAAGACTTAGGAAATGCACAGTGGAATCCTGCTGTGGAGTCCCCTTGTAGAAACTGTTCATCTGTTGGCACATTTGTATGGTCTCCTTGTTATGTGAGCTTCTTATCCGTGGTCCCTTGTGTTAGATTCCTAGGGCTGCTGTAACAAAGGCCCCAAACTGGGTTGCTTCAAACAGCAGAAATTTATTCTCTCAGAGTTCTAGAGGCTAGAAATCCAAAATCAAGGTGTTGGCAGGCCATATTCCCTCTGAAGGCTCTAGGAAAGAATCCTTCTTTGCCTCTTCATAGGTTCTGGTGTTTACCTGTCATCCTTGACATTCCTTGGCTTGTAGATGTATTGCTCCACTTCCTGCCTCCATCTTTATATGGGCTTCTTTCCTGTGTGTCTATATCTCTGTGCCCAAATTTCCATTTTCTTATAAGGACAGCAATTGTTGGAGTAGGAGCCCACCCTAATCCAGTATAACCTCATCTTAAGTTGGTTATGTCTGTAAAGACCCTATTTCCAAATAAGGTCATGTTCTGAGATTCTAGTTGGACATGAATTTGCAGGGGGACATATTCAACCCAGTACATCCCCCATTCCTATACAGGGCCAAGAAAGATCAGCTGCAGAGACCCTCCAAACTCCAAGTCCACAGATTTGTGGAAAAGGTCTTTAATCTCTAGAGTAGCAAGGAAATCATTGATTCTCAAAGCAATACTAATTTATCTGGAAACTGAGAGTCTATGCTCTTTGTTTTTTAACCCCGACCCTTAGCCTTCTAGCTAAACTTTATGCTTTTTCGTATAGATGAGTTTATGGGTCATTTCTACTTATTTCCTCTGTTTTTGGTATCTGTGTCACCATTTGCCTATTTGCAATTCACAGATTGCCATTCACTAGTGAAGAACATATAGTGGAACCATGATAGGATGGAAGACCCATCCATCATCAATGTCTTATATCATTTTTGACTTTTTCTTGTCCTAATTAATTTTTTAAAAATTGTCATTTTCTCTCATCTCATCAATTAAAAGTGAAATTACTGAATCCAAAATACTGTTGGGCATGGCCTGAGGAGGTGCAAGGCTGACTTATTTTCCTAACGGTGGCTTTCACAAGTCTTGAAACATTTGAGATTGGTTCTTAGGCTACTCTTATTGGGCTATGCCCATCCCTGAGGCTCCCTGGTGGCGACCCTCCCTGGGTGGTTCTTCTCTGGATCTGTCTCCCATCCCGTGTTCTCACTGTGGGGCAGGGCATGTCACATCATTTGCAGAGTGGAGGTGGACTAGAGCAGGATAGGGTTGGTGCAAATGAATGGTACATGAAAACTGTGTGTAAGTGAGAGCTACAATTACATGGCATGGATTTTAAAGCTTCTACATGCTCTCTAGGTAAAACATGTAGAGGCTTACCCAGGTGATTGGGTTTTATGACTTGGCTCCAGATTTCAGAGAAATTTGACCAAAGCTCGTCAATCAAGGATGAGTCACAAATTTTTTGTGGTATTGGTGGTGATGGTGTATTTTAATGGTTCAGAGAAAGGAGATTGTCCCATGGTACTTGGTTGGGGGAGAGACTTAGTGGAGGGGCTTCATATACCCCAATTCCTGTATTTTGCCTTTCCTTGCATCATTCTCTGGTTTGTTTGATGTTTTAGGTGATCAAGCCAACCCTTGCAAGTTTCAGGCATGCAATGAATTTTCTGAGTGTTTGGTCAACCCGTGGAGTGGAGAAGCAGAGTGCAGATGCTACCCTGGGTACCAGAGTGTGAAGGAACTGCCCTGTCAGAGTCTCTGTGACCTACAGCCTGACTTCTGCCTGAATGATGGAAAGTGTGACATTATACCTGGACATGGAGCTATTTGTAGGTATGTTGTGATTAGGGATTTTAGCTTCACAAGGTTATAGATACTTCCTCTGAAGAAAAGGGGTCTACACCTGATTTCAGGATAATCACAGCAGTATTTATTATAGAAGTTATATCTGGGCAATAGATGGGTGCCATCTAGTTCTCACGTGCAGATTGAGCCCATTAATGGGCCTGAATTATACCCAGTTCAAATGGTTATTTTATTTTATGCTCTTAGGAAGCCGTAAGAGAAACATTGTCTAAATGCGTCCTCCTGAGAGTGCCTGGTGTAGTTTGGACCGAACTTTGTACGTTCTTCGTGGTGTCTACAAGGCAGTTGGTGCTCAAGTTATGTTTAGGTGTAAGATAACACTTTACACTGTATCTGAAACTGAAAACAAAGGAGTTTGTTCTTTTCAGATTATATTTTTAATGGCTTTGGGCTGCTCTTGGTCCTACTGAGTATTCAAAAATAAAGAAAAGCAAGTATTTAAAGTCTTTGAAGTTGTGACAAATACATTTTCTTTTAAGTACTTGAGATCCATTTTTTAAAGGTAGATCCTAAGAAAATAGAGCAGAGAAATGAGCACATTCAGGTGGCCTGACAAGCCATCCTGCCAAATGTTGGCATAGATGCCGAAAACAGAGGAAATAGGTGGACATGATCTAGATTCTTCTATAGGAAAAAGTGTAAAGTTTAGCTAGAAAACTAAGGGGAAAAATAGTCTCTCAGTTTCCAGAGAAATTAATATTATTTTGAAAAGCAGTGATTTCCTTGCTGCTCTGGGAATGGCAGAGATTTCTGCACAAGTGTGTGGCCTTGGCGTTTGGAGGATCTCTGCCATGTGATGAAAGGCCTCAGGAAGTCTGCACACCTGGGTTCTAGACCTGGCTCTGTTGCTGGCTAACGGTGTGATCTAATCAAGTTACTTTCCTTCCTGGGCCTGTTTCTCATTGTCCATAAATATGGAAATTGCATAGAATACTTTCTTTAAGTCTATTCAATCTTTTAGTCAGTCATTTATAAGTAGTCGAGGACCTCCTGGGTCTGTGCCAGGCACTTGCACAGCCCTAAATCGTATGATGTACATTCTGCGATTCACTGAGGCCTCGTGTGGTCAGCCTCTGTTTCTCTACCTTTCCCCAGTCCCACCCGAGGTTCTGCTGTTAACTGCTGCTTTCAGTAGAGTGATTCTGTTTTGGGGCTTGGTCACTGCTCGTTACAGATGCCGAGTGGGTGACAACTGGTGGTACCGAGGGGAGCATTGTGAGGAGTTTGTGTCCGAGCCCTGGGTGATTGGCATCGCTGTTGCCTCCCTGGTTGGACTTCTTCTCATCTCTTCTGCTGTTGTCTTCGTCCTCGTCAAGATGCTTCAAGCTCAGTATGTTAGGAGAGAAAGAGAGCGGCCCTTCCGGTAAATAAGGAAAATTGTTCTCTGGTGGAATGAATGTTCTTTGTATTCATTTGTTTAGTACTTACTATCTGGCAAATATTGGACAAGGCTCTGGGTAGCAGGGAGAGAGCTGTAAAGTTGAGTAGAAATCTGGTCCCTGTCTTCACAGGGTGTCAGACTGGACACAAGCGTAAAGCAGCAGTGTGAGTAAGAGGCTGAGGGGCCCAGAAGAGGGAGGAAGTCGTCCTGCCTGGGAGAGAGAGTCTTTGATGCTTTGACGATGGTTATGATGTTTGCCTACACAGAAGAGTAGCTGTGTGCTGCGGGTGGGTGGGACACTTCCTAGCCAGCTGAATGAGCGTGAGCAAAGTCAGGGGCATGCATGAGTCTCAAGGCACACTGAAGCCGTGGCATCATTGGGCGTTGCTAGAAAGCCTGTTTTCATGGTTGGGGAGGGGTTGGAAGGGTGATGGAGACGAGGTGAGGCCCTTGTGTGAGGGCCCCATCTGTTAGTTTGTCCCCCTTGGGCTCATTCCAGTGATAATTAGCCAGTTTTTAAATCTAGGTAAGACACTGACAAGGCATGAAATCTGGTTCTCTTTTAGTTAAGCGTAACTTCATTGATGGAGGGCGTAAACCCTGGACTGCTTGCTAGACTAGCCATCTAAGGACCTTTCGGTTGTTAGGTGATCGCAGTCCCTGGCTATACGTTGCTTCTGTGCTTCTAGTCTGTAGGAGCTACTGCTTCCGGTCTGGGTTCCCTTCCCTCACCCTCAGGCTTGGCTGAGGGGCCCCCTCCTAGGTCCCTGGAGCACCCAGGACTTTCTTCCCCCATTGTTCTTACACGTTTATTGAGCCTGACTTGACTTAGACTGCCAACTCATTCTGGAGAGGGACTCCAACAAACTCTTTGTATCATCAGCATCTAGACCAGTCCTAGGCACATAATCAATGCCCAGTAAATATTTATAGACCTGAGTTGAATTTAATTGAGGCCCAGTGCCTCCATATTTATCTTTTGATCAGATTCTCTGTGTGGTTACACACTGATTTTTGATTTGTCAACTCTGGGAAAGATGGAGCCATATTTGTTTAATGAAATGCTATCTATTGGCAGACATATTTCCCCTTCAACATTGATTGAGTGCCAGGCACTGTGGGGCAAATAGCAATGAATGAGACATGGCACAGTTCCACAGGGCACTAGCCATGTAATTGAGGAGATAATAACACCTGATAAATAATTTTTGAGATTGATCTGGATAGTTTTCATAGTCATCTCCCCCCATTTGTATCCAGTTCACCTCTTTTTCTTACCCAACAGAAATCTTGCTGTAGGTAAATAGTCTCCCAAGTAGTTGAGGATCCGAAGAAGAACCTGAATCAACCATGCTTTTCTTTATGTGGCTTCAGCAGGCAGCCTGACAGCCTCTCATCCATTGAAAATGCTGTGAAGTCCAACCCTGTGTATGAAAGACGTGTGGTCGGACTTGAGCAGTGCAGGGGAGCCTATCCTCAGCATCCCTTCTGCAGCTCTGCAGGCGGAGAGGTGATGGGCGGTCTGAGCAGGGAAGAAATCAGACAAATGTATGAGAACAGTGAGCTTTCCAGAGAGGTGAGAAATTTTGCTCTGCTGCTGCTGCTGCTGGGGGTGTGTGTGTATGTGTGTGTGCGCGCACAGGCACGTACGTGGGCTTCAAGCAAGGATGAAAATGGTTTCATGATTGCTTTTTTGCCTTGTGATATCTCCCAGTTGACGTGGTATGTAGAGGGTATACAATTCTGAGCTGTACCTTATTCCCCACCTGGTGGTTTCTTGTTCTCTTATTGGCAGATGCCCTCTGTCCCCTCCCTCCCTTCCTTAGAAATGTCTGTCGGAGTTATTCAGAGCAGTTCACATCGTAGCCATACCTTCCGCCTCTCTGAAAATGCCGTTGTTCCTTGTAGTTCTCCCTGGATAGTCCGGAAAGCCACAATTCCTTATGAAAATTAGAGCTCCTTTTAAAAGGCTGTTGAGATTTTTCTATTGCAATGTATGGCCTCTTTTTCTTTTCTTTTCTTGTTTTTTAAAGGAAATTCAAGAAAGAATGAGAATTTTGGAACTGTATGCCAGTGATCCCAAGTTTGCAGCTTTTGTGAGACAACATCAAATGTAAGTGTATGACAGCGCCCTGACGCAGGTCCTGACAGTCTGCCTTAGAGAGGGGCCACCAGTGTGGGCACGCAGTTCCTGCCACATGACTGGGTTCTGTGAAAACCAGTTTCTATGAAGAGCATCTGAGTAGCCGTAAATCCTCACATATTTCAACATATCCATCCTCTTTCATCTCTGTAGACACCTTTCAGTGTGCTTTGAATTACACAGATCTCATTAAAGTGTGTCTCCTGCCTCTATCAATTTCCTCTTACGTTTCATTCTGTCTCTCTCCATTTGCTGTTCTTAGCATGCACTTTGGGCAGGTGTCTGTAGTTTTTTTTCCTTTGTTTCCCAGGGTCCATAACCAGACTTTACAAAAAATAAACTGTCTTGTAAAGAGACCATTATGGGCATTAGTTGAGTAGAGTGGGTGGGTTTATAATTTACCTTTGATGTTTGGTCCTAATGCTGCCCTCACAAGGGTGCCCCCTCGTGGTTGGGTCCCACCCAGGCCAGATATCTGCACCTGGCTTTTAGAAGAGAGCCAGAGCAACTCATCATTAGAAGGCAGTGCTCGTAGATGAAATTGGTGAAGGGTCTGGTTGGAGCCTCTGCCCCTTTCCTCCAGATCCTGTTTCTCTGATGGGCAGCCCCTCACTCGTGGTTCCTCTCTGATAGGAAGGGGCAGATTGACACGTAAAGAAACTGAGGAAGATGCCTTTCTAGTTCTACGTGACTGGTGGAGAGTCCTTTAAAGATCTCCGAGCATCTGATTGGCCCCCCCGGGGGTGCTGCCAACCTTGTTGAATGCTGTCACAGCAATACTGCAGGGAGTCTACCTTGTAAACCAGGACACCCGCTCGTCCCCGCATCTCCAGCCAGCAGGTGGCCTGTGGCGTCACGTCGGTGGCACCCAATAGAAAGAACATGACTGATGTTTTTGTCTTTCCTAAGACCCTTTATGAGCCCTTCGGAGCCACTTGGCTGAATGTGTTCCCTGAATTAAAAATGCATCTCTTCTAGGCTAAGACATCCAAAGAAAGGATGCAGGAGAGCCTAAGGGACAGACAGATTGACTACATACTTCACTTTCTTCTGGTAAATTGTGGTGCATTAAAATAAACAAAAAAAATCCATGTAACAAAGAAGATTTAACCAAGAAGATCCAGTGAAACAAAAGAAAGTCCACAGAGAGACTATAACCTTAAGGGGGTCGTTCACCAAGGGGGCGTGGCGTTGAAACGTGTTAGAAACGTGTTAGAAACACATCATCCACACCACGTTTTCAGTTTCACTTAGGCTCAGAGTTTTCATCTTCCAGTAGCCCAGGAAAATAGTAATGGACTCGATTTAGGATTCAGTAAAAGCATTACTTGGTCTTTCTGGAGTGGATTTTTTTTTCTTTTTACTTAGCAAAGCACAGGACTTTCTTGTAGAGAAAGAAAATAGAAAGTATTGGTGATTTTAGGAACATAGCTTGTTGATGATATGTTACAACAAAAGTGCATTTCAGTACTTTCTTGCTTTTTCGGTTAATGGCTTTTTGTTTTTCTCATGGCAGGGAAAAGCTTTAACCAAAACTCCTATTTTGAAACTGGTGAGAAGCCGAGAGAAGACGGAGATCACTTGTTACCTATGTCATGTAATTAGCCTGGATTTTGAACTCTGTTGGAAGAGGAGTTTTCTGTGAAAGAATTGAATTTGGGGCACAATTTTTTTTTTGTAGCATACAATTTCAGAATGTAGTAAGAGATGTGAAAATTTTTATACCAACAAAGACCAAAAGCTGTATTTAAGGAAACTCAAAACTGTATGAGAAAAAAGCCAGGTGTGGGCGTTGGGGCTGCCTTTGCTGTCTGTTTCTGAGTGTCTGAGGGTGTCTCTTGATGCCGGGGCCTCCGGTTTCCCAGCAGGAGGATGAGGCGAGACTGTTACAGGGGACAGAGGCCTAGGAAGTGAGCGTCTCGTAGCCTGTTGGTTCTTGTCAGCTGGAATGGCAAGCTTTGAAATAGTTTTAACATAGTTTATAGTCAGACATTTATCTCAGTAAAATATTAAGGGTTTCTTTTGGATCAAGCTGTTGAAGGAAGAGCCACCTTTTTGCTGCAGTATAGATTTAGGTGTGTACTTTATGCTTCTACCAGAGGTTTGAATTTCCTGAGCATGTTCATCAAGACCACATTACTGTTATGTCAAGTATGATAATATCCTGTTTTTATCGTTGTGAAGGACAATACATATGTATAAAGTTCAGAGGGCTCTCATTAGACTGAAGACGAATTTAATCATGTGGACAGAGAAGGAGAGGGTGTTGGGTCAAGGCCACAGCGCTGAGAATATACTTTGCCGATTGGTGGGTCACCTGAGTCCGAACAATGTGTCCCCTGACTCTGCTTCTGATGTTAAAGAGGTCCTGGGCGCACCCTTGCTTTTCTCTAGTTCCTAGTATATGAATTTGGAAAACAGCACTTAACTACCTCATATGTTATAGGTTAGCTTGTTTGCATTGCTTCTGCTTTGTGTAATATCTCGTGTCTAAATTAATTTCTGCTTACATGGAACATGACAGTTTTATTGCAATTTAAAAAAATTTTTAGTTAGGAAAAGTCCACATCTTATGTAAATTTTAACTGAAAATGGAAGTTTTCCTCTTTCCAAGTACTTTTTGAATGGGTAGCTGTGGCAGGGGCAAGGAGAGAGCCAAATAATTATCATTATTAATATTAAGTTGCATATGCAAATAGGTTGTTATTGACAGAGGTATTTTATATTAGATGTCTTCATGTTAGCCAAAACCATCTTGAACATTTTGATTTCTTTCTGACCAGACATAACTAACCAGGGATAGATTGACAATAAGATGAAATACTTGGTTCACTTATTTTTCTCAACTTGTTGACTGCCAATTTCACCCATTATGAGGACACCGAAAACTAAATCTCTGGGCTGAGTACATGCCACAGTAAAGCTATTGAAAGCCTTGAAGATATCCAGGTGTTCTGCAAAGTATGTATGGGTAGTGGGAGTGTGTGTGTGTGTGTGTGTGTGTAGGTAGTTCTCTTATCTCAGTATTGTCTTTCATTTCTTACTCACATAATAGATTCTCTGTAAGTTCAGCATAGGTACAAGCCGCTGCTGGGTTGTTTTCTACTGGGCCCATTTGGAAGGTAATTGATAATTGTCTTTAAAGCATATGAGTGTTAATGACATTTGTCACTACTAAATGCTTCATTTTATTTCTAAGACTTCCTCAGATTTCTCTTTAAGATTTTAAACTTTTTTCCTAAACTTATTTGTGTTAGATGAAAAAGAAAATTTGTTTTTATCACAAATGAACCCTAGAATGCAAGCTTTTGCATGTCTGCTTGCCGGCAGAGTTCTGGATGAACATAGAGATGAAGGTCACCACATGACACACTTAGGAGAAGCACCAGCTGAGCTGAAGGGGGATTGTTGTTTTCCAGAAGCCATGCAGTGAAGTGGGAATTTGAGAATTCTGACATATTGCTGTCTCTGATTTCCTTTTGTGTGACCTTCTCATGCAAGAGTAGATCACTTAGGTCTTTATGAGTGTCTGCCCCACGCCTGCTAAATGGAAGAGTAAAGGAACTGTGCTCTCAGGGAGAGACCCGGGCCTCAGGTCAGGAACAAGACTCTTGCCCTGCCTCTGTTAAGCTGAACCCCTGTGAGAAACATGGAGGAGGCAGATTCCACAGTAAAGATCCATGAAGTGCACGTTTCAAGGTCTGAAAGAGCTATCATTCTGACAGGACAAGCTACCCCAAAGAGCTTCTCTTTAAAAGAGCTTTCCCCAAGGTAATTTAATGGCAGGTAGCCATTTAAAAGGATTAGGCTGTATGATTGAAGAATGAATGTTCCGGTTATTAGGACATTTTCATTAACCTAGCAGTATAATATTTAATAAAATTACCATCTTATTTAAAAACAATAAAATGAAGTTAGCACTAACAGTGCATGGTAAATAACTCTAACTTTTTGGGGAGGTACATAAAGTGCTTTGGAGTCTTGTAGATACAGCCTTATAATTGAGTGTCCATACGTGATTCTTATTTTCCTGGGTTCTGGATTAAAGGGGACTTTATCTGATAAGTGAATAGGACTCCATTTCCACCATGACAATGTTAGGGGTATTCGTTCACATTTTGTGCCCTAAAGTCCCACTACTTTACCTAATAAAACAAGTGTGGGTTTACCTGATTTTATTCCCACCTCGTCTTTGTTTTTCCTCTGCAGTCTAGTCTCCAGGGGTTGGCTGCTCCCCTCCTCCCTCCTTCTTGTCCACATAGTGAATTGTAATGTAGTTGAACAACCCTGACTTCATATTACTTCTGACCAAAAGATGGAAACTGCACAAATATTCTTTGTAGGCTCTAAAAATATCTTGCTCGAATGTGACACCTGGGCTGGTTATTCATCTGCATGCTTGTTTTCTAGGTTTGCCTTCCATTTCATGATTCTTAGGTAGCTGGTATCTTTGTGTCATTTCCATGTTTTCAATCTATCAGCCTGTGAATTGAATTTCCATTTTGAAATGGGGAAGGAAGGCAACAAATTTATTCCATAAGGAAACAGCTGATTTAGGAGAATAACTTATCTTTCTTAAATTGAGATATTTTAGCCAAGAAAAATATGGGTCATTTTTTTTCTAAGATGTTTCTAATAATTCCCAGTAGGAACGGGTGGGGCTAGCCTTCCTCATTTACAGTCCAGCTGCAATGAGTCATGGATCCTAGCTCATTTTATTCCCAGGTGTGTAATAAATGCAGAAAAATGGTGTGAAGGTCACATTCCTCAGATCAATTGCATTGTGTTCCACAACAGATCCTGGTTGGAGTTGGGAAGGTGGGAGGGTATTGGAAAGTAATAGATAATTTAAAGAGTCTGCCTGGAAGTTTCCCTGACTCTTGCATGTTGTAAAACCTCACACTACTCCTATGATTTAATAAAGACACAGGTTAAACCACTCCCTTGGGGTAGTAAGACACAGGTTAAAGCCCTACCCTCAGCCGCACAATTACGGCGACAGCCTGGGTGGAATGATTCCTCATGCTGGCTTTTTTTCTCTCACTTATATTTAATTACGTTTTTAGAGATTAAGGTCATAAATAGAAAAGAAGTAACCATGATATCAGAGAATAAATTTATAACTATTTGTATATCATGACTATGTGATGATTCTGAAACGATTGTGTACATACATAATATATGTTCAATATGGAGTATGGAGAGTGAAGGGCTTGTCTTTTTCATTGTGTTTATAATGATATTTTACCCAAAGTATGGATCAGATAAGTTTATGTTACTGTACTGTTTCCTGAAATGTTCTAGTCTTAGTACTAGCTAATTAGAAATAAAAATCTAAAAGTCTTCATGTATATAAAAGGGTCTTTCTTTTTTCATGTATATAATTGTGGCATTTTCATTATTAATAAACTTGTCTTTCAAGAACCTTCCTACATTTTCTTGTCAACTGGAAGAAAACATTGTGGATTTTAGCAACAGTTGTGTTGTAATTACTGTTCAAAGATGAACACAATGCGAGCATGGTGTGGAAATGCAAAGCATTCGTTGATTCATCTTCGAGTGATGAGGATGAAGGAGAAACGGAGACAAACCTACAGCCCGTTGTTACCCCAGATTTTGTTGGTGGTTAATGATGCTGAGTCATTATTTGGCCTCTCTTGAACTTTATTCTTTTAAACTCTTAGAAATGTTCATTTTTTCCTCATCTGCTTAAGATGGGATGGAAAGAAAACTCATGGAATTGATTAAAGAAAGTTGGGGGTGGGAGCTAGCATCAGCTGTCCTGTAACAAGAGGACGCATTGGTGAGCCGTCTAAGGACAGAGGAGCCGTTGAGTATGGTAACAGCAGTCTAAAGCAGTCTTGCACGGGAAGGGCGGGAGGATCAACCACTGCTTACCGAAGCATCAGAAACGCCATCTGCGGGCCTTTTCCATCCTACATTTGTGTAATGTCTTGCTGGCAACAGGACATGAGGAAATCCTAAATCAGTCTAGAAAAGAGGAGGGTGGTCTTGATTTGACTCCAAAGACCATATTATAAAAATGTAAAGGGGGAGAAATGTGTCTAATAAATACCTGTTGATTGATTAGTTAGTGACCTAGCATTAGAAGAAACAGTGGGTAATAACCCTGTTTCTAATAAGTCTGGTCAGGACAAGCCCTGGTTACTCTTGGCTCATGCTCTCCTGATGCTGGTCCACTTTCTAGGTCCTTCTGAATATATGTCCCGTCTGAGCTATTCCTTGATGGGTTGTGTCCCATGAACTAAACTTTAAATTATCCTCTCAGCAAAACACACACGTATCTTGTGTCCCTTTTTTTTTTTTCCATTACAGATGAATCTATGCCAATATGATAATAGCTGTTAAAGACTCATGCTTTTGTAAAAAATACCATCAATGCATATGGGCTTTCTGAAAATAATTCGTTATTACAAATGAATAACACTCATTTTCAATATTTCACACATCTTGGCTGGTTTGGGGAAGAATGTGCCTGTTTTTGGCAGGTGGGCCTTTGAAGGAGCCTCAAAAACCACAAAAGCTCCTTCTTCCATACTTTTTTCTGTATCATGCATGTGCTTCCATTCCGTTATGACCAAGGATGTGTTGTAAGTTTTTATTTATGTCATTGATTTCCCACTAAATTGTGTTCTTTCACGTTGGGGCCATGTCTTCCTCATTTGTTATTCACAAAGCCAAAGAATGCTTGATGCAGAGTTGATTTACAAGAATTAATAATTCAATTGGCTTGAGATAATGGGTCATATGTAGATATCTATTTTATGAGTAGCAAGCACATGTTTATTTTGTATTCCAGGAACAAATTAGGTGGACCCATGAGGGGTTTACAAACCATTTTGAAAGAAATGGTTTACAGAGGTTTAAAAATAACTCTAAATGTTTCATGAGATTAGATTCATACGTTTATCTCTATCTTATTCTCACTGAGTAATTCACAGATAGAAAAGTAGTAAGCATTTTACAAAAGCCTATCAGAATGTACGGCCTGCTACGTCAAGATGAGTTTCTTAACCACAGACTCAAGGGGAAGGTGGATGAAGAGCTGAAAGCACGGGGAGTGGTGCTGGGGGAGTAGAGACAAGCCTGAGGGACGACGGCTGCCGGAGGGGTGGAGATGGGAATGTTTGCGGGGACAGGTGGGTTTGTAGGAACACAAATTTGACTTGACTTTCTGCTGATAGAGTTGGGAGGATGACATATAGAAGGCATTGTTTAATCTGAAGCGGTTTATTTAAAAGTGATTTTATTCCTTATTTCCTTATTGTAGGGCAGAATAAAAGGCACCAGAGAGCTGAGGGAAGATGCGATTCAGTTTTTCCCTTTTTATTAAAAAAACTGCTGCCAGAAAGAGGAAAGAGTAGTTGGTTAAATCTGTCAGTTTTGAGTTCTCGTGATTATTTTCATTGAAAGTTAGTGATGATGGGACTTCAAAATTGATTGTTTGTCCCGCTCACAGCAGCAACCCATTTTGGTGTTTCCTCTCAGTTTCCCAGGGTTTACCACAAGGGAAAATTGCTTGTCTTCCCATTTAAGCAACTCAATCCCAGCTGGTGTCCCTGGGAGCTCAAGGGAAGGCGCTGAAGAGAGAAATCTTCCTGCCAGCTTCCTCCAGGAATGTTTCCCCTGGCGTGATGTGGGCGCTGGGAAGCGTCTGTTTGGCTCCCTGCTCCCAGGGGACAGGCATTACTTCCGTTGAGTGTCAGATAATTGTCAAGTCCTCACCAAGGATGATACTGCTGCTGCTGTGAAACCGTCAAAGGTTTGTGTGATAACAAAACAAATGTTGAATATTTTCTTTCCTACAATGAATGAGGGACCCAGTTTTGATTCCCGTTTTACATTGTTATTTCTTGGGAGGTACAGAAAAATAAAAGATGAGAAAATTTTCGAAGTTTGAGGAAAAACTAAATTGCAATGATTTGAAAACATATTGGTTTAATTTCTAACTGCTTTTTAGCAAAGGTTAGTTAAGATGCCCCTCTGCCTGCCTTTCTTATTTTACCTTAGACACCACTTTCCAACTTAAAAAAAATTTTCATACAGAAAGTCCTCGTGAAATAATTTTTTCCCCCAATGAATCTGTGCTTTCTGGTATCTTAGCACCTTATTGACTGTAAATGAGAGACGATTGATGATCTGAAAGAAAACAGTTGTTCTTTACCTTTTGTTTTATACTATTTGAATTTGGAATGCCACAAATAAAATGAGCATCTAGATCTCGTTCTACCATTTAGTGACAATTTTGTTGTAGATGAACCCTCAGTCAATAATTCACGTTGTAGTTTCTACTGGGAACGTGGGTTTAATGGCCTGTTTCCAGGGCACACGACGCTCTTCAAAGCCTTTAGATAAGGAGGCTGTTAGGTTGGAACTGCCCCTTTAAAATGCTGCCTATTTCTTTTAAAAATGTAAATGTAGAGATAACTTATTTCTAGAGAAATTTGTTTTCCTTATGAAGTGCTCTCGATGACAGTAGGGCAGTGATCGCTCTCCTTCATAAAAGAAAGCTCTAAAACACATGTCGAGGGCTGGAAATACCTTCTGTTCCCTATTGTGAGCCAGGCCAGAGGTTTCCATTGCTTCACTTTTTCTTATTTTACCTTCAGATTTGCCAGTGATGTTTCAAAATCAGAATTTAACTTGGAATTGCAAAGCTGCAAGCTTAAATGGACTTTCCATTAACAAACAGGTTTAGACATTATTCTATTTTGGGGACAGTCTTAAATTAATTTTGACTTAAAAATATAAAATTGATATTTTGGAAAGATCTATAAAATCAGGTGCTTCTTCTCAGTTTTATTAAACTAAGATGGAGAAAGTAGGATTTGATAATGTTAGTGAACATGTTATAAAAATGCTGGCTTTGCTGTATTTCTTTGATGCCCAGGTGGAAACCACACTGATTAATGGCATTTAATCATTTCTTCTTGTCCCTAACCTGTGATACAGTGTGCTGCTCTCTCTGTGTACACGTTTACATCAGGACCTCACAGTGACCCCCACTGGGGAGGGCTCGGCAGTGCACCAAGTGAGGGCCAGATCCTTGTTGTCTGTTCCAGAAATCACTGGAGAAAGATGAGAGTTACATGGCAACCTGCAGAAATAAACATGTTAACTCGCAATTCGGTTGCTCTAGGGTTTCCATCTAATTGTCTTAGAAAACTTTGTCTCCAGTACTGTTCAATTTAAAACAGAGGGTTGGCTTAAATTATTACCTAGAATGTTCACTGTTGAAGCCATCTTTTATTGCCAAATTATGTGAATTGAAACAATGTTTTGTTTTTTTTTTTCAGTGAGGAAGATTGGCCCTGAGCTAAGCTCTGTTGCCAATCTTCCTCTTTTTGCTTGAGGAACATTGTCACTGAGCTAACATCTGTGCCCATCTTCCTCTACTTTGTATGTGGGATGCTGCCACAGCATGGCTTGATGAGTGGTGTGTAGGTCTGTGCCCGGGATCCAAACCTGCAGAGCATGCGAATTCTGCCACTATGCCACCGGGCCGGCCCCTTGAAATAATGTTTTTAATCTGTCAACTTTTATACTGATTTATGGGAGAGATAATATTCCCATTCCCAGATTATAAAACCATTCCTCAGAAGCAGAAAGAGGAAGTAAAATATCTTGAGAACTTGCCTACTTCAAGTTTCCTTTTATTATCTAGGAGACTGGAAAATACAGTAATTCTAGCCAACAGAGGTGGTCACAGGACTCGATTTTCTAGTATTAATCTAGTTTCCAAAACCTAGACCACATTGTACAGAACTTACAAGCCACGCAGGCCTGGAAACCTAACCTCCATTTCAGCCACCAGTGGGGAGGGAGGTGGTTTTCTGTCGATGGGTACATGGAATGTCTCTACCTTGCCCCTCCCCTGAAAGTGACTTTTTGTCCCTCTGCATGTTTTGAGTTGCTGATGGCTTCTAGCTCTGGCATCCTTTTCTCTCCTGGCCATAGTGACCTGTGTGTACTCATGGTTACTAAGTGAGCTCAGTGTCTGTGCTTCAAAGTCATCATCTGCGAGGAAAGCTCTGTCTGAGGCTGTGCAGCACGGTGCCGAGTGGATGGGGAATCATGTTGGACTGGATGGCTGCGAACAGAGGCTAAAAGCACAATCTGTTGTTAGAGTGACAAGTAGAGACGTGGCAGATAAGTAATACGACATATTTCCTCCCGGCTCCCAGACGCTCTTGTTAAGATAAACACTAAATAACACCAGCTGGTCTCCATGTGAATATTATTATCAAATTTACGTTCCCAAAGGAGTAAGTTTTTTATGACGATTTGTGTTTCTCTTTCACGTGACTGTCTTTGAAGGTCTACTGCCTGC